ATGGTGGAGTGGAAGGGGCTGAAAGGGAAGCGGAAGTCCCTGCTGATGGAGTGGAAGCTTTTGTAGCCATGCATATACAAGGGGCTAAAAGGGAAGCGGAAGTCCCTGCTGATATTGTGGAAGGCTTCCCAGCCATGGAAGTCGAAGCCGCTGAAATTGACACTTCAGTTTGTGACAAACAAGTGCACCAACAACCTCACAAGGTTCCTACTTCGGAAGATGTGAAGGTTCCTAGTCTTGAAGATCCCCTCATTCCTAGTCCGGAAGATAGGGAAGGGTACAGAGTTATTTGTAAAACAATGTTAAATTTGTTAGAGGATTGGAATAAGAAAGAAATTCAGGGGGTGGGACGCAAGGCGAGGCCTCCCATGGAAACTAGTATAAATCTGGTTGGTGATGAAGGGGACAAGGAGGCTAATGCCACGGTTCAGAAACCAGATGCGGAAGGCAAAGGATGCAGACTGAAGCGGCCCGCGAAAACATTGTTGAGTCCATTCACTGATCCCTCCAGGAAAAAGAGGCCGACTACTGGTTTTCATGCACAGACACCTGAGGCCCGTTTTGATCCAACACAACCCGTGGCCATGGACGATGTGAAGGCTATGATACAAGTTTGCAAGGCTTGGAAAAGTGACATCAGGTTAGGAATTGTAACTTGGCAAAACCAATATACATGTTTTTTGATGTATGCAGTCATGTACAATAACAATATCTACGTAGCTAATTGTTCGTGTGTGTGTCATTGTCATATTATGCAAGGTGTCCATTAGTTTTTTTTATGGTTGAATTTACCTTTGCAAGTTTATTTTTTTTGTAGTGCGGAGCTGGAGCTCGAACCATTTGTAGTTGGGGCAGATTTTTTTTACAAACTTGTAGATGAAACTGCATGGATGAGCTCGGGGTAATACTTTTGAACCGTGCTTTATTTTGAAAAATTTCTGAATTGATCACTTTGAGTATGTGGCCATTTTTTTTTAATATTGAGGTCGTTGTTGTGTTGTGAAATGTCAGCACCTTGACATGGCCATGTTTCTAATACGCAAAAGACAACTCTCTCATCCTCAAGTATTTGGAACGGAGTGGACAACTGCCGAGTTTTGTCTGCAGGTATTATTGTATTCATATTATGTGTCATTGAATTTGTTGCATTGGTAGGAGTAATGTTGTTGGCTGTGTTTGGTGCATTGGATCCTGTTCATGTAACGTGTCTTTCACACTTGTTTGCAGCAATTTTTACAGCCATTTACACCGCCAAGTGCGAAACGAGTTACGAGGAAACAAATTGCTTCAATGACTGTTGACCCTCCCCCTAACTACCTCAGAAATATACACCACTTTGTCTGGGGTTCATGGCAACATGGTTATGCACAAGCATGGACGAAAGTCCGCAAGGTCTATCTCCCGTATAATGTTCGACAGTCCCATTGGGTGGCTGTAGAAATTGACTTTGTCAGACATACTGCCACTGTCTACGACTCGTATATTTTTTTACCTCCAACACAATGCTTGTCCGACAGATGGAGCCTATTACCCAGACGCTTGCAAAGGTGTTGTATGACATGAGGTTTTATGAGAAATCGGAGGTTGAAGCGGTGAAGAAAAAGGGGATTGACAAGCCAACGTTTAACCCATTCACAATTTGCAGAATTTCCGATGTTCCTCAGCAAAGTGATGGGTAAGCTGTGTTCATTTAAAGCACTTTGTGCATGTTGTCAGTATGTGCACTTCTAACTTCTGTACTTCTCGGGTGGACAGTACCTCATGTGGCATTATGACCGTCAAATTTATTGAGTATCTCAGTGCTGGCATTCCTTTTAATACCATTGACCCAGCCAAGTTTGGCTACTACCGATTGAAGCTTGCAATCGAGGCTCTCAGGGGAGAGGCCTATGTATGAGGTAAAAGTCCATATCTGACCTCATATGAATTCACTGTTAAGGACTGCCTTCAGAATTGCCTAGTTATTTACCTACTTTGAATTATGTCGTACGTACAGAGTTGTGCTTTCAGTCTTCATTTCAGACAACTTACAGTATGTTGGCATCTTTTCCAAGTTTTATGAATGCGAATGGCGACTATTGTTAATCAAAGTTTAGGGTATTGGGGATTTCAACACCGTAGATGGTAATGTACATGTTTTGCAACTGGCATCTGATTTAAGTATGGCATATGTTCTGAACTCTGACTGTGTATCATCCAAAACTTGTATCATGTTGTTTATGAAATGAATAGAATTACTTCTTAAAATTGCTCCAATTATTAAGACGTTCAAGTTTCCCTTTCTATGAATGCTAACTCTCGGCACATTTGGCCTTCTTATGCAGGTGGTCCTTTCAGGTTCATACCCATATTGACATCACAGATTCTGTACATGTATGTCACAGAAGTTGCAGGCTGTTTCGTCGTTTTGTCAATCCTGAAAATGAATGCTATGTTTTGCCTTAAAGGGTGCTGATTTTGTACTATGTTGCAGGGTGTTAATTTCTGTAACGTAATTCGCCAATACTTGTATTCCATAGTAGAAGGGCTGTACTCACGTTTCCTTTCTGACAATGCGGTTATTGACCTTCTGTACTTGACATGTTTTGTACAGGCATATAACAAAATATCCTTCATTTGGCCGAAGTTGCAGCCATATCAATTTTTTTTGGCCCACCCACATTGTAGCCGTTTTGTTTTGTGTGGTTCGGTGTAATACTTACTTTCGTATATTAATTATTTTCATCCAATCTGGACAGAAATGTTTGGGGTTGTTAGCCGAAACAATATCCTTAACCCTCTGCTGGGGCATTTACAAAGCATTATACGATTTGATCAGGACATTTGATCAATGATTTGATCAGGGAATTTGTCAGCAAATTGGATGACTCTGTCAATTTGATGAATTTGGGAGTGGCTTATGTTAAAACCAAGAAATCTAACATTGGTTTCAAACAACTTCATTTTCTTGGCAGAGACAACTACACCATTTTGGCTAACTTTCTGAAGCAACTTATGCAAATGTTTCCATTCATGTTCTATGGACTCAGAGAAGATAACAACAGCATCAATGTAGACTATAGAGAAATGACTATGCCAAAAAGCATTAGAAAGGCCATGTTTCAAATATCAAACTTCATTTGTTCTTCAAATGTTTGAATTTATTTTATTTTAAACTTAACTTATTCTTGAAGAGATTTCAACTATCGAGCTTTGTTTTGAATTATACTAACTGTTTTTGCAACAATATTATTTCCAAGGATTCTGCAGTTAGGTAACTCAAGCTTAGTTCAAAAAATCAAATTTGAGTCTTTCTCCTACATAAATAGAACTAACACCATCATGTTCAACCTAGAGCGGATATACTAAACCTATAAAGGGTAATCCTAATATTACTTCATCGGTGATGTTTTTTACTAAAACAAAGGCAGTTTTAAAACAGATTTTATTTTAAATTTTAGCTTTTGGAATCTCATAATTCAACTGTAAGGCTTTTCCCGACGCAGTACTTAAAGACTGTGGATTTCTTATAATACTTTGTTGGGAAAAGGCCTTCTTCAATACAGTTAAGGTCGCCTCCTGAATCAAAAAGTGCGACTGTGTGAAACGTATAAATGTGGACAACTCTTTTCACTGTAGAATACCACTTTCTAAACTTCACTTGTTTTACTAATTTGAAGGGCTTGCTCTCATTAATTAGATGGCTCATCTTCAAAATTGGTTGGACTTTCATATTGACTATTAGACGCAGAATCATCCTTTGCTAGACGAGTTATGAAATTCTGTTTGATTTCATAATTCTTAGTTTCAACTTTATGACTCATTTGCTTTAACTCAATGATTTCCTTGTTGACTACTTTTATCTCAGATTGTAGGTGTTGAAGGGTGACTTCTTTTCTCTTGCTAAACTTTTCTACTGTTGTATTTAGACTTATTTAATTAGGGATAGTTGATGGACTAGGACTTTCTTGGCTAATGAGTTTTCTTGGTTTCTTTAGGTACTCCGATTTGAGCTCAGGATTTGATACTTTACTTATTAATTCTATGAATAACTCTTCTTGCTCTTCTTGCTCTTCTTGCTTAGTAAGGACTCTAAGTGATTTTGAATTACAATAGTTATCTTGGCAACAAAATTGGACTCCAACTGAACTAGAATGGGAATCAGAGGACTGGTAGGGTTCTGACTCAGAATTGTTGACTACTGTTTCTATCTCACTTGTTTCAGAGTCTCACATCTCTAAACCTATAATTAAATTGTCTTTTTCCTCATCTGTGATTTTCAACTGTTGCATAGTATCTTTGGCTTATGCACTCTGAGCCATAATGTCCGAACTTTTTACATTTTTAACATTTAACTTTGCTATTGTCTTCACTTGTCATAAAGCGACTATGTTTCGGTGGTTTGGACCTATTTTTCTTACGGTAAACTTTGTTTTTCCTATACAACTCATGATTATCTTTATTCCGTTCAAAGGCTTGTTTTCTTCGTGAGTAATGACGACTTTTCCTAATGTGACTCGGGTAATTGGACTTATTTTTCCTAGACAGAGGTACTGACGTAAGACCATATTGTTGACAGAAGAGTCCTAACTCATATTTAGCACATTTGTGCTCAGATTGTATTTGTCGACCAATTTTCATAGGTACCCACATTTTCATACCAACTTCGTTAATTGTACTAATTGTATTTCCATAGGTTAAATTATTCCAATCAATTTGACCTTGCTCATTGCTGAACTCAGTTCTTCTTTTATGGCCGAATAAGTTTGGAAGAGCGGTAATGAATTTTTCTTTCCAAAACGGTTGATTACTAGCTTCACGAATCATGACTCTACAACTTAAAATATGTGTATACCATCTAAAATAAGACAGATTAGAACATCTCAGATTACTCAGTTGATCAAGTATTCTAGCATTAGTATGAGTATGGGTTCCAATAAAATGCTGAATTATAGTATAGAACAAAGTATTAACACCATATTCATCAAACCTCTTCCATTACATCCATAACCTAACCACCTTTAACCTGCCAACTGTAGATGAACAAACCTCCTATTACATTTGGAACACAACAAATAAATGACCATTCCAAACATGAAAACAGAGACCCAAAACCAGGGGTTTTTCATCTTCCCTTTTCCAGCGTTTCTTTCTTCTTCCAAGCGGTTTATTTTCCTAAGTAAGCCTGGAATTATGTGCTTCGATCTGTCACACATCTCTGGGTCAGCCCATTCCCAAAATGTACATCCATTCCTCTGCATAAACGGAAACAATATTTCCGTTACAAAGAGGCGCAACATCACAAATGGAATCCACGAAAATGCCAAATTTCAGGTCAAACTTACAGAGAAATAAACTTACCCTTGCACATACTTGAAACCTCCTTCCCGGATGAGAAACCGTCCAGGATGTATGCGTTTTGACAACGTTCCCACAGTAGCACAGCCGTGAACATACTGAACTCGCGTCTTCCATTTCCCACCGAGACCTTGAAGGCCACTCTTGAGAGTGGCATGGAGACCTCACTGACTCAGCCGCACCGCTACGGAGGCTCCTCCTACTCATCTCCTTGTTTTCTCTGTATGAATTGTTGTTCAACTTGTGCGCTATTTGGAGAGGTCAAGAGGCTCATCTTGTAGTCAATGGGTTTCACTTGCATGTGCGAAATTTGGATAATAAAACCGTGTGAGCGCACCAACATGAAACTTGGAGTTAATGGGGTGGTTTTTATACAACATATCAAACTTTACCATAGGCAACTTTTTTTTTTTTTTTTTTTTTTTTTTTTTTTTTTTTTTTTTTTTTTTTTTTTTTTTTTTTTTTTTTTTTTTTTTTTTTTTTTTTTTTTTTTTTTTTTTTTTTTTTTTTTTTTTTTTTTTTTTTTTTTTTTTTTTTTTTTTTTTTTTTTTTTTTTTTTTTTTTTTTTTTTTTTTTTTTTTTTTTTTTTTTTTTTTTTTTTTTTTTTTTTTTTTTTTTTTTTTTTTTTTTTTTTTTTTTTTTTTTTTTTTTTTTTTTTTTTTTTTTTTTTTTTTTTTTTTTTTTTTTTTTTTTTTTTTTTTTTTTTTTTTTTTTTTTTTTTTTTTTTTTTTTTTTTTTTTTTTTTTTTTTTTTTTTTTTTTTTTTTTTTTTTTTTTTTTTTTTTTTTTTTAAAAATTCATAATTTTTTTTGTTTGTGGGGTTTGATTTACCAAGCAGATTTTTGCGTTGAATGGAGACTTATTGAAAACTAAAAAAGTTTGTATATCCTAATTTCAGAATGCAGAGTTTGGTTCTATTGTTTTTTTCCTTTTCATGGGCTAATAATTTGGCCATGCTTCTACTCTTTGCAGTTGCTAGGGACTGGAATGGATACGCAGGATACATCTCCTTCAGTGTTGCTATTCTTTGACAAGCAAAGATTATATTTAATGCTGGAGAGGTAAGGAACTCAATTACATACATTTACATCTGGTTAGTTTTTGTAATATTAAAAGTAAGGTGATGATTCAATTATTGTCTATGAAATAGTAATTAGAGATCAATGATAAACTTGTTGTTAAGTGATATAGTGTCTCTTACTTTGCAACTCTCACTGCAGGGATTGCAACGGTTCTGCTCAGGGCATATCTGACATCCTTACCCTTAGGTAGTTAAGACCAAAAGTGGGGCTCTATATATACGCCTGGTGGTTAGTGAGAGAGAGTGAGTGGTTTTAAAGGGTGTCAATGGCCTTTGAATTTTACTTATATAAGATTAAAGTTATGTGCTTTCAAGTATTTGTGAGCTCTCTGTATCTGGGTTTTGAGCAAAATGACTTTATTGATAAAGCTTTGATTTGCAATGTATATTAATGGAGTAATAGAACTGCTGACTGATGCAGTTTTGCATGTCCTTGGTTAATGCATTTATGTTTGCTCTACACAGACAATAATTTTTTAGGAGAAATGGAGACTTAAAGAGAGAAGTTATGGATCTGATAAGGGTTTAGGGTTTACTATCTCTAATTTTTGGATCCTAATGGAATTTCTTTGATTACATATGTTCTTTCATTAGCCCACATCCTTTTCTTGTAACATGTCTTCATTTTTTGCCATGGTGATTTTTACCAAAGTAGCCATGCAGCAATTTGCAGAGGCTAAATCACTGTCAAAGACTTGCTGCTCCAGTCTAAATCACTGGACTGGTAGAGCACAGCAATTGAAAATCAATTAAGCAGAATAAGCAGCAAAAGCATAAAAAGATGGAAAACGTACAAAACATAATAAAGCAAATACGAAAGTCCAGGCATAAACAGAATAAAGCATCCTTCCTGAATTTTCACACACATGGATATGATATCCTTATTCAAATAGTTTCTTGCAGATCATTAACTCTATCTTGCGTATCGCTAGCTCATTCTTCTCTTCTTATTCTCAAATTGAGATAGGAGTCTCTAGCTGCCTTCAGTTTGTTGACAACAACATCCACTTGCCCCCGCTCAGTTGGTGATATTGCAGAGCATGAGAGTCCTATCTGCATCACTGAAACCAAACATTCCTCCAATCTTGTTGCTTGGATAGGGCTGCCATGCTGATAGCTTGTGGTTCGTCTTGTTCGTATTTCACTTTCGTATCTTTCTCCATCACCATGTGCATCATTTCTTTCAATGAGCAATGAAGGGTCAATTATGTCCATGACATGGTCAGGCATTTGATTGCTGTGAATTGGTGAATGCTTAGACCATCTTTGAACATGTCATCTGTAGGTCTTTTTCCAGTGAACATTTCTAGCAACAGTATTCCAAAGCTATAAATATCTCCCAGAATGGAAACTTGGCCTCCCATGCCGTACTCTGTCATTCAATTCATGCATTATGATGTCACACTCAAATCATTTACAAGTTACATCTCATTTCGATTATCTTTCTTTTGTTTTATTGGAAGAGACTTAATAAGTTGGCTTAGTCATAAACTTATTAGGTAGAGAGAAAAAGAGAATGATACCTGGAGGAATGTAGCCTATCGAACCCCTTAGCCCAGCTGACATGGTTTGACTTTGGGAGTAATTATCTGATGCTTCCAAGAGGAACCTTGCTAAACCAAAGTCACCAACATGGGCTACCATATCTTCACCAAGAAGAACATTGCTTGGCTTTAGATCACAATGAACAATGGTTGTTTCACAACAGTGGTGGAGATAATCTAATGCAGAAGCAATGTCAGTCGCAATATTGAGTCTTTGGATAAGGCTCAATCTCTTACTTTGTTGAGGTTGCTCATCATCTCTAGGATGCAGCCATGAGTCTAGACTTCCATTTGCCATGAACTCGAATACTAGACTCTTGAAGTCATTACCCTGATTATCAATGCTCGAGCATGCAGTAATGATCTTGAGAAGATTACGGTGCCGTATACTTCTTAAAGCTTTGCATTCATCAATGAAACTCCTGAAAGCTCCTCGTTGTTGAAGATTTAATACCTTAACAGCAACTGCCCTCCCATCACTAGGAAGTACTCCTTTGTAAACAGAACCAAAACTTCCGGAACCAATCAAATTGTCCACAGAGAAGCCGTTAGTTGACTCAACGAGTTCCAAGTAAGAGACTGATTTCCAGCCCTTATAAGAATCTGAAGTTACTAGGCCACCTCTTGACTTTTCACCTTCGAGCGAGCAACAATGAAGCATGACAGAACAATTATGCATGCAACTGCACAAGCTACAAGGATGATTACCTTTGGGGCAAGTAGTCGATGAGATGATGAAGTGGACTTTTTGGGAGACCACCAGACCCTATTGTTTCCAATAATTGAGAGACCACTTGCATTTGAAAAGATCCCTTCTTTAGGCAATTCACCTTCAAAATCATTATAAGAAAGATTGAGATACTTAAGAAACCTGAGCTTTTCTAAAAGTTTAGGAATCTCCCCGGATAAGTTGTTGTGTGAAATATCCATTACTTCCAAGCTTCTTAAACCTTTAAGAGAGTCAGGAATTGTTCTTTCAAATTCATTACCTTGCATATACAGGCGCTCCAACATAATACAACTGCCTAGAGTTGTTGGGATTTCACCTGATAACTTATTTCCTGACACATCCAGCTCCACAGATTCACCACCACTTCACATGGTAACGAACCAGTCAAAGAATTGTTAGAAATTCTCAAAGAAACTGAAAGGGATGAAATCCCAAAAATCTCTCTAGGTATGGTGCCTGTTAGACGATTATTAGAAACGTCAAGTGTGAGTAGACTTTGGCAGTTCCCAAGACTTGGAGGTATACTTCCCTCAAACCTATTCTCGTCCATGAATACCGTTATCAATGAAGTCAAGTTACCTAGGGAGGACGGTATTGGCCCAGAAAATTTGTTAACATCCATATTCAATTCCTGTAACTTTTGAAGCTTCCCAATGGCATCAGGGACACTACCACTGAAATAGTTGTTATTCATTCCAAGAAGGGCCAAGCTTGTAAGATTCCCAATGCCTTCAGGGATGCTTCCATGTATAAAATTTCCCCAAATAAAGATATTTTAGTTGGGTAGATAGGTTGGCTATGGACCTTGGCAATTCTCCTCCAAAATGGTTATGGTCCAGACCCAAGTTCTCTAGGCCAGTACAATTAGCCAAGAAGCTGAGAAAAATTCAAGTCACCAGCTTTCCCACTTCCCAGTCTATTGCGACTGAAGTTTATCCAAACTAAGCTTCGCAACCTTCCAAGATTTTCAGCAGGGAGTGTCCCGGTCAAACCATTTTCAGAACAATCAAGGTACCCAAGTCTAGAAGAATTTGACCACGACGCAGGAATAGCTCCTGTGAAGTTGTTCATACCACAGTAAAAAACTTCGAGATTGGGAAGACTAATGCCAACATTTGGTGGTAGCTCTCCATGCAGCTGGTTCCCAGTAACATCGAAAGTTGTAATGGAAGAAATATTATAGATTGAAGAAGGGACAATACCAAACAGATTATTCAATGGAATTCCAAATTCCGCCAAGCGTGTCAGACGCCCGAGCTCATTTGGTATGCTTCCTCGAAAATTGTTTCTGCCAAGATAAAGATTATGCAAATAAGAAAAGTTTCCTATCCAATTTGGGATCGCTCCTATGAGATTGTTACGAGTAGCAGATACATAATATAAATTCACCAATGAACTGAGTTGGTTCGGAATGGATCCAATAAGCTCATTGTGAGCCAAACGAAGCTCTCTTAGTTGTTCACAGTGGGATACATTACTTGGAATTTCGCCGCCAAAGGAATTCCGAGACAGGTTGAGAGATCGCAGGCTCCCGAGACGACCTATTTCTTGAGGAATTTCACCAGCAAAGCTGTTGTTCATCAGGTCGATTCCGGTAAGGTGAGAAAGATTTCCTATAGATTTTGGTAAGGAGCCTGCCAGTTTTTGAGCAGTCAGCTTCAGAATCACAACTCTTTTGGTGCAACGGTTGCATGTAACGCCAACCCAATTGCAGAAATGAACGGAATCGTTCCATGAGCTCATGACATGGAGAGGATCTTGAGTGATTCTTTTCTTCAAGTCCAGCAGCGCCAGACGATCAGTTTCATTTCCAAAGGTATCACAACTAGGTAGAGTTGCAGATTCCAGAGGTGTGTTCATGCATAAAAGAAGGAATCCATGAAGGAAGGTAAACAAAATCAGCCTACCATGAGGCTCCATCCTTCCGTAAATACAAAGCAAATCTGAAAGGCTTAATTATGTACATGCCCCCTGTGCTTTTACGTTTTTCTCAGATTACCACCTGTGGTGGAAAACGTCTCAAAGTACCCCCCAACGTATAAATAACCGTCTCAATTTACCCCATCCGTCAAATTTTTTGACGGTCCGTTACGAACAGTGGGCCCCACTTCGTTTTAACCTTTAAGCTGTTCGAATAAGGGTTTCTCAGTTTGTAACAAAGGGGAAATTGGGTTTAGGGTTCATTGGAGAAGAGGGTTGTTGTCAAAATCTGAGGGTTCCTTCGATTTTGGGAGAAATTGGAGAAGAAATCATTCTTTGTAAAACTCTGAGGTGGAGTTTGAAATTGGAAGATTGTGGAGTAGAAGATTTGGGATGATGGAAACAGGAGAGAAGCAAGGAGAAGGAGGGCATGGCCAATGGTGTCATTGTGGGAAGTTAGCACGGATGCAGACTTCTTGGACCAGTTCAAACCCAGGGCGAAGATTTCTAGTCTGCCCAAAGTCAAAGGTAAGCATGTTTAAGATAAAATTTTCAGTCATTATTTTGGGCATCACAAATTGATAGAGTTGTTAGTGATGAAATTGTCAGTGATTGATGAAATTTTCAGTCATTTTACCACCCAAATTTTCAGTCATTGTTCTTGGTTGATACAGGGAAGGGGAGAAAAAGGATGTAGGTTTTTTCAGTGGTTTGATGCAGAAATGTGTGAGCGTTCAAAATCGTTGATACCTGGTTTGCTGAGGAAGATTGATAGGGTGGAGAAGGAAAATGCAAATATTCGAGCAAAGTCAAAAATATTGTGGGCTGCTATGTTGCTTTCGTGGTTGGTGGTGTTTGCCATGAAGATGAATTAGGCACTTTGGCAGTAGTTCATTGGGCATTGTAATTTGATACCTGATGTTAATGTAATGTAAGGCATTTTGGCAGTAGTTAAGCATTTTGGCAGTAGTTAAGCACTTTGGCAGTAGTTTAATGGGCAAATTTAATTTGAGAACAAATGCTAATCTAATGTAAGACACTTTGGCAGTGTAATGTAATGTCATTTGGTGTAATGTAATGTAATGCTAGTTAAGTTTACTGGATATGTAATTTGTTTAGGGGTTACAAATGGTGACATGAATGGTAAGCTGTTTAGAGGTTACAAATGGTGACATGAATGTAATGCTAGTTAGTTAAGTAATGTAATGCTAGTTAAGTTTGATATGTGATATGAATGGTAAATTGAATGGTAATTTCTTGATGAATGTAGAAGAAGATAACCAAAATTCAGTTTTCCCTAAAAAAGCAGGACCTGCCTTCTTTGCCAAAGTTTATGGTGGATATGTAGCTTTTGGTAACATGCCAAAGTTTACTGGAATCTGGAAAGCAAGAGGCAAAGCCCAAAACTAGCAAAAGCACCTGTCATTATAAGCACAAACCAAAACAGAAAAGGTTCCAAAACAGAACACAAACCAAAACAGGTTCCAACCATAACAGTCTTATGAATATATGCACAAACCAAAACAGGTTCCAAAACAGATTCCAACCATAACAACCTTAGGAAATATGCACAAACCAAAATAGGTTCCAAAATTGGTTCCAACCATAACATACATTAAATATTCAGGTTCCAAAACAGGTCCAACCATAACATACATCAAATATTCAAACCATAACATACATCAAATACTTAGGTTCCAAAACAGGTCCAACCATAACAACCAACAACCATTAAAGTCTTACATATGTTGGGATTTCTAGGTTCCTAATAACCAAAGTCATCAAGTCAGAAACCAAATCAAATACATTTAAATGTAAAGCAATAATTCTAAAAACCACATACCTTACAACTACTTCGATTATGCCCTTCTCCACCGCAATTGGCACACTTTAAAGGGATGCCATACCTAGGAAGCTTATATGGATTAGAAGGAAGTTTAGGTTCTTCAACAGCTTGTTTTCTTGTCTTCTTAGGCCTACCAGGCTGCTTGTGGTATTTCGGAGGGAGTAATGGAGGTAAATTAACCTTCATCCACTGATCTTGGCTAGTCATAGGCATAATCATTGGTTGATAGGCTCTCAAATAAGCCTCTTTCTTGTACACTGCATCACAAAAGTCCTCTGGATTCCCATGAAACCAACTTATTGCAGCACATGCATGCAAACATGGTATTCCATTCAAATCCCAAGCATGGCATGAACAAGAGTGGCCATTCAAATCAACAGCAAAGGTGCGGCCACTATGGTGCATTACTTCAAACTGATTCTGTCCAGCAGCCTTAGGAATGCACCACTGAGCTTTTGCTTTGTTTTTCTCTAATATCTTTCTAATTCTTGGCCCAACTTGTCCATGCCATTTCTCACAGAGAACCCTTCTTCCCGCCATCAACAACATTATATACAACCGAATTCTTTCTAGCATAGTCAGAATAGGCTTGTCTCGGGCATCCATTATGCTACGGTTGAATGCCTCACATAGATTGTTCATAAGCATGTCACACTTGGAATCACTCTTGAAATATGCCCTACTCCAATGCCTAGGATCTTTCTCCATGAGCCAATCATGTGCAGGTTTAGACAACTGCAACATCTTTGTCATCTCTGCATGAAACCATGGCACTGTTGTGGCTCTAGCAATTGCTTCCATTTGATGTTTCAAGGCAAGACCTCTATGTTCCAAATAGAAGTTCCCATATAGATGTTTCAAACAATGTCTATGCTCTGCCTGAGGGAATAGAGCATCCACAGCATCTATTAACCCTTTTTGTTTGTCAGTCATAAATACATAACCATGGCTATTCGTAATATTGAGATCACCACTCAATAATTCTAAAAACCACAGCCATGTTGAATTGCTCTCAATCTCTACATATGCATAGGCAAGTGGAAACATTCCGTTGTTTGCATCAACTCCCATTGCAGAAAGCACTTGCCCAGGGTGAGGCCCTTTGACATGACACCCATCCAAGCAAACCACAGGCCTACAACCATCTAAAAACCCCTTCTTGCAGGCTGCAAGACAGATGTAAATTCTTTGAAACCGTGGCCTATCACCTTCCATTTCAGATTTAATGATAACTGTACTTCCCACATTCCTGGTTCTTAACTCATGACAATATTCCCACAATACTTCATATTGTTTGCTGTAAGACCCCTCTACAATGTCAACTGCCATGGCTCTTGCTCTGTACACAGTTGCTCTAGATGGTCTGTAACCATAGTCTTGGTGAACTTGCTCTACAAAAGAAGAAGCAGTCCAATTTGGATTGAGCCTTAACTGCCCAGAATATCTTTCAGCCAACCAGCCAGCAGTAGCATGTATATTTTTAGTCCCCTTGCTACAAACATGTGTAGGATTAAAGGTTTTCACCTGCAGGTAAGTGCTACCACTAACACTTGAAGCATAGATAACAAAAGGACAGCCCTCTTCACATACTGCTCTTATTTTGTTACGGTCATTATGCATAAAAATCAACTCCCTTCCACAATTAATGGAGTATATCCTCACAGCTTTTCTAAACAACTCGGCAGTTGCAAACCTTAAACCTATTTTGAAACTTGGGCTTCCCATATCAATTTCAGGTCTGAAATCTTCACCTTTTGGCATCCTATTCTTCTTCCTTCTTACTTCACCCACTGCATCATCTTCACTTTGTGAACTATTTGGGCAGGTAAGTGTAGGTGACTCTTCTCCATTGTCTGACTCATCATTTTGCTCTGCATTAGGATCATTGTCAAAAATACTATGATCCACATAACCTTCAAACCACTTATCATCATTCTTCAATAATTCAATCTCTTCATCACTCTGTGCATAGTCACTGTCTTCAAAGTCTGGATCACTGCTATCATCATTCTCAGAACAAGAATATTCTTTATCACTGCTATCATTCCCCACTTGGCTTGAAGTTAAGCTCACTACCTTCAAGTACAAAACTACAACCCTGCTATTGCTTTTAGGTACCATGCTCATACAAGCTAAAAGTGTACTATCAGATATTATTTGAATGAGTCTGCTAGTTCCAAACTCTTCACCATAAAAACTCACATCATACCCATCGTCATATCCCAAATCTTTAGCCATTCCAAATAGCTCTAACATGGACATATAGTCAACCTCACAGTAATCAAACCAACTGACTTCACCACCTAAATAAGACCACTGACTGTCCTTTCTATTTTTCACTAGTTTACCTCCATGGAAAAACTTAAATGTGACAACCTCATCAGCATCTTTATCTGCGTAACAGGAACATTCACTTAACAAATGGAAAAAAACACACAAAGAGAAAAGAAGGACCACACAAAGGATAATACAAGGAACACCCAAGGACCACATAAGGTATATTGGGGCCAGCACAGAATAAAAAAATATATGAAAGAACAAAAAAATTTCTAGCAACACACCACACTAGGAACATGCAAGGACCACACAATGATCACACCAGAACCAGCAGAGTCAAAAAGTATACAAAAACAAAAACAAAATCCTAACAACAGTTCAATGCACATGCCAAAATCAAGAAAATCGAGTAACAATGGGTCCACTTACATATGGGTTGACAACCTCCAGATTCTCTAAGCACCACCATCTTCGCACCTTCTAGCCTTAAAGTCTAACGCCAACGAATGATTTCTTCTCCAATTTCTCCCAAAATCGAAGGAACCCTCAGATTTTGACAACAACCCTCTTCTCCAATGAACCCTAAACCCAATTTCCCCTTTGTTACAAACTGAGAAACCCTTATTCGAACAGCTTAAAGGTTAAAACGAAGTGGGGCCCACTATTCGTAACGGACCGTCAAAAAATTTGACGGATGGGGTAAATTGAGACGGTTATTTATACGTTGGGGGGGGGGTACTTTGAGACGTTTTCCACCACAGGTGGTAATCTGAGAAAAACGTAAAAGCACAGGGGGCATGTACATAATTAAGCCAATCTGAAATCAAGTGTTTGTTTGTTTGTAAATTGTCTGTAAATTGTCTCTATTTTTCTTTTTCTTTTTCTTCGCTTTTTCTGTCAAAATAAGAATCCAAGTTTCGTTTACCGGAATTCAAAAGAAGGACCAAATGTAGTGTTGCAGGAAATTGAAGACCAAATCTTATCACACACATCTTTTTTAAAAGACAAAGGTGTGGTGTGTTATTGGTGGAAATTTTAGTGGAGGAGTAAAAAACTCAAACAAGTTTGAAAGTGTGCATGGAAGAGAGAAATCTTAGTCCAAAGAAAAATAAAATAAAAAGCTTCATTATGTTAGTGTTGGAAAAATTGTAGACTAAAACAATTTTGATTTGTGCATAAAAACAGAGGAAAACAAACGAACTTCGTTGGCAACTGTTGGAAAATTTTAGTGGGTGATAAAAAAGTTCAAATATTCTAAAAGTGCGAATAATGGAGTAGAAGAAGTCTTATCTCATCATCAAAAGGCTTAATTACTATTTTACCCCCTAAAAGTCTTATCTCATCATTAAACGAGCGCTCGGTCCCATTTTACTCTATGAAGTTAAAATTTTCTCACTTAACCCTCAGAATCTCTAAAATTTGATGAAATTTTCTCACTTAACCACTTCCATCAATTTTTATCTATAAAACCGTTCATTGAGCTGATGTAATATGTGCATTTTAGTAATTTTAGCTATTAAAAAATTTAAAATTCAAATTAATATAACAAAACAAAACAAGTTTTTTTTTGGGTGCAAAACTATGCATCTGTTTGGTCTCTCTCATCGTATTTTGTCAAAATATTCGTAAAAGTCAGTCATGTTATGGCACACTATCGTGTCGACCAAATTGATGTGTAGACAAAAAAATAGGGATAATATTGATTGATTTAAGATTTTTAGAACTAAGTGAGAACTTTCTTAGAGACCACTATCATTTTGCATCAAAGGGAAGTACTCCTTTGTAAATTCACCAATGAACTGACTTGGTTCGGAATGGATCCAATAAGCTCATTGAAAGATAAACGAAGCGCTCTTAGTTGTGCACAGTGAGATATGTTGCTTGGAATTTTGCCGCCAAAGGAATTCCGAGACAGGTTGAGAGATCGCAGGCTTCCAAGACGACCTATTTCTTGAGGAATTTCACCAGCAAAGCTGTTGTTCCTCAGGTCGATTTTGGTAAGGTGAGAAAGATTTCCTATAGATTTTGGTAAGGAGCCTGCCAATTTTTGAGCAGTCAGCTTCAAAATCACAACTCTTTTGGTGCAACGGTTGCATGTAACGCCAACCCAATTGCAGAAATGAAGGGAATCATTCCATGAGCTCATGACATGGAGAGGATCTTGAGTGATTCTTTTCTTCAAGTCCAGCAGCGCCAGACGATCAGTTTCATTTCCAAAAGTATTACAACTAGGTAGAGTTGCAGATTCCAGATGCATAAAAGAAGGAATCCATGAAGGAAGGTAAACAAAATCAGCCTACCATGAGGCTCCATCCTTTCGTAAATACAAAGCAAATCTGAAATCAAGTGTGTGTTTGTTTTATTTCCTAAATTTTATTACTACAATAGAGGGTTCATATTAAAACAAAGAAATTTCTTAGTTATGACATGTTTTACCTTCTAATTAAGGAGTTACACTCTCAAACCAATTGCATTCTCTAATATCAACAACCCCTCCTTGTGTGCCGTTGATGATCTGACAACATTGTCTACGTGGTGCCTGCCCATTTCTCCTTGTGTGCATGTATACAACAAAACAAATAATAACTCCATGCATATATGCCACTAATTGCGCTGAACTATTACACAGCAAATTCAGCAGAAGATTTAGGCGCTTTCTGTTTATCGTTTTCTTCCCTCCACATTATATTTTGACTATCTGGTCCACGAATCTTGATCTTGGGTCAATGCCTCTAAAGCATTTCAGTTTGGTAACTAATCTATAAAATTATGACAAAAATATCAATGAAACTAAGGGCTATATATGAAGTCCATGTTCTTATTTTTATCTCATTCTAGAGAATTCATGCAACTAATTAAAAGGCAAATTTTAAATTCCCCACCTTATCCCACAGTTCTGAACACACCATGGATGAGCAATTGGTGGATATGGGACAATCCACACCAGGGACGAAAAAAAAAAAAAAAAAAAAAAAAAAAAAAAAAAAAAAAAATCTCCAAACAACAAAATAAAGAGTAAAAATTTCAACAACGTTACTTAAAGACAAAGTTCATATAATTTAATGTTCATATATTTCTTTCATTTTTTGTGCTACAGTAACCACTCCATTTTAGAACGAACTTCGTACGAACCTGAATAGTCCGATTTCATGGACCAATCGAAATCGGATTGAGTCCAAAACTTGGGGAACAACATAATATGGTGGGAGGAGTCATTTGGTTGGTTTGGGGTGAAATCCAATGGCTAAAACTATGCAATACACCAACCACTCCATTTCAGAACGAACTTCCTACGAACCTGAATAGTCCGATTTCATGGACCAATCGATATCGGATTGAGTCCAAAACTTGGGGAACAACATAATATGGTGGGAGGAGTCATTTGGTTGGTTTGGAGTGAAATCCAATGGCTAAAACTATGCAATACACCAACCACTCCATTTCAGAACGAACTTCCTACGAACCTGAATAGTCCGATTTCATGGACCAATCGATATCGGATTGAGTCCAAAACTTGGGGAACAACATAATATGGTGGGAGGAGTCAGTTTGGTGGGTTTTGAGTGAAATCCAATGGCTAAAACTATGCAATACACCAACCACTCCATTTCAGAACGAACTTCGTACGAACCTGAATTGTCCGATTTCATGGACCAATCGATATCGGATTGAGTCCAAAACTTGGGGAACATCATAATATGGTGGGAGGAGTCATTTGGTGGGTTTTGAGTGAAATCCAATGATAAAACTATGCAATACACCAACCACTCCATTTCAGAACGAACTTCGTACGAACCTGAATTGTCCGATTTCATGGACCAATCGATATCGGATTGAGTCCAAAACTTGGGGAACATCATAATATGGTGGGAGGAGTCATTTGGTGTGTTTTGAGTGAAATCCAATGCATAAAACTATGCAATACACCAACCACTCCATTTCAGAACGAACTTCGTACGAACCTGAATCGTCCAATTTCACGGACCAATCGATATCGGATTGAGTCCAAAACTTGGGGAACATCATAATATGGTGGGAGGAGTCATTTGGTTGGTTTTGAGTGAAATCCAATGGTTAAAACTATGCAATACACCAACCACTCCATTTCAGAACGAACTTCGTACGAACCTGAATCGTCCAATTTCACGGACCAATCGAAATCGGATTGAGTCCAAAACTTGGGGAACATCATAATATGGTGGGAGGAGTCATTTGGTGTGTTTTGAGTGAAATCCAATGGATAAAACTATGCAATACACCAACCACTCCATTTCAGAACGAACTTCGTACGAACCTGAATCGTCCAATTTCAGGGACCAATCGAAATCGGATTGAGTCCAAAACTTGGGGAACATCATAATATGGTGGGAGGAGTCATTTGGTGTGTTTTGAGTGAAATCCAATGGATAAAACTATGCAATACACCAACCACTCCATTTCAGAACGAACTTCGTACGAACCTGAATCGTCCAATTTCATGGACCAATCGATATCGGATTGAGTCCAAAACTTGGGGAACATCATAATATGGTGGGAGGAGTCATTTGGTTGGTTTGGAGTGAAATCCAATGGCTAAAACTATGCAATACACCAACCACTCCATTTCAAAACGAACTTCGTACAAACCTGAATTGTCCGATTTCATGGACCAATCGATATCGGATTGAGTCCAAAACTTGGGGAACACCATAATATGGTGGGAGGAGTCATTTGGTTGGTTTGGAGTGAAATCCAATGGCTAAAACTATGCAATACACCAACCACTCCATTTCAGAACGAACTTCGTACGAACCTGAATTGTCCGATTTCATGGACCAATCGAAATCGGATTGAGTCCAAAACTTGGGGAACAACATAATATGGTGGGAGGAGTCATTTGGTTGGTTTGGAGTGAAATCCAATGGCTAAAACTATGCAATACACCAACCACTCCATTTCAGAACGAACTTCGTACGAACCTGAATTGTCCGATTTCGTGGACCAATCGAAATCGGATTGAGTCCAAAACTTGGGGAACATCATAATATGGTGGGAGGAGTCATTTGGTTGGTTTGGAGTGAAATCCAATGGCTAAAACTATGCAATACCAACCACTCCATTTCAGAATGAACTTCGTACGAACCTGAATTGAGAGGGAAGATGAGAGGAGAGGATGGGAGGGAGGAGTAACAAAAGTGAAAACAAAAACCACAAACTGAAATCTATTTCAAATTGTTTTCACTTTTGTTACTTATCTCTCTCATCCTTTCCTCTCATCCTCAATCTCATTCTCACTCTCATTTTCCTCTATAATATAGCACAAAAAATGAAAACTAAAAACTAAAATTGAAACTATCAAACAAGCCCTTAGATTGTTATTCATTCTCAGCAATATTTTTGTTTTGTTTTCCTTTCTTGTTAAAATTTGGTGAATTTAATCTGAACAGAGGGACTGTGTTGTGCAAAGAAGAACTATAAATTGGCAAAGCACAGTCCTCTCAGTCCTCTTGTCCCTCCTTAGTCCTTTCCTTTGTGATCAGAACAAAGTCTCACTCGCTCTGTGATCTCGAACTACTCTGTCATCCAAATAATCGAATCGATACTGGAATATAGGGAATTGAGGGAACTTGGTCTCTTTTACCATTTTTTATATTTACTCTCCACATCCATCTCTCTCTCCATCTCAAATATCTCTCCATTTCTTCCTCAAACTTAGTCCCCTTCTCAAGCTCATCACCCACGAAAACCCACATGTGAACCCCACGAAACGAAAACCCTTTCCTGTTTCTCTCCTTGCTCACTTGAGCACTCTTTTCAAAGTTTTCCTTCAATTTTCTTATCAGACACAACTTTCTTGTCAGGCACAATTTTTCTTTCTTCCTTTTTCTTTATGGTCATGTTTTGTCTTTACCTTACCTTCCGTCTCATGTGCTCCTGGCACCCTTGTATTTCTCTATTTTTCCCATGCTATCTCTCTTTATTCACTCTCCACTACTTTTCGCTACCCAACTCCTATTTCTTTTTCGGTGGGTCTCTCATTTGTTTTATTTTATTTTATTTATTCTTTTTCAACAACCTAGCCATGTGGAGAATTTATCAAAAATAGCCAAAACTTGATCTTTAATTTAAAAAATGTCAGTTTTTGTAAAATATTTCAAATATAGCAAAAAACTCATTTAAATAGACACAAATGCCCTCAAATTTAAAACCCGTATAAACCTAAAAAATAAACCTTATTAAATAAAAATTTGGAATATTTTTAACCCACGCTTGTACAGAAGAACAGAAGTTGAAATATATCATCCTATTTATTGATATTTTAATCAATTTAAATTTAGTCTCAATCCAAGCATCACCAAACATCAGTTAAGTGTTATTCAACTTAAGCCAATTCAAGCCAAGACAATTTCTGAGAATAGTTCATGCCAAGACAATCTTCCGTAACAAACGAGGCTGAAGGGGCCAACTTGGCAAATGACTGAACGACTTGTCGCCGGTTCAATTGCCCAAGTCTATCCGAATGACACCATTATTTTGTCTTCTTTGATGGATCAATCCACTGAGTGTTCCCCGCACGCATAAATGTTGCACCGGCTTCTCAAAGAAGCTAATAAGTTTCAAAATTGGCAGCCCATCCGACACTTCACATTGCCTTTTAAAAGCTATTGAGGCCCAAAAATCCAAGGGGCTAGGCCCAGATCTATTATCGGCCCAACAGGGATAATTGAACACAAGGGGAACCCGATCGGGACAAAAGAGAATATATAGGACACACCAATGCAAGCCACAGGCCACGTGTCATGCCAAACAAGCACATGCAAAAGGGCCAAGAACATACCAACTTTACAAAATCACGCTCATCTACCTATCCAGTGTTACTTGGCCTAATTATAGCCTATTACGGCATAATAAAAACTCAAGCACAAGCATGATAAATAAATGCCATGCAAATGACCACTATTCTAATACCAAGCCATGCCACAAGCTTAAGTGGGCCCATGCCACAAAATTACCCGGGGCTTGCTGAGAAGGTTGTGGTGTGGATGGGTAAAAGCATTCGCAAGGCCCATTGAGGGATCAAGGAATGGAAGTTTTGGGTTGCTTGGGAGCACAAAAACTCAAGCCCATTTCTTGGACCCAAACACATGGGCTAGCATGGGAGAGAGAACATAGCCCAATGCCTTAGAAAGAATATAGTAGTTTGCTTTGGAAACCCTATGTTAATTAGAATGCCCAAATACTTTGTTAAAAATGCAACAGGCAAACTGCTTCCAGCAACTTGACGAAAACAAGCTCACCAGTCGCTGTAGAGTAGAATATCACTGACCCAAAGCCTAGAGAAAATCCCAGCCCAACAATCTATAAAATATCTAGCAAACACGTTCAGCCTTTGCCCAAAGTTATACAACGGAGTCAACAGAAGCCAACACCAAAACCAGAGGAAATCCATACGAGCAAGAGGTTTACTCGTTGGGTAAACATTATGTCCATTCCCCCTTTTCCTCTGTTAGTGATAAGTCCATAAATATACTCATTTATGTACTCTTTTTACTTAGGTTTTGTAGGAGAATTAGATTTAAAAAGGGCTTACTACTTTACTTTTCTGATTTTCAGCTTTTCTGCGCTCTTAGAAGGTTTTTAGGGAAAAATCAACTTTTTGGAGGAATTTTAGCGCAAGGCCAATTAGAGATGAAAGCTAACATCTTGAAGTTCAATCTGTGATTTTTCTAGAATTTTCTACCAAGCCAATTGGTACAGTATTACAAGTAAAGTTAGCCCAAGTGCAGACAAGACAGTTTCGTACATGTTACGTGAATGTGAAGAACGGAAGCCTTCCCGAATTTTCCAAGTTACGTGCTATATATGGTTGGAAAGATAAGACATTTATCTTTCTAAAATATATTTTTAATGATTTTTCTACAAGGCCGAAGATCCCCAAATCGTGTGACAATTGGGCTGAGCTGTATTTCCCTGTGGAGTTAGGAATTGTGATTTTTACTTTCCTATTTGGATTCCTTGTTTACCAAGACTTCTTGGACGACTCTCAGTCAATTTTAGGGTTTATAACTTTGATATAAGTGATATAAAAGGCCAGCCAAGGCCCCGATATAGAGGATTCACGTCCAAAAGGGATCAACCGCGTAAGAGGAGAAAGCTGCCAACGAGTTCTTTCTTTTCCTTTCTTCTTTTAAGTTTCAGTTCTTATGTATTTATTTTTGAGTTCATCCAAGAGCATGAGTAACTAATTTCTTGTTAGTTAGGGCTTAATCTTGAAGCCCTAAACATGATTTCAATTCTATAAACAAGTTTGAATGGATTTTCAGTTTCTACAAGTGTGATGATTTCGGTTTCTCTATGTTATGTGAATTCTGATATTTTGTTTCTTTGAGTAGCTAACTTTGAAGCATGTATTGGAATTAAATTGTTGTAGAACATAGGTCAATTGCCATATTGAATGTGTTCTTGTTTGCAACGAATAATTGGGTTAAGAACTAGTTATGAGAAATCGATTCTTGAATTCCTAATAACAAATGCCATGTTTTAGGTTTTTTGTGACACTCATATTCTCTTTGATCTTAATGGATTCTTGATTGTTAATTTGAGTAAATGCCATACTAGATTTCAATTAAGAATACACGTATTGATGTAAATGCCATACACTTTACATGCACTTAAGAGAGAATCATACAACTCGAGTCAAATGCCATGATCTTGTTGTGAGTGTCGTCATCATATGCTTGCTAGAAATTGATTATCTGTTGTTGTTTATGAATTGATTGATTGGTTAGAGGTGGATAGTGAGTCCTAGCTATTGTTCTTGATTGATTATAAACCAATTTCTCTTAAACTCTAATTTAAATTCTGTTTTGTTTTGTTTTCCTTATTTTGTTTTATTCACAAAATCAAATCAAAACCCCCCTTGGTGTTGGCGTGTGTGTGGAAGTCCTTGTGTTTTCGTTGCGTGACATTGATAAACATCTCTCTAGATTACAATCTATGTGGGAATGACCCTTGCTTGCTTACTATACTATCATTTGATTTGTGCACTTGCAAGGTTTTAAATATTGTTGTTAAAAATTACCAACAGTTAGCTCCCATAGGAAAAATCGAGAAGAAAGTGAGTGGCGCTTCACCCTTATGGAGAAAGACCAGCTATGCCAAAACCTTGGAACCACAAAGAGATCATTACCTATCCGCCTTGGATGGGAGAATTTCACCAAAAAAGATTAAGTGGAAAGAAGCAACGAAAAAGGGAAGAAAGGGTTAGATGAAAATAGGGTTCTTTGTGCCTATAAAAGAGGGCTTCTGCTACCCAGAAAAACAACACATCCAGACCCTGACCAAGCTTTGTCAAGCAACCTGGAATTTACTCAAGCCACCCAATCTCCTTCCTCCGTTGTTTTCTTCTTTCCCTGAGATAAAAATCTCCCTAATCTTCATCTGTGCCGGTTTAAATTTTTGTCCACTATAAGAAACTCATGCTTCTCTCTCTCTCTCTCTCTCTCTCTCTCCTCTCTCTCTCTCTCTCTCTCTCTAACTTGTGAAAGCTTAGCTCCCATGCCACAAGCTCCTCAAGCCAAGTCATTCATCGATTTGTTGTGTCCTTTGGCCATTAGTGAAGATGACCTAAAAGAGTTTTTCTAAGGTTTAATCAAACTCTTCAAAAACCCTTTTGGGAGCTTGGTTCTCGAACTCAGGCACTTGGGGAATTTTTGTCCGTTTTCCTCTTATGGCAGCCCAAGCCCATTCGTCAAGCTGCTGGAACAAAAAGACCCTTACAAAAGCCACACAACCATATTTGTACAATTTGAGCGACAAAGTCAAAAGAATTTTCCACATAAAAGAATTGATTAGTAGGCCAAAGAAAAATCAAATCATGATATAAGTTAGTGTTCCCAACATTTTCCACTTAAAAATTATATCCTTGTTGCTGAGCTTGGTTGGATTTTACTTTTTGTTGTATTGTTGTGCCTTTTTGTGGTTTCTTAATAAAATTTAGGGTTTTTCCAATATAGGTCCCTACAATTTTTATTTCCTAGACATATACCTATCAATCTTACTGGTCATTTAAGTTTAAAATTGGGTTTTACACATAGATTTGTAAAATTGTGCCCCAACACCTTTCTCTCGTGGGCTCAACTTCTCTCGAACTCCTCCGCTCTAAATTCTCACCAAATCTTCAAACCCTGCAAAAGATTAACAAAAACCACCTCACAATTTATTCACACAAGCCTTGCCGAACGGCAAGGCCCATGGAGAAGAATGAAGGGCCACGAAACATTAAAGGCATATTACATGTCCTCTTGATGAACAACAACACCAAAGGCGAGCTTGGGGACACCTCAGCCGACGCCGTATGCACTCACGGTTCTCTCCCGATGATCTCTAACGCCATAGCAGAGGACTCCAAATTCCCTAACGCCAAAAGCTGTGCAGACCTGAAAAGAGACTTCGAAAACCAGCAACTCTGGACCCTCACCAAAGGCCCAAAAGCCCAGCCCCCGGTTTGCCAAGACTAACAAAATTCAAAAACCTCCCTTGTCGAAGATGGAAGACCTTGCCCTTGCTGAACGGCAAGGGTTGTTCAAAAATTGATTGGAGGCTCATGACAAATACACAACTCAATAAAAATCCCTGACTAAGGATCCCAATTGCAGGTCTAGCTCCCAAATTATTATGCATAAAATAAGAACGGTACCAGCCAGACTTGCCGAAGCCTCCTACGTTCTATGAAAAGACACGAACAAAATCTTCTAAATTTAGCTTACCGAACGGCAGTAGGCGTGAAGAAGGTTTCAGAACACTGAAGGGAGACAGACAGCCAAGTCTCACCGTCGCATCACTTCGGAACCATCCATGCCGAACGGCAAGAGGTCTCCACCGGTCATTCGATTTTTCCCCTCAGTCAAACCTTGCCGAGCGGCACCCTTCAAGCAAGATCCTCGCTAGTTGCTTTTGCCAAACACTCTTTGTTTGAGAAAACCCTAACCAAGGTCATCCTTGCCAAAGCCTTTTAACCCTAGGCCATGCCACTTTGCCCTCACCGAAGCCCAACTAAGGCTCAGCCCAAAACCAGGACCTAGGCCCCTCCGTGCACACCCCAAGTAACCAAATGTCATGCCCATGCGTCAACCTGGCCTGCTTGCAAAACGGCAGACATTGGGCCGACATAAATAAAGACCCAAGAGATTCTTCCCCTTAAAAAAAGATTTAAAAAAAAGGGAAACCTGCCGAACGGCAAGCGTGGTTTAGAAGAAGAGGGGCTCACAAAATACTCTCCAAACGGCCTTTGCCGAATCTTCTTGAGCCAAGACCCGAGAGGCCCAAACCACAACCAAGACTTGCCGAAGCTTTTACGCAGCCTAGCCCAACAATTTTACTTAACCAAAGCCCTTGGCCCTTTGCCAAGGCTAAGGTCACGCCCTAGGCTCGATGCCGAAGACCTAGCACCCTCTCGTAGGCTCTCTTCCGGAGACATACCTTCAAAGATGGCGCAACTTCTAGCTTGCCAACTTGGGGGACTAGGGAATGCCCTACGGTTCCCACTAAATCTAGAATGCTCAGTCATGATTACACAAAAATCTCACAAGTTCCCAACCCAGAAGTTACTTCTTGACCACGAACTTGGGGGACTACTGTTTACACGATAATCAACCGAGCATATCCAGCATCAAAGCAACTAGCACCAAAGGTAGACACGCCTTCTTCCTTGTTGAAGGAAAACATCCTTTCGAGGTGCCAGACACCTGCCGAAACTCACAATTTCTGAACCTAATCTCCAAGACACGTGTCGCCACCACAGTGACTTGCACAAAGTCCCACATCGAAACTTTGTACAAAGCTCCCATTTTCACTTCCCCATAAATAAGGAACAGTGCCCAAGTAAAAAGGGTAACTTCTCTCTCACTGTTACTGTTACTCTGCCACTTTTACCACCCATAGCTGACATAAGCATCGGAGAGCCTTCGGCCGGCACCACACCGATGAAAGAAGCTTAATGACTGCTTCTCCTACTTTGTCTTCTGCAGGCTCTTCCATTGCGGAAGGTCCTCACCTTCTCCCCTGCTAAAGACTATCCACTTCCCTCTAAGTTGACCTCCCAAAAAGAGCATCAACAGTAATAATAAAAATATTTCAATAAAATAAATCTTCCGAAACTTCTGGTTCAAATCAAAGGTAAATCAAAGAACTGTAGGTTTTAAAATATTTCAACTTTGGATCGTACTTTTTACCTTAAAGGTGTTAACAACACCGATATTGTCCCCAACTTACCATCTACAAAGCCTAGTAGGTGTGGGTTTTATCACAAAAGGCCTCAGTGATATTAGTAGTGGAACCATTTATTATATATTTTATTTTATTTAGTTAAGTTTTCGATGTGGGACTCATATTCTTCAACACGCCCCCTCACGTGGGACCACCGCATAGTGGGCCACACATGGAGCCAAGTCCACATCGAAGTCGATCATTCAAGCCCAACACATGAGCACTACGTATTGGGTAAAGGGTAGAGGTAAACATTCAAGCCCAACATGTGAACATTACATATTGGGTAAGGGTAAAGGCCAAATTCAGGCCCAGTCAATCAACCCACTCTGATACCATGTTAAATTCAGAGAGACGGGCCAGTGCCCATTACTAACAACACCGATATTGTCCCCAACGTAACTGTCACACCCCGGACCCGGGGTCAGTGAAAACCCTGCGCTCGGTGCGTGAGAAAATAAAAACTAAAATAAAATAAAAAGAAGCCGAAACATGGGTTTAAAATAAACTTCTCTTATAAAAAATAGTTCTAAAATCTTACAACTTTACAAGAAATAAATAAAGCTCTATCACTCTCATCTAATTCAACCTCAACTGGTTTAGTCCTTTTCTTGCCCACTAATTCATCTAAAAAATTAAACAGGGTGAAGGGTGAGCAACCATAGCTCAGTAGGGAAATGAGACCTTACCATAGTAGACTGATATAACTAAATTAAGTGACATGCAATCACACAACCAAATATCACATTATTAATAATAATGCATGAATGAATGCTCTTAATCTATTCCCGTTAATTCATATAACTGGACAAGCAGACCTGCACGTCCCATACCATGCTTATACCACTTGGTCCTGAATGCCCATTTATATGAACTAACACCCATTTTAATCATCCCATAATTCCCCTTTTGTTAGTCATCTTGTCTAACTCCCTTTCACCAGTCCCGAATCACCCAATAAAAACCATGTGCACTGTGGGATCCCTGAGACCTAGTACCTACTAAGAGTTAGACTCAACTACACAAAAGACTATTTCCATTACCCTCTTTTCCATCATTATTTTCTTAACCCAACAACTCCAACCAATTTTCATGACATGATATAATTATGTCTTTCACATAATATAGAACTCACGAAATTTAATTAAATCAATCCCCTTAAAGGCCCCCAAGAAACCTCTACCTCAACACCAAAGCTTTTGCTAGAATTGTAAGACGACTCCTTAATTTCCACCGCATATATCCACACTCAAATTCTCTCTCTATTATTTCACTTCCTTTCTCTCTATTTCTCGTTTCTTGTTGTTATTGACAACATAGGGGAGATGCCTTATTATACTCTTACAAAAATTGGGCATGAAGTAAGAATAGATATATGGATAAGCTTGATGAATAAGGATAATTACAAATATAGGAAGATAAAATCAAGATATTTATTAACTAACTAATTTCTTAAAGGAGCTGTCAAAACACATAAGCTTTGAGCTTTAAAACAATGACACATATATTGGTGATAAGGATGAAATATGAATGCTAAACACACGTCCACTCTACCTTAAGACGATTAAAACTCATATATATATATATATAATTAACATGTCAATCTTTTTTGTCCAAGTTAACTTGCTCAGAAAGATAAAAAGAGATTTTTTAGCTACTTAATAAACAAGATATGAATAACACAATTCTAATAATGAATATTATTATAAATATATACAATTATGTAAGTTAAATACCCAAGAAATGTCTAAGGGTACCCTTTAGAGAAAATCAAATAATAAATATATTTTATAGTTATTCAAATAAACATATATATATATATTACTAAGTACGAATAATTATTAAAATAGTATTGTAAATGTAAAACAGTAGATATACATAAACGTTTAATCTTCTTTAAAAACTTTTAAGAATATGGATTTTCACAGTAACCACTAGGGGTGGGCACGGTATGAGATGACACGGGATGGAGGTCATCTCGGTGTCAATCCCGAATAGGAGAATCAGTATGGGATGACACAGGATGAGAGTTTTTGAAGACACGGGATGAGAGTTTTTGAAAACATGTTCAAACCATACCGAACCTAATCGGGATCGGTATGATTCGGTATCAATATTGATATCGTAAAAAATCTGCAAAGTTTCATAAATAAGTGTAATACAACAAAATAAACAATCAAGAATATAATTATTGACAGTAGTTAATCTTCCTAATATGAACTGTAATTGAAGCTCTTATATAGCTGGGCACTTGTTAACTTTTAGAGTTCTCATGAAATCTATCTTCCCACGCATGCTTGCATAAATTAGTGTTAAACAGTAACGTTTTCCCCTGTTCAACAATTAAATATCATCTAGTAGCCTTACCTTACCCAAGATCTTCTCAGTTTTCTTATTATTGACAATCACACAAGAATAATACAAGCAAATCAATGATGTTGGAACCAAAATCAAAACAATTTCTCACATTGAAAACAAATAATTGCAAACCAAAAGAACTTTCCATATATTATGAGAATCTGAGATCATAGTGAAATTGGTAGCAGAGGGAAATGGGTTTACAACGGCAATAAAACTTTCCATGTGGTAGTCTTATGCTAGTCTCTCACGTCATCTTCCAGTGTGGTTTTGCTATTGTCTTGTGTTGACTTATTTTTTGCTATTATCTTCCAGTGTGGCAGGTGATGGCATGGGATGCTTGGTATTTATTGCTATGTTTTGTTCCGGCCTGTATTTAAACGACTATGGTTCGTATAAAGTTAGGGTTATTATTTACATTTACTGTTCGGTACGGTATGACACGAAACGGGATCACAAAGTTGAAACCGATGTCGTGCCAAACAGTAATGGGATGACACGGTATCATCCCGTTTACACGTCAACACCAAACGGTTTGGCACAAAATTGGCATGGTTTGGCACGGTTTTGGGATGGTTTCAGTATTCCGGTTTTGATGCCCACTCCTAGTAACCACCTACAAAGCCTAGTAGGTGTGGAGTTTTTTCACAAAAGGCCTCAGTGACATTAGTATTGGAACCATTCATTTATAACAAAAGGCCTCGGTGATATCACAAAAGGCCTAGTTGTGGGACTCATATTCTTCAACAAATGATCGTACATATGAATTACTCAAACAAAAGAAAAAATAATAAATACAATGATAAATGGAAAACAATAATTATAATACTTGAATAAAATAAATTGATTGAACTTCTAGTTCTAATTAGAAAAAAATATCAAAGAACTTCAATTCTTGATTTGCTTTTCAAAACTGCCGAACTCTATATCCTTATATATTATATGGAATGAACTTTGAGGTCTTCATTTGATTGTATACAAATTAAGGATCTTCATGCCCTTTTTAGATTGACAGATCCATGTGAATTGAGAATCTATATCTTCTGGTCATAATATCTCTTTTTTGTTTCTCTGAATAATAATACATCATTACATTTAGAACTTCGAGTTCTAAAATTATCACAACTTAGAAACAACTAGTTGTAAAATCAATGAATTATGAACTTCTAGTTCAAATTTGCAATTGAGTGATAAAATAAAATATAATGAAAAAAACCTACAATAGACTACTTATACCACCGTGTTGTAAGATGTTGTGCTCATACAGAATTTGAATGAATAAAAGGAACAACAAAGCACCTCATAGTCCCCCTATTGTAACTTGGAATTTAGAAAGGCAGAAGAACTTCAACTAGTTAGAACTCATGCTTATAACCTCATATCACTAGTTAGAACTCTCCATTTCACTATATTTGGTATTCCTAGATACTTTTCAAAAGTACTTTTATGTGAGGGATATCAGAAGGATTATTTTGTAATAAGTATTTAAGTTATGGACTGATTACATATTTCTAATTTCAACTGTTGAATTACATTCATTAGATGTGTTGGTAGATTTAGTATGCAATATACATGCAATCCAACAGTCAAGATTAGAAATTCTATATATACTAAAGCCCAATGCAATCAGATACTATTCATAAGCACTGTTCCTTGAATAGTGGCTGTTTCACTATTACACAGCCTATATTTTCCTAACAATACAGAGAATTGTCGATTTTGCCCTTTACTGAATTTTCCCTTATGTTCCCTTTTTGCCCTTTCCCATTTGCATCTCTTTCAATTCGAACGTTTCGTTCGCTCTCAGCTTTCCAGTCCGTTTCAAACCAGTTGGTTGGACTAGTTGGGGGCAGCCATGGAAGATCAGAGCTGACTGTTCTGCATGCGTGGGGGGCCATCGATTTTCGTTTGGGGAGGCGCGCTGCAAATCTAGCCGCCCTTTTGGATTTTATCTCATTAGTTCTCCTCTTAGATGTTGCGTTGTGTGTTGCCGTTCCAGATGCGCTTCATCCTTCATCTCATCGCACGGGTTTAGCTCAAAGGATTTCTGGGTTTCGTAAAAAAAGGTTGGTTTTAACGTTCTTTTGGTTTTCTAAGTTGGTTTATTCATTTGTCATGTCAAAAATTGAGAATTAAATCAGAAATTGAGTTTGGTTTGTTGTTACAGGGAGGAAGATCTAAGGAAAAAGAAATGGAGTAATCAATATGAGAACCCCGCTCATCAATCTGGTAATTGATGTCTGTGTGGCTGATGTTGATGCTCTTTTTCGGAGAGGGTAAACTTAGAGATAGGGGTTTGTCTTTGGCAAGAGAAGGGCCTGGGCCTTTAGTAAAAGGCTAGCCTGCAGAAGACAAAAATAGAAGAAGCAGTCGTTAAGCTTCGGACACCGGTGTGGTGCCGGCCGAAGGCTCTCCGATGCCTGAGTCAGCTAGGGGTAGTGACTATCGCAAAGTAATAGTAATAGTGGGAGAGAAATTCCCCTTTTTCTTGGTTACTGTTCCCTATTTATAAGGAAGTAAAAGTAGGAGGTTTGCACAAAGTTCCGATGTGGGACTTTGTGCAAGTTGTTGTGATGATGACACGTGTCTCCTGTGTTTTAGGTTTGGCAGTTCGGAGCTTCGGCAGGTGGTTGTCCCTTCGGAAGAGCATCTCCCTTTGGCAGGGAGGAAGACATGTCTACCTTGGTGTTCAATCACGCTTGGTTAATTATGGTGTAAACAGTAGTCCCCCAAGTTGTCAATCAAGCAGTGGCTTCTGGTTTGGGAACTTGTGAAGAGGTTGTGTAATTCAACCAAGCGTGTCAGCGGGGCGGGTGCTGAAGGTAGTCCCCTAGTCCCCCAAGTTTGAAAACTAGAAGACACGCTCTTTTTTTTTTTTTTTTTTTTTCATAGGGGTGCCGAAGGTGGCCTTCCGAAGATACCCTTCCGAAGGTAAGGTATGACGTCACGGGTACCTTCGGAAGGGAAGGTGTGACGTCATCGCGAGGTCTCCTTCCAAGCTTCGGAAGGGAGCCTTCCGAAGGGAAGGTGTGACGTCATCATGCCTTCCGAAGGGAAGGTGTGACGTCATCGCAAGTGATCCTCCTAACCTTCGGAAGGGAGCCTTCCGAAGGGAAGGTGTGACGTCATCATGCCTTCCGAAGGGAAGGTGTGACGTCATCGCAAGGTCTCCTCCCAAGCTTCGGAAGGGAGCCTTCCGAAGGGAAGGTGTGACGTCATCATGCCTTCCGAAGGGAAGGTGTGACGTCACCGCGTGTCGCGAGGGGTCCTTCTAAGCTTCGGAAAGGAGCCTTCCGAAGGGAAGGTGTGACGTCATCATGCCTTCCGAAGGGAAGGTGTGACGTCACCGCGTGTCGCGAGGGGTCCTTCCAAGCTTCGGAAGGGAGCCTTCCGAAGGGAAGGTGTGACGTCAGCACGAGGTCTCCTTCCAAGCTTCGGAAGGGAGCCTTCCGAAGGGAAGGTGTGACGTCAGCACGAGGTCTCCTTCCAAGCTTCGGAAGGGAGAATTCCGAAGGGAAGGTGTTTCATCATCATGCCTTCCGAAGGGAAGGTGTGCGTGTCCTTCCAAGCTTCGGAAGGGAGCCTTCCGAAGGGAAGGTGTGACGTCACCGCGTGTCGCGAGGGGTCCTTCCAAGCTTCGGAAGGGAGCCTTCCGAAGGGAAGGTGTGACGTCAGCACGAGGTCTCCTTCCAAACTTCGGAAGGGAGCCTTCCAAAGGGAAGGTGTGACGTCACCGCGTGTCGCGAGGGGTCTTTCCAAGCTTCGGAAGGGAGCCTTCCGAAGGGAAGGTGTGACGTCATCATGCCTTCCGAAGGGAAGGTGTGACGTCATCGCGTGTCGCGAGGGGTCCTTCCAAGCTTCGGAAGGGAGCCTTCCGAAGGGAAGGTGTGACATCATCATGCCTTCCAAAGGGAATGTGTGACATCATCATGCCTTCCAAAGGGAAGGTGTGACGTCAGCACCAGGTCTCCTTCCAAGCTTCGGAAGGGAGCCTTCCGAAGGGAAAGTGTGACGTCATCATGCCTTCCGAAGGGAAGGTGTGACGTCACCGCGTGTCGCGAGGGGTCCTTCCAAGCTTCGGAAGGGAGCCTTCCGAAGGGAAGGTGTGACGTCATCATGCCTTCCGAAGGGAAGGTGTGGCATCATCGCGTGTCGCGAGGGGTCCTTCCAAGCTTCGGAAGGGAGCCTTCCGAAGGGAAGGTGTGACGTCATGAGTGCCATGTGGCAGTGGTATAGAAACGTCTGTTCGTGGAAATCGAGGCGTCCCAACGGTATGATGAGTTATTGCTTGGAACGAGAATCGAGGGGTCCTTCGTATGCCTTTAAAAGATTGTGGAGGGCTGAAGGAGTGAGCACTTTGATTTTTCGAAAGATTTTAGTAGACGAGCAAGGGCGATTTCCGAGAGATTTCAAGGACGGCGGAGCGATTTCTGGCGAGGCTTGAGAAGGTACCTTCGTGAGCTAGGCGATTTCCGGCAACCGTGGATGGTGGAGATAACAAGGTATGCCTTGTGCTCATTCTCCCTTTCTGGATTGAAATGCCTCTTTTGTTTGAGTTTTCCATGAATTTGGTATGAACGTAGATGAACATCCATGAACATATTAAGAACATGCCTAGGCTCTTGTTTTCAATCTTCGCATGCCCCTTAGTTTCCCTTTTTGTGTTTGTAGATGTCTGATAATTCTGAAAGAGAAAGTCAAAGCTCCCCAAGTCCCCATGCCTTCAGTGGGGAAGAGTTTGAGAGTGGTAGCCCTAATGAAGACTTGGGTACTGATGGGGAAAGTACTGAGTCTGAACGTGTGGTGGAAGGGCTGATAGTGGAGGGAAATAGGGTTGGGGGAGAAGAGCAGTCAAGGAGTTCTGGGGGGGAAGCTTATAGGGAGATGCAAAGGAACTATGTGGCCCTAGAAGCTTGTGCAAACCTGGTGTTGGGGATAACCCAGGCACCAGAGGCTAGTGGAAGTGGGCGGGCTGGGCCATCGGGGTGTGGTACGGTGGTAGTAGCATCCGCTGATGTGGGTATTCCAATAGGGGTTCCACTACCGAAGAAAAATATGATGAGTTTGTATGATCTAGAGTCACTGAAGGCAGACTATGCTATACCTGATTGTGTGGGGCTGAGGTTGCCCAACCTACTGAAGCGGCTAGATACCCTCCCGAGGGTTGCGTTATGGTGTTCTCAGCCATGTACAAACATGGGTTGAGGTTACCATTGCATCCTTGGGTGCAAATGATGCTTTCCAGATTGGGCTATGCCCCTGGGCAGTATAATCCCAACTTCTGGTGTATACTGCACGGGGTGTACATAGCATGGTGGTTGGCGAAACGAGGGGAGCCCACCTTTGAGCAGTTCATGCATCTGTACTCAGTGTCCAGGCAACAGGGCAACTTTGGCTGGGTGCAGGTCAACTGTCGAAAGGAGAAGGAGAGAGGATACTTTATAGGGCAACCACCATCGTCGCAGAAGACGTGGCGAAATCGATGGTTCTTTGCCTTTGGTGATTGGGAGTGCTGGCCTAGGACGACTGTCAGCAAACATGTGCCTACCCATTTTCAATCTATAGGTCTTTGGTTATCACTCCTATCTTTGTGTTTGAATGTGTTGGTATGAATATGTATTGTTGTCTGAAGCTTGTGAGAACTAACGCCTTTGTCCATGTGCAGGTTCTGTGAAGTGTAGGCCAGTGTCCAGGGAGGAAGAGGAAGAGATAGAGCTGGTGAGGAGACAGGTGACCCAGGAGGAGCGTGAGCTGAAGAATATTGTGACCCCAGCCCTTCTTCTACAGTCGGGGTTGCTTCAAGGAAGTAAGTATTGGCCCACTCCCTCCTTTTTACATGTATGTTGTTGTATATCTTCTCACCTTTGCTTCGGTGTTGTTTTTCAGTGGCTGAGGTACCGAAGAAGGTGGTGACCGTGGTTGAGACGTCACCGAAGGTAGTGGTGGATCCGGAGGAGAGGCAACGAAAGTTGCAAGAGAGAAGAGAGAAAGATAGGGCCAATAGGGCCAAGAAGCAAGCAAAGGGGGCGCCCAGTACTGCCGAGGGGACAGCAGCCCGGGCTGCTGGAAAGCGGCCTCGGACGGAGGAGGATGAGCAGTTGGCGGAGCTGGAGAAGAAGCGGAGGGGACTCGAGTCTTCGATCCATGACGTCATGGGTGGGACAGTGCTGCCGCCGTTTGACCTAGATCCCCCACCCAGGCTGCCGCTCGAGATGGAGGAGCTATTCCCTGCAGGTACCGAGGATATAGACTTTGCCTCGGTTCGACGAGAGGCGAAGGAGGTAACCCTGGCCATGCATCGCCAGGAAGTGCCTCTTGTCAACGCCTTCCTGACTGGGGTAAAGATTGATGCGGGGGAGCTCGCTCGGACCAAGGCCACGGACTTCTCCGATCGGGTCCAGAAGACGGTGCTCTCTGCCGCCAATGTAAGTAGTCCTGTGCCTTTGACTTTCTAAAAGTGCAATTATGATCTGCTTATGAACATACCTTTCTTGCAGGCTTTTGGGGATATGTACCTTACCCTAGCCAGGGCAGAGAGAGAGGTGGACTTGGCTAGACGCCATTCCGAGACAGCCAAGGCTGCTACCGCCGAGGCTCAGGCTGCCATCCGGGAGAGGAATGTGCTACAGCTGAAGGTGGGGAGGTTGGAGCGGGAGCTGAAGGAGACGACCCGGCGGCTGGAGGCAGTGGAGGAGGCTAGGCTCGAGTCTGAGAGGAGGAGGACCGAGGAGCTGAGCATGGCTCGTGCCGAGGCTGTGGAGGAGTATCAGGGCTCAGACAGGTTCAAGAGCCTTGTGCTGGACGCGATGGTCGAGGAGCAGTATGGGTGGGAGAAACTGGTTGCGAGGTTTAATCCAGGGTTGGATATAAACTTCGACACTAGTGGTGTTCCCCCTCCCATTCCATCCGGTCGGGAGTCACTGTTTGCGGCCACACTGTCTGCCGAGGCCACGAGTCCTTCGGAGGCTGAGACGCGGGGAGGTGCCGATGCTAGCGGAGGGGAGTCGACCGTGGATCCTGACACAGCTGCCGAGGAGGAGGCGGACGACCATGCCGATGCCTGAGGGCTTGTTTGTATTTTTGCTATGATGTACCCAGTTATTTCGGACGTAGTTTTTTGACATGTATGGATATTTTCCGACCCTAAGGCAGGGTTACCTTGATTTTTATGGTAGCTTGGTACCTTTTTACCTTAAGCATTCTTCTAAGTTCTGAAGTAGAAATGGGGCCCAGTTGGGTGCTTCTATTAGATGGGTGCCGAAGGGCAAAAAGTACAATGGTGGGTTTGAGTCGAGGCTCAAGACCGAAGTATAAGAAAACACAATGTCCTAGGGTCTAGGTATGTTTACTTGTAGTAGCACTTGAGATGGTCAGCGTTCCAAGGGTGAGGCAACGTTTTGCCATTGTGGTCCCGAAGCTGATAAGTCCCGGGGCGGCAAACCTTGGTGATCTCATATGGACCTTCTCACGTAGGGCCCAGGGTACCCTCATTAGGATTCTTAGTGGCTAATGAAACCTTGCGCATGACCCAGTCCCCAGTTGTGAAAGCTCGAGGTTTAACTCTGGAGTTGTAGTACTTGGCAATACGCTGCTTGTATGCAACGTTGCGCATGTTGGACTGGTCACGAAGCTCGTCGATGAAGTCGAGGTTGAGGGCCAGCTGCTCGTTATTAGCCTCGGCCTCGTAAGTGGAGGTTCGGTATGTTGGCTGGCCAATCTCCACTGGTGCCACCGCTTCGGTACCAAAGGAAAGGGAAAACGGTGTTTCTCCCGTTGAGGTACGAAAGGTGGTGCGGTAAGCCCAAAGAACCTCTGGGAGTAGCTCTGGCCAGCAACCCTTGGCTTTGTCAAGCTTGGTCTTCAGGGTCTTCTTGATAATTTTGTTCACGGCTTCGACCTGGCCATTGGACTGAGGATGGGCTGGAGAAGCGAAGCAAAGTTTCATTTTGAGGTTGGAACAAAACTGCCTAAATTTTGCGTTGTCAAATTGCCGGCCGTTGTCCGTGACGATGGCGTTGGGGATGCCGAAGCGGCACACGATATTTTGCCAAACGAACGTCTCAATGCGAGCCGCAGTGATGGTGGCCAGGGCCTCAGCCTCAGCCCATTTAGTGAAGTAGTCGACGGCCACGACTGCGTACTTAACCTGGCCTTTGCCCTCGGGCATAGGTCCGATGAGGTCAAGTCCCCACTGGGCGAATGGCCAAGGACTGACCATGGCTGTTAAAGGTTCAGCTGGGAGTTGAGGGATATTGGCAAACCGCTGACACTTGTCGCACTTCTGGGTGAAGGCTTGGGCATTAGTGTGAAGTGAGGGCCAGAAGTATCCTTGCCTAATGGCCTTATGCGGAAGTGAGCGGGCGCCTGAATGACTACCACAGATGCCTTCGTGGATTTCAAAGAGGACATAGTGGCCTTCTTCTGGGGTCAGGCACCGAAGGTAGGGTAAGCTGAATCCGCGCTTGTACAGGGCGCCATTAATGATCAGGTATCGGGCGGAGCGATAGCGAACACGCCGCGCCTTAGCAGGGTCAGCGGGTAGAGTCTGGTTCTGCAAAAATTGGAGGATGGGGTCCATCCATGTTGGGCTGTGATCGATGGTGCAGATAAGTGGTGCCTGCGTGCTTGGCTGATCCAAGATTTCCATGTGGATATTGCGGCCAAGGCCTTGCTCTATGGCTGAGGCTAGTCTAGCTAGGGCATCGGCGTGGCTATTCTCCGAGCGTGGTACCTGGTTTATGAGGTAAGCGTTGAAGGTTGCAAGCAAATGGCGGGTATGTTGGAGGTAGGCTGTCATGGACACGTCCTTGGCAGTGAAGTCCTGGTTGACTTGGTGCACAACGAGCTGTGAGTCGCTGAAAATCTGAATTTGCCTAGCACCCATCTCCTTGGCTAACCGGAGGCCAGCTAAGAGTGCTTCGTATTCGGCCTCGTTGTTGGAGGCGTGGAATTGGAAGCGAAGGGCGTACTCCAGGACAGCCTTGTCTGGAGAGATGAGGACAAGGCCAGCTCCGCATCCCTGGGCGTTGGAAGAGCCATCCACATACAAAGTCCATAAGGGCTGTGTTAAGTCTAGGGTGCCGTTGCTGGTGACGTGGACCTGGCTCGGGGTGGGAGTGGGCTCCATCGTGATCTGTGGACTGGCCACAACATGGGGTTCAGTGAATTCAGATATAAAGTCAGCCACGGCCTGGCCCTTCGTGGCTGGGCGGGGTTTGTAGTGGATATCAAATTCGCCAAGCTCAATGGCCCACTTGACTAGCCTCCCAGAAGTCTCCGGCTTCTGCAACACTTGCCTAAGTGGTTGGTTGGTCAGGACATGGATGGTGTGAGCTTGAAAGTACGGCCTGAGGCGCCGTTTGTTATTGTTGAAGGTGTGCTGGTAGTTATCCTTCCGTTTGGGGTGCTGGGTACCCTGGGTACTTGGGCCGGGAGTAGAATGTTGAGGCGGGGCTGAGGTGGGTGCTGAAGCAGGTTGGGGATCAGCGAAAGGATGATGTGCCGGGGTGGCCGGGCCACGCTTGGAGTTGAAATACTTAGCCTTGGCGTGCACCGCGGCCTGCTTCATTAATTCAGCATACGTGTTCCAAGGGTTGCTGTGCACAAGGTACCGAAAGTTAGACTCTCGGAGGCCACTCTTGAAAGCACCGAAGGCGGCACGATCATCGGTCTCTGGGCAGCGGGAGTACTCGTGGCTGAACCTGGCTGCATACTCCCGAAGGGGCTCATCCTCACCCTGCCTAAGCATGTACAGGTCGTCCGCAGAGTAGAGGCGATCAGTCTGGATCATAAAATGGTCCAGGAAGGCCTGCTTCAGCTGTCAAACGTATTGATGGTGCGGGGGCTCAGCCTGTAGAACCAATTCAGGGCCGCCCCGCTGAGGGTAGATGGGAAGAGGAGGCACATGCCTTCGTCCGTTAAGCCTTTGCATCCCATGGCAGACTGGAAAGAATGTATATGGGTGAGGGGATCCTCTGTGCCAGTGTAGAAGGCGATGCGGAGGGGCTGGATTTCCTTCTCTTGGTGGTAATTAAGGATGAGCTCGGTAAAGGGACCAGGTCGTGGCTTTGCCCAGAGGGGTTGGTGGTTGCGCTGCTGCTCATTCTCCAGGCGCCAGACCTTCTCGAAGAGAAGTCTCATTGCCGGGTCGACATGAGGGAGAGTCTCGGGTGCTGGAGGTCTGGTGTGTGTGTGGCCAGGAGCTAGATAAGGATCAGGTCTACCGAACTCCTCGGTGTGATCATGCCCCCAGTCCTCCGAGTAATCATGCTCCGCTGAGTAATCATGCCCCCAGTCATCCGAGTCCCCCATACCCTCTCCCGCAGGCACATGGGTTGGTTTTGGCGGGGGGTCCAGGTGTGTCACCTTTGGGTCTTGGAGATTAACGGGGATAAGAAGGGGTCCCGTCTGACGGTCCAGGATACGGTCCCTGCAATCCCTGTAGAGCTTCGTTGGTTCATGAGGCCGGTTCCTCGGCGGGGAGATACGGAGAAGCCGTGACTTGGTCGTCTCCGGATGGAGGGGGTCCTTACCCTTGCTGGGCCTAGGCTGGATTGGGGGACTATGGTGGGAATGCTCCGGCTGGTTTGGCTGTGTGCGTTCAGGTTCCGGGGTAAGGCTGCGTTGGGAGCCCTGGGCTTGGTTCCTTTCCCAGTTACGCTTCAGATGCGGTAGTCGTGCTCCAGCTCAACATTCTTGGAGTGAAGATGGTCACACCTCTCGGACATCTTGACGACACTAGAGCGAAGGAGCTCCACCTCGGCTTGGAGATTGACCTCCGCTGACGGTCCCCTCTGGGAGGTACCCTCCTAGGGGGTACTGCGCTGGGCATCTCGGCTACCCTCAGTAGGCATGGCTGAGTGTGGAGTGAAGAAGAGGCGACGGGGCCGGATAGGTGAAGGAGCCAGCTGGGCTGGTAGAGAAAAATGGGTTTTAAGCCTTAGTTTCCCACAGACGGCGCCAAACTGTTGATGCTCTTTTTCGGAGAGGGTCAACTTAGAGATAGGGGTTTGTCTTTGGCAAGAGAAGGGCCTGGGCCTTCAGTAAAAGGCTAGCCTGCAGAAGACAAAAATTGAAGAAGCAGTCGTTAAGCTTCGGACACCGGTGTGATGTCGGCCGAAGGCTCTCCGATGCCTGAGTCAGCTAGGGGTAGTGACTATCGCAAAGTAATAGTAATAGTGGGAGAGAAATTCCCCTTTTTCTTGGTTACTGTTCCCTATTTATAAGGAAGTAAAAGTAGGAGGTTTGCACAAAGTTCCGATGTGGGACTTTGTGCAAGTTGCTGTGATGATGACACGTGTCTCCTGTGTTTTAGGTTTGGCCGTTCGGAGCTTCGGCAGGTGGTTGTCCCTTCGGAAGAGCATCTCCCTTTGGCAGGGAGGAAGACATGTCTACCTTGGTGTTCAATCACGCTTGGTTAATTATGGTGTAAACAGCTGATATTCTGTTTGCGCGTGGTTATAGACTCCTGCTTTTTTATTCTGTTTGCTCTGTTTTGGTAAGCAGGATATGCTGCTATTTGGGTAGCTCTATTTAATGATATGTTCATTCTTTTATTACAAGGTTTTAATTCAAATTTGTTCTTTCATTAGCCCACATCCTTTTCTTGTAACATGTCTTCATTTTTTTGCCAAAGTAGCCATGCAGCAATTTGCAGAGGCTTTTTTTTTTTTTTTTTTTTTTTTTTTTTTTTTTTTTTTTTTTTTTTTTTTTTTTTTTTTTTTTTTTTTTTTTTTTTTTTTTTTTTTTTTTTTTTTTTTTTTTTTTTTTTTTTTTTTTTTTTTTTTTTTTTTTTTTTTTTTTTTTTTTTTTTTTTTTTTTTTTTTTTTTTTTTTTTTTTTTTTTTTTTTTTTTTTTTTTTTTTTTTTTTTTTTTTTTTTTTTTTTTTTTTTTTTTTTTTTTTTTTTTTTTTTTTTTTTTTTTTTTTTTTTTTTTTTTTTTTTTTTTTTTTTTTTTTTTTTTTTTTTTTTTTTTTTTTTTTTTTTTTTTTTTTTTTTTTTTTTTTTTTTTTTTTTTTTTTTTTTTTTTTTTTTTTTTTTTTTTTTTTTTTCGCCGGAACGGTATTTGAAGTCCATTAAACTTGTCGACGTTAAGATATATGCATTAGACGACGTCAATTTTTTAAATGAAGACGTACAAATTATTAAACACGACGGTCTTTTTCATGGTACCGACGTTGTACATAGAGGACAACGTCGTCCTTATAAATTACTGTGTCGTAATTAATGACCCCATCATTTTTTCCACGTCGTTTATTTTCAAAATATGATGTATAAATTCTGTAATACGGCTCTCATTTATTTGAAACCGACGTTATTTATCCAATTCAACGTCGTCTCTGTAAATACATGCGTCGTAAGTAATGACCCTGACATCTATTTCCACGTCATAATTCATAGAAAAAATCGAAGTGGAAAATTTATTTTACGACGGTTGTGGGAAATGTTGTGACGTAGTAGGTGTCAATAACGTCGTCTATTATTATTGTAAAGACGTCGTATTTATATTTGTCATCTGTTTCCTTTTTAACGACCTTTTTTTTGTTGGAGTTGGTCGTCTATTCTCATCCTCGACTGTTTTTTTATGTCTTTTTGCAGCACAAAGACGTCGGTTTTTAATTTTTGATGACGTTTTTTGTTTTAACAACGACGGTTATTCACCGTCGTGGTTTGGTTATGGAAAAGATGTCGGTGGATTCCACGACCATTTGAAAACAGAATACATGACGGTGAATTCCCGTCGTGTTTTTCCTTTTTTGTAGTAGTGAGTTTTGGAGGATTAAGATGGTTACCATATTCAAATCGTATGGTTTATGGAGTTTGGTAGAGAAGGGTTTTTCAATCCCAGATTCAAAGAAGAAGAAGGTATCTGAGGACATCTAAGAAGAAGAAGTTGATGAGAAAACAGCTGCGATTCTCATGAAGGATGCGAAAGCATTGGGTATCATCCAAAATGCCGTTTCTGATAAGATTTTTCCACAGATTGCACATGCAGATTCTGCGAAGATGGCTTGGGAATTGCTATATGCTGAATATCATGGTGGAGAGCATGTCAGATCGGTAAAACTTCAAAACCTCATATGTGAATTTGAGTATACTAGGATGCGTGATAATGAATCCTTATCTGACTATCTTACTAGACTGAATGAATTGATTAACCAAATGAAAACATTTGGTGAAGTTCTGTCAAATGAGAGGCAAGTTCAGAAGGTTTTAATTAGTCTTAGTAAGAAGTATGATCCTATATGCCTTGTGATTGAAAACACAAAGACACTAGAAACTGTGGAGTTTCAGGAAGTGATTGCCATTTTGAAGAGTCAAGAGCAAAGGCTTGAAATGCATAGTGTTGATACAGTTGAGAAGGCATTTGCCTCTTTCACTGTGAATTCCAAAGGACAAAATAAAAATGCTTCTAAGTCTGGTTCATCTAAGTCATAGAGAAACTGGAATTCTAAAGGGAAGTCATGGGAGTCAAAATTCATAGAAGGGGATCGTAATACCAAGTTTTTCCACCTATCTACCATTATTCATAGAAGAAGGAACAAATTGGAAGACCTTACTAATGCTCAAGGTACGTAGACTAATGATAAAAAAGAAATGGAAAAATATCATTGTTGATTATTTCAAGACTCCTTTTTGCATTTCAAACAATGAGGTACTCTAATGCTGATCTCCCCCAGCTTTTTCCTAGATTAGAGACTTCTAAGTTGGGTAATCTCAATTGTGATATTAATCCTCAGTCATAAAGGATTGTTTGTTTAATATTGGTAGTTTTAAAGCCCTAGGCCTAGACAGTTTCCTTGCTAAATTCTACCATGATTTCTGGAATCTTTGTCAAGGTACCTTTGTTGAGTTAATTGCTGGTTGTTTTAGCTCTGCTAGCATTCCTGATGCTTTAAATGACACATTGATTACCCTTGTTCCTAAAGTGGCTAGTCCTAGCTCTGTTGCTCAGTTAAGGCCTATTAGCCTACGTAATACAATGTACAAGGTGGTGTCTAAGATCATTATTCAGAAGCTCAGGCCTCTCATGCAGAAGGTTGTCAGTCCTGCTCAAGCTAGCTTCATCCCCGGTAGGCAGATTGTTGACAACATTATTGTTGGTCAAGAGGTTCTTCATAAATTTAGAAACTCAAAAGGAAAGAAGGGTTTCATTGCTTGGAATTGACCTATCCAAAGCCTATGATAGACTTCATTGGGATTTCATCTATGATGTGCTATGGGAAATTGGGATTAGAGGTAAATTACTTGTTCTTATCATGCAGTGCATTAAGTCTGTCAAATACCAAGCCATTCTCAATGGTGAGCTTACTGAAAGATTCTCTCCTAGTGCTGGGATCAGACAAGGTGACCACTTCTCCCCTACATCTTTGTTCTGTGCATGGAAAAACTTTCCCATATTATCAATGATCATGTTTCCTCTGGAACTTGGAAGTCTGTTAAGGTTGCCAGAAATGGTCCGGCTATATCCCACCTCTTCTTTGCTGATGACCTTATTTTATTTGGGGAAGCCTCTATCCACCAAGCTAAGCTTATGAAGCATTGTTTGGATTTATTTTGTGGTGCCTCGGGTCAGCAAGTTAATTTTGATAAATCCAGAATTTGCTGTTCTCCTAATACTGATTCTGGGATTGCTTCTACTATTGCTAATATTTGTGGGTCTCCCCTTACTGATTGTCTTGGAAATTATCTTGGTGTTCCCTTGATCCAGTCTAGAATTACCAAGGATACTTACTCTGGGATTGTTGACAAAGTACAGCGTAGATTGGCTTCCTGGAATAGTCACACTTTATCTATGGCAGGTAGATTAACTGACTTGCATGTTGTTACCTGAGTTATTCCAATTTATACTATGCAAACTGTTGATGTTCCCATGTCTACTTGCAACCAGCTTGATAAGCTTAACAGGATTTTTTGTGGGGTCATACTAGTGATAAAACTAAAATTCACCTTGTTAATTGGGACACTATTTGTCAACCTAAGAGCTTTGGTGGTCTAGGCATAAAAAAGACCCATTGTATGAACTAGGCTTCACTTGCCAAGACTGGTTGGAAAATTGTCCAAAAGGGTCAGGGTTTTTGGTCTCAAGTTCTTAATGGTAAGTATCTAAAAGATCAAAGTTTGCTTGCTGCCCCAAATCTCAAATTCCTTAATTGCTCTAGTACTTGGAGAGGTATTTTATTTGGTTCTCAAATTGTCTCTAAAGGGCTTAAATGGAGAGTTGGTAATGGTGATAATATCTTGTTTTGGAAAGATAATTGGGCAGGTTGTGGGCCTCTTGAGAACTTCGCCACTATTTCCCTTTCTGATGATTTGCTTGAGTGGACTGTGAGTGACTTCCTCACGGAGCAAGGTTGGAACACCAATTGGCTTCAAGGGTTGTCTCCCCTTGGATGTGGTGCAGAAAAATCATTGTATTCATGCAGGGTTGAATCATACTGAGGTGGACTCTTGTATATGGCAGCTTACCTCCAATGGTGAATTTTCAGTGAAAACGACTTATCTCCCTTTGTTTACTGAGGAGACTAATCATACTTGGAATTGGGATACTATTTGGAAGCTGCATGTTCCTCCAAAGATAAAAACCTTTGTTTTGCCGTTGTTTCAAGGTAAGCTTCTAACCAATGTCCAACGTGTAAGAAGGAACTTAGCTTCCAATCCTAATTGCCCTTGTTGCAACGTTTCCATGGAGTCCTTGGACCATCTTTTCGCAGGTGTAGTCATGCGGCTAGAATGTGGAATTCCATTGGTATTCCTAATCAAATTGCTCACTCTTTCTCTATGGATTTTAAGGATTGGCTTTTCATCAATATTAAGGCTAGTTTCAGTTGCATGCAAGGGATCCCTTGGTCCTCTCTGTTCTTGGCCTCCCTGTGGTTTTGTTGGAAATGGCGATGTAAGAAAGTGTTTGATGTCAACTTTACTCCTCCTCATTGGCCCCACATTCCAATCATTCAATTTACTAGGGAGTGACTGGTGGCAAACTGCTCCAGGAATTCTAAGACTTCCAAACAAACTCTTAAGTTACATTGGTCTCCTCCTTGTGCTAGCTGTTTTAAAATTAATGTGGATGGCAGTTGTATGGGTGAGATAGGATCTATTAGTGCTGGAGGCATCATAAGGGACTCTACTAGTGGATGGATCAAGGGTTTTGTTACAAATTTGGGGTTTGGTAAAATCCTTGAAGCTGAATTATGGGGTGTTTTCAGAGGTTTACTCTTTATGTGGAACGAAGGTATCCGAAGAATTAAAGTGGAGTGTGACTCTTTTACTGCTGTCTCCTTAATTGATGGAGAGACTAGGCCTAGTCACCCTCTCTCTAGCCTCATCCATAGTTGCAAAGACATGCTCTTGCATGACTGGGAGTGTTCCATATCTCATATTTATAGACAAAACATTGATGCTGACCATATAGCTCATATGGGTCAAAGTTCCAATTTGGGTTATCATGTTGTTGATCTTCCCCCTCCTTCTATTGTAAGCCTTTTGGCAAATGACTCTATTAGGATGACCACTGCTAGGCTTGTCCCAGTGTAGTTTTCTTTTTGGTTTTCTCTTTGGCTTCGGCCCTCCTTGTAACCAAAAAAAAAGATCCCGAACACCTTGAGTTGGAAGAAGAAAATCATGATAAAATTGAGAAACCATTGGAGATAAAGTGGCACAAGGTACTTGTCATGGGACTATCAAATGTTTTAAACTGAGCTAGATTAAAGAATATAGAAGTAATATGTCGAAACTACTTGCTTTTCTACAGGTACATTGGACAATGCAGTACTTGGATAGAAAATGGTTGCTACTTCAGAAGCGAAAAAGTGCTTTGCAATCTTACTACAGTAAGCGATTTGAAGTAAAATCTCAACAGTTTACGTGCAATAAAAGAAAAAAAAAGGGTTAAGACGGACATCTAAAAATATAGGGTCATGACCCAAATGCCCACAAATGAAGTGATGACTCGAATTAAAACATAATCAGATAAATATGATTTTTTTTTCTGTCAAATCAGATAACTATGATTTGCTCGAGGCCTATTTCTCTCTCTCTCACTTCATTTGTGGGACATATTAATTTTCCTTTTCTTGGTTAAATTTCAAATTAATAACAGAATTATGTATATATCTATAAAGGGGGGCAAGAGATAAAGAGGAAAAAGACAAGGAGTAAACTTGCAAAATCTACTCTCATTCCTCTAAATTAAATCATTTTCAAATCTCTCTCTCTATTAATCGTCCGCTTTCTAAGAGATGTCGAGCCGAGCCTCTCTCTCTATAAGTATAAATTAGGGGTGGGCATTTAGACCGAGAACCCGACAAACTAGACGAACCAAACCAATTGGGTTAGTTTGGTATGGTTTTTATCAAATTGTTTGATCCGGTCCGATGTTTTGAAATTGACCAATTTACCCAAACTAGACCGGTCGATGTTCACAAGCCATATATTATAAAATAATATATATATATATATATACCCGCATGAGATAAGAGGAAAGAGAAAATGAGTAAACCCTTCAAAATCTACTCACATTTCTCTAAATTAAATCTTTTTCAAATCTCTCTCTTTCTCTCCATTGGTCGTCCACTTTCCAAGAGATGTTGGGTTGGGTACAATGGCGGATGCAGGAATTGCCACCCATGGGGTCAAAGTGTAAACTACCCAATAATTTTTTAAGATGAAAAAAATATATTGAAAATGAAACGATAGTACTTTCACTCATAATTAATGTCAAAAACACTATTACAAGTTACAATTGTCCACGACGTGGTTTCATATTTTGAAAACGTAGCATTATAGCTTCATTTTCAATACAAGCAAAAACATCTCTCTCAATATAAACCAACAAGCTATCATTCAACCACTCATCTCCCATTTTGTTATGAAGTGGACCCTTAATAATATTTATGACGGAAAATGTCATCTCCACTGAAGCTGTTGCAACCAGTAAAACTAAAGCTAATGTAATAAGTAAATACACATAATTGAATGCAAGATGCATCCTTGTCTCCACCATTTTTTTTTTGCAAGATCACTAATCCCTTTCAATTGAGAGAAATCACTACTCAAACGCACATGATGAATATAAAGCTCAAGTTGATCTTCAAGTACCAAAAGATCCATATTCGAAAATAGTGGCAGCGATGGGGATGGCTGGTGGTGAACGGCAGCTAGCACCCTTAGCGGCAGCATCAAGGGAGGAGATGGTGTTGGTGGAGGTCTTGGGGGGATTGGTGTTAGGGTTGTTGTTGAGGAGGAAGATGAAAAATGGGATTTTTTGTCTATTTTCGGGTCTGTGCTGTTAAGAAGCTGCCCTTTTTTTTTTTTTTTTTTTAGCCCAAAACGGCGTTGTTTTGGCTAGGTCATTTAAAAAAAAAATTGCATTGTCCAAAACGACGTCGTTTGGCAATCAGTTTTTTTTTATAAAAAAAAAAGAGAAAACAACCCCATCCCACCGAAGCTTCTTCTTCTCCTCCATGGGGTCATTTCCATGGCTGCCAAGGGCAAAAACCAATCCCTACCACTAAACTCTAGATCTGCCATGGGGTCGTCTGACCCCATGACCCTATGGTGGATCCGCCACTGGTCGGGTCTCTCTCTCTCTAAGTATAAATTAGGGGTGGGCATTTAGGCTAAGAACCCAACAAACTACCTAAACCAAACTGATTTGGTTGCTTTGGTTTTGTATTTTTTTTTTTAAATTTAAAATTTTAATTTTGGTTTCAACCCAAACCAAACCGATTGATGATCCAATCTGGTTTACGATTTGATGTTTTGAAATTGACCAGTTTACCCGAACCAAACCGGTCGCTGTTCACAAGCCTTATATTACAAAAACAAAAAACAAAACAAAACAAAACATTAAAAAAAATCCTCAAAAGATAAGAAGAAAAAGAAAAGGAGTACACCCTTCAAAATCTACTCACATTTCTCTCAATTAAATCATTTTCAAATGTCTCTCTCTCTCCCTCTATTGGTCGTCCGCTTTCCAAGAGATGTCAAGCCGAGCCTCTCTCTCTATAAGCATAAATTAGGGGTGGACATTTAGATCGAGAACCCGACAAATCAGCCGAACCAAACCAATCAGGTTGGTTTGGTCCTATTTTCATTTATTGGTATTATTTAATTTCAATTTCAACCCAAACCAAATCGGTTGATCCGGTTCGGTATACGATTTGATGTTTTGAAATTGACCGATTTACCTAAACCAAACCGGTCACTATTCACATGCCATATATTACCAAAAAAATGTACCCTCATGAGATAAGAGGAAAGAGAAAAGGAATAAACTTGCAAAATCTACTCTCATTCCTCTAAATTAAATCATTTTCAAATCTCTCTCTCTATTAATCGTCCACTTTCCAAGAGATGTCGAGCCGAGCCTTTTTCTCTATAAGTATAAATTAGGGGTGGGCATTTAGACCGAGAACCTGACAAATTGGACAAACCAAACCAATTGGGTTAGTTTGGTATGGTTTTTATCAAATTGTTTGATCCGGTCCAATGTTTTGAAATTGACTAATTTACCCAAACTAGACCGGTCGTTGTTCACAAGCCATATATTATAAAATCTACTCACATTCTTTAAATTAAATCATTTTCAAATCTCTTCTCTCTGGTCATCCGCTTTCCAAGAGACGTCGGGTCGAGACTCTCTCTCTCTATAAGTATAAATTAGGGGTGGGCATTTAGACCGAGAACCTAACAAACCAAACGAACCAAATGAATCAGGTTGATTTGATCCCTTTTCTTTTTATTTGATTTCAGTTTCAACACAAACTAAACACCGGTTGATCCGGTTTAATTTACAATTTGATGTTTTGAAATTGGCCGATTTACCCGAACCAAACCAGTCACAGTTTACAAGCCATATATTACAAAAAATTCATTCCCTCATGATTCCTCGAACCCCATTCCTCCTCCTCCTTAGGATCAAGTCCTCTTACCACCGGAGAAAGTACCCCTCTTGTGGTTTATAGATATAACAATAATATTTAATTGTATTTGGGTTGAATAAATATTATAAACAAATGTGGCCTTTTTGCAACGCATGCCTTTTTTTTAAATTCTTTTTTGTCTTTCTTCTCTCTCTCTCTCTCTTCTTTTCCTCCTCCTCCTCCTTTTCTCTTCCCTCTGTCTCCGTCTTCTTCTCTGTGTCTGTCTCTATGGCCGTGAATTCGTGGAGTCGTCGTCGCCGTCGTCGACCCTAGATCTCCGTATGTCCTCTCTTTCGTTTTCTTTTTCCTTCTTCTTCTCTTTGCCTACATTTCTCCCTTGCTTCTTCTGCGATTCTTCACGATCTACGAGCGTAAGCTGTTTAGGGGTTCAATTTTCGTTTTAAATTTCTGGGGTCATCTGGATAGAGTAATGGGTGCAATATTATAATCATACGGATCAGTAATTGTTTCTTGAAATTTCTTTTGTAGACAACAAGATCACCATCAAGGACGCCAAGCAGCGGATGACAGAAGTTTTCCGAAGTTCATCTAATCGACCCAGAGAGATTGAGCAGCTGCTGTCCCTGTGTGATGATGGGAAGGTGGTGGGTGAGTTCATAGTGACTCAGTTGTACAACAGGGTAATGCGTAATGTAGGAGCCTGGCAGCCGGGTACATATTCTAATGCGCAGTGATAATAGGTTTGTTTGTATTTGAAGGTATATGATTAGTAATGATAGCGAGACTGTGGATCATCTGTTTTTGTTTTGTCCTATCGCCTCTTCCCTGAGGGCTTTAGGGTTTAGGGTTTCAGGTGGCAGGACTAACGTGGGGTAGCTTCGCATCATGTAATGCGGTGCTTGAAGCTAGATTGAACTTCTTTGGTGATAAAAGAGGAAGGGTTGCGCCATGATGGCAGTTTTTTGGGTAATCTGGGGGTAAAGGAGTAGGAGAATGTTTGAGGACGAGGTAGAGCAGCTTTGGGATCGTATCGAGATTGGGCATCACTTTGGGCGTCTGTTTCAGCAGAGTTTAGGGAGATTAGTTTTCAGCTTATCCATCTTGATTGGAAAGCCGTAGCTTTGTAGTGTAGAAGTATTAAAAATTCAAAAGAAAAAAAAATATCAGTTTAAGATTACCTTTATGGGTGAAATTGAAAAATCAGGCTAGATGGGTGAAATTGATGGTGACTTCATGACCAAATATTTTCATGGACAATGATGAAATTGGCTTTAATGTATTACTCCAAAACTCCTATTAGTTATATGAAGAGAAGAAGCTTACCATTTTCTGATCCGGTGTCTTTACTAATCTAATCTCCTCAAAGCTTAACCTTAAGGCTCACAAGAATCGGGTTACATTCGAAAACTAGATTCGAAGAGGTAATTAAGTAATCGGAATACACTAAGAAACTAGATTAGGAGAGAAGTTGAATCTTCCCTTTTCTATTGTTACTACAGCATGGAATAGTAATGAAATGTACTGTTTAAAACTCGTGTTTCAATATGGCTATTAAATTAAATTCTCTGATTGATTTGTTCCCGATATTTTTTTAATAATGAAACACTAATAAATATAATGAACGACAATTATGAAAAGAATTTGTTGGAAATAATGCCCAAAAATAAGCCCATAGAATTGGACCCCAACAAAAAAGAAGGCCCATAGAATTGGAAAGGAAAAGTCATTTGCTCGTCAAAGTGAAGTCGTTTTGTCCAAGAGAACAGAGAGAGAGAGAGAATGGTGGGAGGAGGGATGAAGTAGATGAAGAAGATGATGGAGGAGACGAGCTCACGCTGGCTTCCTTCGTTCCTAGCGAAAGAAACCTGCGACACCACCAAATTAATTACAGGTTGTTATTTTCCTTCCTTTTATTTTTTAGGCAAAATTCACATTAGGGGTATTTTAGTAAATTAACGCTTCTTTTGAAACCAGCCTAGGGTTAGCATTCGCAACGGTAAGTTCAACCGCGTTAAAGCAGAGTTGGGTTTCCTAATAGCTTCAGGAAAGAAATCCTAATAGCTCTAGGAATGAAATCCTATAAATACCTTCTCTTCCCTTCAATTTCACTTTCAATTTCAAACCCATCTCTCTCTCTCTCTCTCTGTTGTTCTCTGCTTTCTGCTCTCTACTTTGTGCTCGCTTTCTGCTCTCTCTGCTCTCTGCTCTTTGTTCTCACACTGCTAGTCATGAAGATCAGAGGAGTTTGGGCCCACAACTTCCATCAAGAATTGTCTCAATTCGACCACTGCCTGCATCGCTTCCCCGTCATCTCTTTTGATACCGAATTTCCAGGCTTTCTCCGAGACACTCCCCGAGACGCACTCGAAGATCAACGTTACGAAGATGTCAAATTCAATGTTGAATCCCTCAAATTGCTCCAGTTGGGATTCACTCTGTCCGACGCCCATGGCAACATTGGGGGAACTTGGGAATTCCACTTGTCTGGGTTCAATGAGAAATCTGACCCTCATGTTGTCGCTTCCATTTCTCTACTCAAAAGGAACGGTCTTGATTTTGCGAGACTTGGGCAATTTGGGATTTCTGTTACGGAGTTTGTGTTCGGGTTTCTGCGTGTCCTTAGAATCCACAGAGGGTTGCATGATTTGACATGGGTTTGCTTTCATGGCCTTTATGACCTGGCCTATTTGCTCAAGCTCTTGACCCAAAAGCCTCTGCCCGATTCAGTGGTGATGTTTGCTAAGGCTCTTGGTGTAGTTTTTGGCACCATTTATGATGTCAAATTCATGGCTCGCTACTGCCGGGGATTCTTTGGCGGTGAAATTGGATTGGCAAGGGTGGCCAAGCTTCTTGATGTGGAGCGTTCCGGTGAAGCTCATCAAGCGGGTTCAGACAGTTTGTTGACTGCCGCTGTGTTCTCCAAGATGAACGCAACGTTTAGGTCTGTGGCGGGGATGTCTCAAGGCTGCTTGTATGGAATTAGCCCAACAATCGTGCGATATTGGCAGCCCGCTCCTGTGATCCTCCGTCGCCCTTGCTTTCCTGTTGCAGCACCTCATGTCTACGGTGCTCGTCTCATTCATAGTCCTATTCTTCCCACTTACGTACACATGTAGTTAGTCCTGTTGCAGCACCTCGTGTCTACGGTGCTCGTCTCATTCGTAGTCCTATTCTTCCCACTTATGTACACATGTAGTTAGTTTTGTAATTTCTGATTTTTTGGAGTTGGTGAACAGTCAAGTGACTAGCTGGCTGATCCATATTCATTTTGTATGTACAACATTTTTTACACGAAATGATTATAATACAATTCTTTAATTTCTGCCAAAATTTCTTACTTTATTTCTTTTTATTGCCAAAGTTTGGGAGGATTCAATTTGCATGTATGTTCTGTTTTACTTAATACTCTTTTAATAACATGTGTTTCTCTATTCCCAAAAGAATAACATGTGTATCTCTATTCTCATAAGAGTATGTTGAAATTGAAGCAATAAATGAATATTATGCATTTGGCTGCATTATGAAGAATATATTATCTTTTTCCAGTGCAGGGAAGGTGCCAAACTATTTGATACTCAGTGATCTTTATCATCATCTACAAGGAGAGCTTGAAGGCTGTGAAGTCAGTGCTGGACCATTCAAAGAACTCTCTAAGTTCCTTATGGAATCAAATGTTTTTCAGATTTACCAACATAAAGATGATGCTGATCTTTTTATAACCGGAAAAGATGCATGCTTGTTTGATCTTAAACGTGTTGAATCACATGAAGGCTGCAAACTCAATGGCGTTGCTTACAAGTTCGAAGCTTTCTGCACTAAGAGCATTAAGAAGTGTCTTGATTGTGTACACGGATGATGTGAGTTGTCTCTTAGACTTTAGAATTGCTTTCAGTTGCGTTCTCAGAGTCAAAAAGTTGATATCTATAGCTGCTTTTTATGGTTTAAAATACTTTAAAGATAATGTTAGTTTAAAAAATTGTTGATGTCTAATATTTCAAATATCTGATTTCTCATTTCAAAATTTTTGAAAGTTAAGCAGTATTAGTGATAGCTCAGTTGATGAACACTGTGCCGCACCTTCCCATGTCTAATTAGGGTGCCGAAGAATGAAGAAAAAACACTAGGACCTAGAGATAGAGGTGAAACTCTATGATATATCAAGTTTCCTATCGTCAAAACTGGGGTATGAATGGTATAAGCATTTAATTGTACATGAAGAATACTGATTTTATTTTGAAATACTCCTGTAATAATTTTCTAATGAGTGTGACGAAGTCATTGCATTCCATCTAATCAAGAATATGATTAAAAAACTGAGTTGTTGAGGTTTTAACATATAGTGAAGGCCCCAATATTGTGTTGGAAGAAATCACATGATCTAAACAGAGTTGCTTCTCTATCTTATGATGTATGCACATAAAAGCCTGTCTTTGTCTGTTTGCATTCTTGTACTAAAAACATCAGGTTCTGGCAGCTCTTGCTTATGTTGCTTCTCTCGGCAGTGGAGTTTAGTTGTCATAACTCACATTTGGTTGGGGCAAGAGATATGATATCTGTTGAGACCTGGCTAAAGTATCTAATGTGAGTCTTGGTCTACTACCTATTCTCTGTAACCGTAAATACAATGGACTTGATACTGAGAAATTCTTAACTCCCAACACTTGGTTCCTCATTATACAAAATCACCTCCAGCTTCAGCATGTTATTCTGAAGCTTCAAGATAAGAACTCTCTTGAATCTGTGCCCATTATAATGAAGTTCTTTTTTACTGTTGCCCGTGTGAAGCGTGGTGCAGAAATGCTTATTACTAATGGATTTCTCTCGTCTCTGAGACTCTTGTTTGCTACTTGGACGGTAGGTCTTCTTACGTTTGTATTAATACGAGAAATCCCAACTCAACTGAAAAAATTGAGAAGCCTCAGCAAATTTGGGGACTTGGTTTGGCAGTCATTACAGATATGGTTCAGTCTTTACGAGACAGTTCTGCTTGTTCTGATGTTGTGGAGAATGTAATACCTCACTTCTTTTCAGAGAAAGCCTATATGATTTCTTACTATCTGAGTGCTCCAGTCTTCCCATCTGATGGTCATGACAAGAAAAGACCTCAGGCTCAGCAGAGAAACTTCTCTTACTGATCTTTAAAGAAACTGAGCACACTCTCATTCTGATGTGCATGCTAGCAAAACATTGGAATTCATGGGTTAAGGCCATGAAAGAAATGGACTCCCAGCTAAGAGAGAAAAGTATCCATCTTTTGGCCTTTATCAGACGGGGAACTCAACACCTTGGAGAATCTTCTAGTCTTAATGCTCCTCTTGTATGTCCTCCTATCCTTAAAGAGGAATTCAATGGCTGCAAGAAACCATCGTCTGTCGACAGTAGTAGCGCATGGTTTGCTCTTTCACCATTCAGTTGTGTGTCAAAACCAAAATTCTCTGCTGTCTCTACCACAACTGCGCTGGCTATTAAAACTCAATCAACTGAAAATAGTGTGTCTCAGTCATACTTATCCGACACTATTGTCCTTCAGATCTACATAATTACTTTTCTTCTTTTGAAGTTCCTCTGTTTACAAGCTGAGGGTGCTGCTAGAAGGGCAGAGGAGGTGGGGTTTGTTGATCTTGACCATTTTCCTGAGCTTCCAATACCTGAAATCTTACATGGCTTACAGATAAGATGACAATTTTTATTCTTTAATTATTATTTTTTTTGTGGCTAATCTTTTAAGATCTTGAGATGTCCCAAGGTGTGGCTTCGATTTGTTTCATTATGCAAAAAGCTTCTGGTCTTCAAAATACTTGAAATTAATGTCGAGGTGACTTTCTTTTTTGAGGTTCCTACTTTATTTCTTTTTATTGCCAAAGTAAATGGGTTGTATTTTACCTAGTTTCTGACTCAGATACAAGAAACTTGCATCCAAAGCTCTTGTTTTGAATCTGAAGAATGTGACCTCGGAATTGCAAGTCTCTTTAACGTTCTGTCTTTAGGTCTTTAGTTGTAGAGAATTTCCCTTGATCCCCCTTCCCCTCTCCACAAAATGTAACACCAATCATTTTGTGTAAACAAACTATTTTTTACCACTACTTTTTCGCCATTCTTTCCACCATTTTCTGAACACCCATAGTATTTTAATCCCATGATAATCTGTTTCTTGTAATGATCTGTTGCTAGATGTTTTATCTTTCTTTCCATTGCCATGCTTTATGATTTTCCAGATATAATTCTTTTGTTCTTCTTGTGGTAGGCTACATTAGAGCATCTATTAGCGATGGTATTTCATATATCGTCTTCTGTTGTTCTGTGGTAACTTTCGTTGATGACACTCAGGATAGTAGCCAATTCCAAGCCATGTCCAAAGTGTAAGCGACCTATTGAAAAAACCAAGGGTGCCATGACGTGCACACCACCTTGCAAATTTGAATTTTGCTGGTATGCTTTCTGCTTGCTTTCTTTTCCCTTCATGGAAATTAATAGTTTTTTGAAAACATATCTGATTAATGAATAATAGCATTGTATCATTCACATTGAGAACAGAAATATTGTTTGAGGAAACTTTTCTATTGCTTATGCTCTTATATTGTTAAGTTATATCTGGTTCTAAATGAATTATATGTATCTTGCAGGCTATGCCTTGGTGCATGGTCAGATCATGGTGAGAGGATAGGTGGTTTCTATGCTTGTAACCGCTATGAAGCAGCTAATAAAAAGGGAGTTGTAAGGATTTTACAGTTTCTTTTTGCTCATTCTGAGAATTTGCTCATCTTCTTTGCCTTTTGGAAGCTTAGTTTTCTTTTTCATCTGTTTATAAGAGTTTGTATTGTGGTTTGTGGTATGATGTAACTGAGAGAAGAAGAGAAATGGCAAAGCATTCTCTGGAGAGATACACTCATTATTATGAATGTTGGGCAAGAAATCAGTTGGTATTCACAATTCTCTTTTCAAAATTTCCTCTGTTTGTTCTGCTATGCTTTGAATTCATTCATTTCTTTTCTTACTGTTATAGTACCGCTCTATGTTTTTTTTTTTACATAAAGTATGGAAGCCTCCTGAATTTGTAGTATTTGCCTGTGCATTGTTCTTCTGTTTTATGGATTTAATTGTCTAAGCCTTAATGTTGCTCTTGATGGACCTATACAAATGTCCTATTCTCGTTTAATTATTCACTAAAATCTTTTTGGTCTTCCTTGGCAGTCGAGGCAAAAAGTTCTTGCGGATTGGCATCAAATGCAAACTGTTAATGTATCTGTACTTGCAGAAAAAAATTTCTACATGCGCACATACATACAGACATGGGTTCATGTGTTTGCTATCTTCATTCTTCAATGGAGTAGATGGTAACAAATGCGTTCAAAACACAAATAATCTTAGTACTCACCTTTCTACTATATTGTGGAACTAGAACCATATTTAAAACTTTTTGCTGATTTGGAATGTTATGGTGTATGGAACATTCTACTTATTTTATTCATAGATCCTATGCATTCACTAGGTTAACAACACAAACATGAGGTTTTATGTGTTTTCACTTTGGACATTTAGATTTCAGAATTTAGAGGTGAAGTTGTAGTTGTACGGAAACCCCTTCATGTGAACTGATAGCCTGAATTTAGAGGTGTTACTTCCCTAGCTATCATGGAATTGTATGAAGTACTCTGTATTAACTTTATTGACAGCCTGGCTATTTTTTTCTCAGATGGAGAAGCTTAGTGACATTCAGCGAGGACCTGAGTCTCAGCTCAAGTTCATAACTGATACCTGGCAGGTGGTGAACTACCATCATTTTTGTTAGATATATAAAGATTTGTTTTCTTTTAAATATGTGAAAGGAATTATAGTGCACAGTGTAGCTATAAGACAGATTAGATTTGCTTTGCCATGGAATGCTGGCAAATTTTGTTTCGCCATGAAATGCTGACAAATTTTGTTTTGCCTCACTTCTTTTCAGAGAAAGCCTATATGTTTTCTTACTATCTGAGTGCTCCAGTTTTCCCATCTGATGGTCATGACAAGAAAAGACCTCAGGCTCAGCAGAGGAACTTCTCTTACTGATCTTTAAAGAAACTGAGCACACTCTCGTTCTGATGTGCCGTGTGCTAGTAAAACATTGGAATTCATGGGTTTAAGGCCATGAAAGAAATGGACTCCCAGCTGAGAGAGAAAAGTATCCATCTTTTGGCCTTTATCAGCCGGAGAATCTTCGAGTCTTAATGCTCCTCCTATTCAATTTTTTCATTCGCATTCTTGTACTTGACTTCTGGTTGCAACAAGGTCCAAGCTAAAGATTTCGTCACTTTCTTAGGGTTTGATCAATCACAAAACACTGGTTTAGAACATAAAAGATTTATTTAAAATGTTAAAAACAATTAAAAACATAAAATTAATAGTGCATCTGTAATAAAATTAATCAACCCAACCATTGAAACATTTTTCAAATTCAACTCCCGAAAACGAAAAACACAAAAACAAGGTGACGTTAATTTTATCAAAATTAGTTTCTTCCACGGCATAAGGGAAATACACATGATATTCTTCTAAGTTCTTGTGCCCTAATATCCTTGAGTAAGAGTAAACTTGCAGCGTAAGTATCCACATGATTGTCAAGATAACAATGCACCGGCAACGTAACTCTGGTTTCGTTGATCTGCTTCGTTTGAAGATTGTATATAGCCAGATATTGGCATCGACCATGCTTTCGGTACTTCACAAGGAGTTCATCATTCGTTTTAAAGCCCAACGGTACAGGAAACCTTCCAGGAAACCAAACAGTGTGCAGCTTGTTTAAACACTTCTCCTGGAGAACCCATATGTCGATGCGGTTTTTCTGCCTCACTTTTCAATAAGCAAACTGACTCCTTGTAAGGCTGAATGTCATTGAAACTATCAACATAGCATATAATGCTCTCCCAAATAGCCTCTGGCAGTAACACTTTTTCAAATACCTCACTGCCGGTATCAAACGACACAAGATGAAGGCTACAATCCTTTTCCGCTCGCATAATCCAGTATGCTACCCCATTAGAAACTGCATGTCCAAAACTCCAATCCATGGAAATTATCCAAGGAGGAAGTACACCAATGATCTTCCAAGAGTGTGTACTTAAACTGTAAACCTCCACTTCAATGTAGTGCTGCCGATAAATCGTCACCAACCTTACTACTTTATAGTCGTTGAGCCCGGGGTTGAACCCGAATCCAAGAACACAGTGATATTCGGAATTGGGAGGGCAAGAAAGGTTGGTGTCTGGAAGGCCGACATATTTCATTATTGATGGGTTACATATGCTTACAGGACTAGTCAAATCCGGACTGTTAGATGACAGACAAAGTAAACCATTACTTGAACCATGTAGCTGTAAACCTCCCATGTCCAAGCATCTTGCCTTAAATGTTTCATTAAAGAAAATGGAATGGCGAATTTTGGGTTTGCCTTCATTGCACTGGAGGCCAACTAGAAAAGTGTGGTTAAGGTTTTTGACATAACTATTAACATGTCTGCCAATAAAACTCGAGCTTCCAATCAAATCACTCCATGACTTGCAGACACACATAAACCGAGCAAGGGATTTTACCGGTAGTCTTAGTAGGATGTGGATCAAGATTTCTTCGGGGATGTAAATGGAATTCTCGCTGCTTGTGGACCTCATCCTGAGGAAGATACAATAGAGAAATAAATTAGAAAACAAACTCGGGAAACAAATCTAGACCCAGTGCTACAGGGAAGAAGAAGAAGAAAAAGGAAAGACGTTTGCATCAAGAGGAGATTCTTGTTCGTCAAATATTAAAATGTAGACCAGCTTATAAACAGTTCTTGAACTTTCAAAATCTCATACCAAAACACACATGTAATGTGATAACATAGCATGCAGCACATATCAAAATCACTTTCAAGAGAGAGAAACGCACACGTACTGTTTTATGTCTAGTGTTTTGCAACAGCAAATTTTTAACCAATCCTTAACATTCATAAATCGTATGCAGCAAAGAAAAATATAAGCAGAGGCAAACTTAGATAGAAGACAAATTGTTGTTTCCTTGGTTGGAGCAAGAACTCCGTACGTGAAAAGCAAAACCTATGAAGAAACCCAACATATCTAAAGAAATACACCCTTACCTGAGAAGCTTGGCTATTGGTTATGAGATTTCAAGACAAGGGAAGGGACCATATATATGGGAAAGGAGAGAGGGCAGGGAGAGAAAAATAAAAAACCCTAACATTTATATATATTGGATCCCGAGCCTCTACATTTAGAATTTGTACATTTACCCATATTTCGTGGAATCTAAGCCAACCAAATAATCTAATGGAAGAAATATACACCTTACCTGTTTTAAGATGTCGCTGACCAATCAGAAAAGCTAACTTCCAAGTTGAAAAAGGAAAGGTCAATCTGAACCCACAAAACCTTTCTAACAAATAATATTTTCGATGCAATAAAGATTATATTGGGCCGATTGTAATAACCCGATGGACTTGTAACATTATAAACCTCTAAGTGATGATTACATATGCATATAGATGACGCAACCTGACAAAAGATTGATTAAAATCTTAGTTTAGAATATGTAACTTTGGAATCTACCAAAAAATATATGAGGAAACCTTATTTAATAAATTGGAATAATAAAACATAATCCTAGCTACGGGTTAAATTTATTTAAATACTCCTAGAAACCCTAGGAATAAACAAGGAATTAAAATAGGAAAATAACAAAGTTTTCAAAAAATGTAAAAATTTTAAAGCAAGATTTTGGGCTAGAAACTTTAAATACTCCTACATGCTCCCACGCTTATAATTTAACAATTTAAAAGAAGAAGAAAAAAACCTTGATAAAAAGAAAAGGAAAAAATATCAATTGGCACCCGAAGAACCACAATAAGAGATTTGGGTTTGCCCATGCAAAAACATAAAATAAAAAGAAAAATCCAATGAGTCTCTTTTGGTTGTCCTAGGTAGATCAGCTAGCAGAAAGGAATAAACTTTCCAACAATAAGAGATTTGGGTTTGTCAAACCTAACAATGCTTAAAACTTAAAAATACAATGTCAAGACTCAAGATCTTATACAAACGTATGATTTTGTCATCAAACTGCATGCAGAAATTTGGTGAAAAGTAAAAGGAAGGCAAACTTATTACAGTTGGACACGCTATTTACATTTATAATTTGTATTATATTTGGTGAAAGTAGACGACAGTCTTCATAATTTCTTTGAGAGTGAAAGTGAGAGACTGTGATAGTATTGTAAACTTTATTTTTAGAAAGAAATTCATTCATAAAACTAAAGACGTACAAAAAGCAACATGATACAATAGTCTCGTTAAAACTTTTTTAGGACAACCTCATGGGGCAAATCCCAGAGGAGGAAACAGTATCAAAAATGTCATGGACTAACAAAAGAGTCTAATTCAGGTCACTTTGAACCATTACAATAAAAGAATAAATCGAAAACGAAACCTAACACAAAGACCTTTGACGAGAACCGCAACTAAAGACCAACACAATAGACCCCACAAGAGAGGACTGTAGAAACCCCAAATAGTAAACCCACAAGAGAGGATCGCATAACATCCCAACTGTCAAAAAAAGCCTTCTATGAGCAAAAGTCTTTTAACACCCACACAAACTGCAAGGCACACCGTAATAGAAACCAGAAGAGAACATGGAGGAGGAACACCAAAACAACATTAAAAGGACCCTTGGGAAGCACTCCACTTTAACTTAGAACCTGACAAAGAAAACTTCCTATGACCAAATACAGTTCTTAGGTTTGTGCAGAGTAGAGAAGAGCACCACATCCCAACAACTAACACCAGCATCGCTGCTGCCGTAGCCGTTGAAACAGAGACAAAATATCAGCTATCAGGTATATCACAACTCTCCCGAGAAGAGACACAATCTAGCGTCACTACTGTCACTGCCACCGAAACGAAGACAACACCAGTCACCTAGAACACTACAAAAACAACCAAATAAAACAACAAACAAACCTAGATCGAAATAGATTTAGACTATCTAGGGAGGGGAAGGGGAAGAGAAGAGGGGATATGAGGAAGGGAAAAGATGGGAGAAAAAGAAGGGGATATGAGGAGAGGAATGAGAAAATGGGCGAAGGAGAGGAGGGGTAGTGGCCACCTCCCCCCCTAGCTTTCTTGTGGTTGGTTGTGGGCAAGGAGAAAAGAGACCAGGGTGCTATTTTTTTTTGTTTTTTTTTTTTTTTTTTTTTTTTTTTTTTTTTTTTTCTCTCTCTTATTAATTAAAATTAATATATTGTAGACTAGAGTATGATGATTGCTTGTAACGATTCGTCTTTCAACAATCTTTAACGGCTAAGTTGCTTTTAGCAATGCCCTCGAATATTGACGAGAGGCCATTTTCTAGTCCATGCTAGTTTTCATCATCGCTTTGAACTCGTCGAAACTTACCTGTCCATCCTAGTAAAACATGTGCACACACACGCACACAGACACACAAAAAATTAGTAAAATGAAAAGTTGCTATACCACTAATCAGATGTTCGCATCTTGTTACTATGTTAATCCTAAATTTTAAAGAGGTTTTAAAGAGGATATTTAGTCATATACCCATTCTTAGCACTAATAATATAGATAAACCCTACACAATTTAATTTCTATAAACAAACCCAAAAAATGACAGCTAGCCCTATTGAATTTAATTTTGATTATTAAATTACTTTGATGCCCTATTGAGTGTCTTGGGTATTTTTATGAGGTTTTGGGGTTGGGTTTGTTTTAATAAATTGATGACAGTTTTGTAATTTATAAGAAGTTAAAAGCTTCTTTGTTATGTTGTAAATGGGTTTTGGTTGTGTTTTTAAAATCCATTTCATAAAGGGTTTTTTTTATATAAGTTGGGCCCCTATATTGGGTATAATAGTGAATCTCCCAATTTTAAACTCTAAAATGATATCCGAAAGCTACAAAAATTAAGTTGGTACCAGCAGTATTACTCAGAAAGAAAATGACATTAAGATAGAACAGAACATTGCAAAAATGCTCTATAATTTTGTATAAATTTCAGCCTCTACAATTTTTTTCTTTTCCATCTTTTTATTACCTTAAGTCCTATTTACATAAATAGATCTACTGTGTGACATATGTCAAATGGGGATTGTTAGTCAATTCTCTATTTTATGAGCCTTTGTAAGGATTTGGATCAAGCAGTCTCTTCACTACTTCTTTTGCTTCCACAGAAACCTTTTTCCCTGTCTCCCTCTCAAAAGCTAGGATATTCTCTCACCGCTTCCCCTCATCCAGCTATGCAATATTTGAAAAAGATTGTAAGAGGGTGTATTGTCATTTTCCTAAATTTAAAATTTTCACTCTGGCCTGAAGGACCTCATCGATCAGCATCAAAATTGTAGGTCCATTTGTGACAAGTAAGCAACAAGCTTCTGTTTTTATGGGCATGCTACAAGTTGGGTGACATTTGAAGCACAGAATAAATGTAGTAATATTTGACTCAAAAGACGATCGTTTAGGGGAACACTGACCATTGATTTTTATGATCACACATGGTATACAAGATATCCGTCTCTAGGTATGTAAGAAACAATGGAGGCCTGATTGTTCTTCATGTTTGAACATATATCTTTAAGGACTTGAGAGGGAAAAAATGGGGGTGCCTTTTTACAGAGATGAAACTGATGTGGTTAGACTAAAATAGTTCATCATTACACTAATACTTTACATTTCCAAAAGTTATCTGCAACTTCCTTTGTATAAAGGAAATTCACTGTACACAAAGTCAAACTATTCATCTTCAATCTTTTTCAGCCTTCACTTAATTTGGGGAAGATGAAGATGATTCAGAAGCAGCTTTATGTCTCCTCCTTATAGCTTGCTTGTAACGATTCGTCTTTCAACAACTTACGGCTAAGTGCATTTAGCATTGCCCTCGAATATTGACGAGAAGCCATTTTCCCAGTCCATGCCAGATTTCATCATCGCTTTGAACTCTTCGAAACTTATCCGTCCATCCTAGTAAAACACACGCGCACAGACACACACGAAAAATAAGTAAAACGAAAAGTTGCCATACCACTAATCCGATGTTCACATACTGTTATGACGTTAATCCTAAACTCTAAACTCTAAAATGATATCCGAAAGCAGAAAAAATTAAGTTGGTACCAGCAGTATTACTCAGAAAGCAAATGAGTAGGGTTGAGAGTTACCTTGTCCAAGTCAACATCAAATATGATGTCTTGGATAACCTGCTCATTTGCGGGGCCAAGTTTGTCGTCTAGCAATGCTTCTCTCAACTCATCGAACTCAACATAGCCGCTGTCATTCTTGTCAAGTAGGTAAAAGCTTGATGGAGAAGTTCATCGTTGTCTATCTTTCTCAAGTGAACTGACACAACAACGAATTCGTCGCAGTTCAGTGTGCCGGTTCCATCACCATCCGCCTTTTTGACATATACAGGAAGGTTGTTAGATAAGGAAATATAATACAATGATAATTAAGAAAAAATTGGATGATGGCTACTATAAGTAAAAGACACACATAGCAACAAAGGGCATTCATGAGGATATGTATGCATAATACGAATTGAAACAGAAGCGAAAGTTCTGAATTTTATATTTTCAGAAGTTTAGAAATTGATAGAAAGTACTAGTGAATGTGGAAAAGAAAATAAAAAACATGAAATGGTGTCAAGCAAATAAACTCACAGCATCAATTAACATCTGCACATCAGGATCAGTGACATGGTGTCCAATCTTCACAAGACCATCTCTAAGTTCTTCAAAATTCAAGTTTCCATTATTATCAATGTCCATCATATTGAATAACTGTCTGATCCCATCTATTTGATCGTCCGGCAAGTTGTCTGCCACCACCTGAAGCGACGAACAATTGAAATTAATAATGCTCGTAGAAGAGCTACCTTTAGCAATTATGTGACAGAAAAGAGATTTGGGAACTTACTCTGAGAACTTTCTTCTTGAACTTACTCATCAATGAGAACTGCTTGATCCTTAATGTGACATTTCCTCCCAGAGGAACATTGGGAACTTGATTCGCATGTCGTATCCAGGGATGATCTTCATATCGGATGCCAGAAAATTATTAGTATAATTTTCCGCGCAGTCCAACTCAGAATGATTATGTGAAGGAAAAGTAGACATTGCAGTGGTAGTCAAAATTAAAATTCTATGAGCATATGAGCAAAAGAAAAAGAAAAAGAAAAAGAAAGTGTTCCATACTTGAGCAAAACAAATTGCAAAAATGCTCTATAATTATTGTTTATCTTTTATTACCTAATTAAGTCCTATTTACATAAATAGATCCACTGGCTCAAGTATGTCAAATGGGGATGGCTAGTCAATTCTCTATTTTGCACAAGTGGTAAGTAGTTTCTCAACCTCCTTATTTCTGAGATTTCCACAAGCATATGTAAAAATTCACATACCAAGGACTTCTTCAACTCCAAGCCTGTTGAAAGGATTTGGGTCAAGCATTCTCTTCACTAGTTCTTTTGCTTCGTCAGAAACCTTTTTCCATGCCTCCCTCTCGAAATCTATGCTACCCCGAACGATTGCCTGTGCAATTCCTTCCTCAGATTCTGGACAAGGTATAAATACAACATTAGAAGACACTCTGGAAAATTATATCACACCCATTTTGTGCACATGTCATATGCATTGAAATTAAACAGATATATCAGAATCAAATGTAAATTGAACCGCATCAAAAATTGAATATAGAGAGTTACCTGCCCAAAATGGTGGAACTCCACAAAGTAGGATATAAAGGATAACCCCTGCACTCCAAACATCAACTTCAGGCCCGTAATTGCGCCGCAAGACCTCCGGAGCCATGTAATATGGACTTCCAACAATTTCACTGAATCTCTGACCTAAATTGGCAAGATTGTGCTTCAGTCACATGAAAACCTAGAAAGCAATGAAACAGAACCAAAAAAAAACAGAGGAAGGAGCAGAAGTCATGTTTTAAAAGATACCTTTCTCAAAAAATATAGAAAGGCCAAAATCAATTGCCTTTAACTGAGCATTTTCACTGCTATCTGTAAACAGGAAATTCTCCGGTTTCAGGTCCCGATGTATCACTCCATTCTGGTGGCATACCTGCAAAAATTTGACACAAAATCATCATTTTTCAAGTGGCAATATATATATATATATGTTATTTAAATTACTAAACTAAAAATGAAAAGTTTACCTTGCAAATCTCAAGAATTGTCCTGGTGACAGTGGCAGCAGCGCGCTCTGTGTAATGCCCCTTCGCCACAATCCTATCGAAGAGCTCGCCGCCCTCACAAAGCTCCATGACTAGATAAACTGCCTCTTTGTCCTCATATGCCTCTTTGAAGCTGACAATATTCGGATGCTTGGGCAAACGGCGCATGATCTCAGCCTCCCTCCTCACATCCTCGACGTCAATCTCCGTCTTCAGCTTGCTCTTCGCTATCTTCTTGCACGCAAGCAACTCCCCCGTCTCCCGGTGGGTGCATCTGTAGGTAATTCCAAACTCCCCTCGCCCCAATTCCTTGCCAAACTCGTACTTGTCAAAGATGTTGTTCCCTGCGGTTTTGTCCAGCACCCAGATGATGCTGCGGTGGTGGACAGCGGCCGGAGCCGCCACTGAAGACTTGCGTGGCGAATCGTGTACGCATTGAGGCAAGGGTTTGATGATATCTTTGCTTCGTTTGTGGTAGACGCCTGCCTTCGCAGGTGTGCATACGCAGCTTCCCATGGGAATGAGGTGGGGGGTAATTTGGTCAATTAAGTTTTCAATACCCCATGGAGAGAGAGAGAGAGAGAGAGAGAGAGAGAGAGAGAGAGAGAGGAGCAGAATTCTAGAAGGCGAGAAATTGAAGACGCACACTAATTTTGGAACATCTTTGCGTTTGGGAAATAGTTTTTGAAAAACAGTTCGTTTCGGTTTTAAGGCGTCCCGCCATTTTCTAATTCGAGCTGTTTGGTTTCTGTCAGATTTGACGGCAAAACGTTAGTATTGTCCTTCTCTTGTGGACTCGTGCGAAGTAACGCCGTCAACCCAGGTCAAGTATGGTCTAGGTGGAAGAAAAACTTGTTAATTCCAAAATAGATGACAACAATCACCCTTGCCTTTTCTTTTCTTTTTTCTTCGTTTTCTCCTTGATATTTTGTTTAGAAATTGAAGGATCCTTGAAAATTTATAATCCTAGAGCAGAACAAGAGAGACCTCAAATACGATATGTCATATTTCAATTTGATGGCTGATGTAGTGAAATTGAGAAAGTAGCGTTTAAGTAGGAACTACTATTGAAATATATATATATATATATATATATATATGAGTTTGGCGTTGTTGTCAAATTTGCCGTCAACCACTCTAACCTTAATTCCAGGTGGGATTTACACACATCGGTTGGAAATGTCATTTGCTGTCAACTTTCTATTACCATTCACTTGGCAAATATCTCGATTAGAGATGCCCTTAGAAAGCAATGACACATCGAAGTACATGCATTAAACAAATAGCTTCAACTATAATTGGTACTTGATAGCTATGACCATCATTCTTTAGATGTTACAGACTTGTTCTCGACTTCAATTTCATGGGTTGGAGTTAACCACTATTCGACAGAAACCCATGCATGACATAAATTTGTTAACACAAACCATAAATAGATTGAGTTAGTTTCAAACGCTGACATGATTTTGGCACCATCGATACAAACTTGTCTACAGAAGAAAATCATTAATTTCTCTCACTTCTTAATACGCATGTGTGTTGGCTGGATATGTCTAGGAATGCCGAAGGAAAAGCCTTTGGTCCTTCCTTTCAGGATGAGTGCACCGTGCACGGCGGCTTGCCACTACCTGAATCGAATGTCTAAGATGAGCCCTAACTTGATTCTTATCGAGCATTTTGATATCAACATACGGTGTGCTCATCTGAAACTTTCATTTTTTCTAAGCTTGTGATTAAGGACTATCTCTTAAAATTGTCTATATTTTCACGTGACAATGCATGTCGAACATGTGCATGGTTGCAATGGAATTTGCCAGTCATTGCTTTTTAGGAGAAGGTTTGGAAAAGAGAGAAGAAGAGAGTTCTGGGGTTTGGTAAAAGAGATGATTGGTAAAAGAAAGAATTAATTTTTCTTCCAAAATTAAAATATTGCTTGTATAAAGAAAAATTATTATACTTCTAAACGTGTTCGTCACGTTTTTGCCGTGACATATTTCCCATTTGTTGGATTGAAAGATTTCAAGGATTTTCCTTGATTGCAAGTTGAAGTATAAACTACAATATGCTCTTTAATTGTCAAAATTGAACTAAAAATGTAGTTTGGCCTATTGATAGTAGCTACATTCACATTTTGTCTTCTCGTTTCTCTTTCAGACATGAACTGCACATATGATACGAAGACTTAATGATTTGGTAAAAATTAGAAGATAAAAGAAAAACCAAACAAATTTACCTCTAGCTAGGTGTTTGTTCGTCAAGTTTTCATTTCGACCATCCTCACAAACTGCAAGATTCTATATATTTACACAAGAATCTAAATTATTGAGCTGCTGACACTAAATTACAAAAATTAAACTGGGCTAAAAGCGCTACACAAAAATTGATGCTTGTGCTTAATGTCCCATATGCATTGATGTATTGTAGAATTTTGCTGACATATGAGCCTAATTAGTACCATGTACAGTTAGATCATCGAGCACACGATCACTTAAACCAACTAAGAGATAACTTTGAAAAGTACTAAAATAAAATTAGGTTTTACTACATTTTACCCGCTGAGATTTCGAGGTCCCATAATTTAAAAAATTGAGTTCTTTTTATTGTTTACTGACTTAAGCATCTAAATGTCTTCAGAAATTCATTGGCCGCCAAATAATTTTTTATTTTTTTTTAATAACAAAAATGCCCTAGACCGACGATGGGTGTGGGCTCCATGCTCTGTGGGTCCATTCTTGGGAACGTCATTATTTAACGGTTGACGAGATAGGATGAAGAGTACGTAAAATTAGTTCAATCGCAAAATGACATAGTGGAATGTACGAAAATGGAAACCCGATGGCCCATTTTGATAATACCCCAAACCTCACGTTGTAAAATACAATTAATTCATAAAATTACGTAGAATTTTCCTAACTGAAAGTGTGAGAATGAACGCTGGCCCAACCTCTCTTCCTCTGTTTTTAGTGTATACAGACAAGACACTGAACACGTAACATTTTTTGCTTCAAGCCTGTAACAACAATTGTTAACGCCTTATATTTATTTATCATTTCTCAAACTCCTTGGTTGGCTTCTCAAATCTCCCAAGCTTCTCAAAAATCTAGTCATAATCCAAGCATATACCAAATGCAGGATATGTGTTATCTAACTTAGACCAAGCCAAGCCAAGCCTAGACAATCCCGAAACATAGTCCATGCCAAGACAATACTGTGTAACAAACAAGAGCCCATATTTATTTATCATTTCTCAGCCTCCTTGGTTGGCTCCTCAAAACTCCCAAGCCTCCTGTCTCTCAAATTCCTCCAAATTTCTAGCTTTTGAGTTTCTCAACTTCTTGGTTTTATCAATCCCAGCGTTGTAGATGTTACTTCAGTATTTTTGTTTTTTGCTTCTTTTCTTTGTGTTTGTCTTCAATCCTTTCTTATATACAGAAAATGATATTTTGGTTGATATCTATACTTTTCCTATATTTATAAAAGGTTCCATTTTTTAAATACTCTATACACAAGCAAATAAAAATAAAATTATTTTTGTTGAGTGCATCTATAAATATGTAGAGTCTATTTTCGGCATCGTCGCGGGCCTTCAAAATCTAAAGGTCGGCCCTGTTTATAGCCATATTCCTAATTACATGCCATGTAAAATAGTATTACTGCCAATTCTGGCTGTTTGGTTTTCTGGCTTTTCGTTTTCAGAAGCGTTTTTTTACATTCAATGGTAAATTTATAATTTGATTCACTTTTGGCTGGGACACATTAAGCATATACTGGTCTCTATATGTTTGAATATTTCTGCATAAGAGCTGCTTTTTTGTGTAGTTACATTGGTGATTGATTGCAGCCAATATTTAATTCAATTGGAGCTATCTTGTTGACCTATTCTATTCTCATCATCCAAAAGTAGTTGGATTTTGGTTTTGACATTCTATGTTTATACATAATAGATATTCAATTTCTTCAACCTTTGGACTTGGTGTACCTGCAGACTTTGCAGGCTTCTGGTCTTTGTGGGTGTGTATAATTTACAAATACAAATGCTCCGAGAGTTGAAAACTTTACTTTCTTCTATCTTTATATCATATTGATTAATTTATGATCGTCTGTTTGGAAGTCTTCTGTGATTGCTGGTCTTAGTAGGCTTCCTTTGAACTTTCCCTCATCTTTCCTCCACTCTTGTTTAATTTTCCTTTTTGCCTCCAGTCCTTTATTGTGATATCTTAATGTGACATTGATCATTGCTGAAACTTCAATGAAATGAAATTCAATGGAACAGATAGATATTGTGATACTATGAAGAGGGTTTCCTCTTTGTCACCAATGAAGAAGATGAATATCTCAGACCAAAGAGAAGAGGAGTATCTCAGACCAAGATCAAATGGTGCTAAAAGTGCACCCATTAGATTACATATGACGAAGGCAGGTCCTCGTCTATGCGAAAGCAGCAAGAAGGATGCGGCTGCAGTTGCTTTCTGCCAATCATCAGAAGAAGATCTTGATCTATACAAACAATTTGGTAACGACAGAGAGTCGATGTGGTTGTCTACAGATTGTTCATCACCTTCTGCCTTTTTTAGAGAGTATAGGTGGTCTGATTCATTTCACTCAAAAGAGCTGTTGTTACTTTCCTGGTTGTCATTGCTGGCAAGAGAAAATCCTATGGAAGAGGCATCTAATTTGCCTATGCGGAAAACTTCTCGAGATGAAGACAAGAATTTAGAGGAAGATATGAAGGATGAAAAGATAGTTACTTGGCTACTTGACACAAAATCTGATTCTTCTCAGAGTCTAGATTTCGAGAGGATAGGTTTTCACGTATCTTTATTGAATCTTGATGGAGAGGATAACAAATTGATACCAGGTACAGATCCAAAGTTGGATTATTTTCTGTCTGATTTTCCCAGTCCATCTTACAAAAGTAATTGGGGTCATGAATTTCAGTCATGTAATTTTAGTAGTGGAGCACAAAGTGAAACATCAGTATGTGATTTTTCATCAGAGCATGCTTCTGAAGCTGCAGATTGCTTAGATCTAAATACTGATGAACCACTTTTCTGGCCATACGAACAGAAAATCACTTGGAATTCTGAGGCAACTTGGAATTACTTTTCCATGTCGCCGCGGAAGGACATAAGTATAACAACTTTTGGAAGTCCACCAGATTCTGTTCAATTAAGCCACCATGATAAGAACATAGGTCTCAAAAAAGGGCATAGGAGAAGACTAGTGTTCAGCTCAGGATCAGCAGCATCAAAGATAATGGAATTAAAACAAAGATACAACAAGGGTGCACGCAGGACCAATACTTTGCCTTCAAGATTGAGCAGGGCAACCAAAACTTCTGAGAAAATTGTACCTTTAAACATGAAAGATGATACTGCAGAAATCAAAGATAGACAAGCTCATGTTGAAAGACCAGTTGGTATGGTTAAAGCTCTCGTAGAAGAAGGTTCTGCTTCAAAAGAACTTCCAATTGAGATGTTCTTGGGCCTTGATGAGTTTGACGGGCATGAGGGAGTTGATTCAGAATTTGATAAAGATGACTTCTCACTGCATGTGTCTCTCCGTTAGTTGGATCGTCGCGCGTCGCTCATTGAGCAGAGGGCCAGGGCATAAAGTAAAATCTGGAGAATGATAACAAGATTGGTCAATCTTTTAGCAGATATCTAGGTTGTTATGAGCTTAAATTTTGCTCTGGACGCCACTGTCTACTATTTTATGTGCTTGTTGTTCACTTTTCTTCATGTTTCCTTTCGTTTTGTTTCAGGCAGGATTCATGTGCGTCCAATGTATAGAGAAAAATTGATAAATGTATACAGACAACAAGTATTTCTTAAATTGTGAGCATAAAATGATAGGCTTCACGTTATCCACGCGGAACAAATCATGGCCTGCCTTGAACCTCAGTAGCACTCAAATCAAGTCACCTTATGCTCATGAACAACTAACAAGACTAATTCAGTAGACCTATATGTCACATCATGCCAATCAAATAATAAGACAATGGAAGGTAGTAATTGTTGAACTATAAAAAAAATAAACAAATAAAAGAACCTATTTGGTAACGAGCCGTATTTCTAGGTAAACAAAATGTCCTTAGTGTGCGGTTTGTGCCAACAGGTGGCCACAGGGGTGAGCATGCAATTGATGTAGATGGTGCGCTGGATATGGACATTTTCAAACGATTACAACTGAGGAAGGAACATTTCTCGATCTGAGGTTCTCCTACCTTGAACACAAGCAGTGCCGGCCCTAAGGGTGGGCAAGGAGGGCGATGGCCATGGCCTTGCATTTGTAGGGCCCTAAATTATATATTATAAGGCTTAATTATGTACACGCCCCCTGTGCTTTCAAACTTGTCTCATATTACCACATGTGTTTGCAAATGTCTCAAAGTACCCCCCGAACCTTTTAAAAACCGTCTCACGTTACCCGTTCCATTCCGTCAGTTTTTTTGACGTTCCGTTACGAACATTGGGCCCACTTCGTTTTAACCTTTAACATCTTCGAATAAGGATTTCTCAGTTCTAACAAAGGGGGAAATTGGAGAAGAGGGTTGGCTGAGATTGCCTTTTATTTTGGGAGAATTTAGAGAAGAAATCATTGTTTGGCGTTAGACTTTAAGGCTAGAAAGTGTGAAGATGGTGGTGCTTAGAGAATCTGGAGGTTGTCAACCCATATGTAAGTGGACTCATTCTCACTCGATTTTCTTGATTTTGGCATGTGCATTGAACTGCTGTTAGGGTTTTTTTTGCATTTTTTTGTATACTTTTTGACTCTGTGCTGGTCCTAGTGTGGTCATTGTGTGGTCCTTGTGTGTTCCTAGTCTGGTGTGTTGGTGGAGTTTTTTTTTATTTTTTCATATACTTTTTTACTATGTGCTGGCCCCAATACACCTTATGTGGTCCTTGTGTGTTCCTTGTATTATCCTTGTGTGGTCCTTGTTTTGTCTATTGTTACCTTTGTCCATTTGTTAAGTGAATCTTCCTCTTACACAGCTAAAGATACTGATGAGGTTCTCACATTTAAGTTTTTCCATGGAGGTAAACTAGTTAAAAATAGAAAGGACAATGAATGGTCTTATTTGGGTGGTGAAGTCAGTTGGTTTGATTATTGTGAGGTTGACTATATGTCCATGTTAGAGCTATTTGGAATGGCTAAAGATTTGGGATATGACGATGGGAATGATGTGAGTTTTTATGATGAAGAGTTTGGAACTGGTAGACTCATTCAAATAATATCAAATAGTTCACTTTTATCTTGTATAAGCACGGTACCTAAAAGCAATAGCAGGGTGATAGTTTTGTACTTGAAAGTAGCGAGCTTGACTTCAAGCCAAGTGGGGAATGATAGCAGTGATCAAGAATATTCTTGTTCTGAGGATGATGATAGCAGTGATCCAGACTTTGAAGACAGTGACTATGCACAGAGTGATGAAGAGATTGACTTATTGAAGAAAGATGATAAGTGGTTTGAAGGTTATGTGGATCATAGTTGCATTGACAATGATCCTAATGCAGAGGAAAATGATGAGTCAGACAATGGAGAAGAGTCACCTACACTTACCTGCCCAAATAGTTCTTCAAGTGAGGATGATGCAATAGGTGAACTAAGAAGGAAGAAGAATAGGATAATGTGAAGATTTCAGACCTGAAATTGATATGGCAAACCCAGGTTTCAAATAGGTTTAAAGTTTGCAGTTGCCGAGTTGTTTAGAAAAGCTATGAGGATATACTTCATTAATTGTGGAAGGGAGTTGATATTTATGAATAATGACTGTAACAAAATAAGAGTAGTATGTGAAAAGGGCTGTCCTTTTTTTATCCATGCTTCAAGTGTTAGTGATATCACTTACCTACATGTGAAAACCTTTAATCCTACACATGTTTGTAGTAAGGGGACTAAAAATATATATGCCACTGCTTGCTGGTTGGCTGAAAGATATTCTGGGCAGTTAAGGCCCAATCCAAATTGGACTGTTTTTTCTTTTGTAAAGCAAGTTCACCAAGACTATGGTTACAGACCATCTAGAGCAACTGTGTACAAAACAAGAGCCATATTTGAATGGAATACCATGTTGCATGCTTGTGCTGCAATAAGTTGGTTTCATGGGAATCCAAAGGACTTTTGTGATACAGTGTACAAGAAAGAGACTTATTTGAGAGGTTATGAACCAATGATTATGCCTATAACTAGCCAAGATCAGTGGATGAAGATTAATTTACCTCCATTACTCCCTTCGAAATACCACAAGCAGCCTGGTAGGCCTAAGAAGACAAGAAAACAAGCTGTTGATGAACCTAAACAACCTGCTAATCCATATAAGCTTCCTAGGTATGGCATCCCTTTAAAGTGTGGCAATTGCTGTGGGAAAAGGCATAATCGAATTAGTTCTAAGGTATGTGTCATTATAGGCTTATTGCTTTACATTTAAATGTATTTGATTTGGTTTCTGACTTGATGACTTTGGTTATTAGGAACCTAGAAATCCCAACATAAAGCCTACTAGGCAGAGGAAAGTTGCCAAGGACAAACTTGCAGTAAGTGCCACAGTTTCAACTATGTTTTCACCAATCAAAATTTTATATCATGGAAACTTCTAATTATTATTTGTTTTAGGTAAGAATGAGAGATGGTGGAGACCAAAGTAGCAGATAACGAAGTATGCAATTAAGGCAAAGGAAACAAGCAAGCAGTTCCCAAGGGCCTTCTCAATCCCAGGTATCTGAAGTAGCTGATGCTTCTCAATCCCAACCATCTCAAGCAACTGATGCTTCTCAATCCCAACCATCTCAAGCAACTGATGCTTCTCAATCCCAACCATCTCAAGCATCTGATGCTTCTCAATCCCAACCATCTCAAGCATCTGAACCTGCCAAACTATTTCGAGTACAATAATGTAGGAGGAGGATGAAAGATCAACAGAGGAGTCATTTTGTCAAAGATCCTTTTTTTCATCCTTGAATGTTGTGGAAGACTTTAATGGTCTAGACATGTTGTGGAAGACTTTTTTTCATCCTTGAATGTTTTGGTTGGAACCTGTTTTGGTTTTGGAACCTGTTTTGGTCTGTGCATATATTCCTAAGCCTGTTATGGTTGGAACCTATTTTGGAATGTTTTGTTTTGTGCATACATTCCTAAGCCTGTTATGGTTGGAACCTATTTTGGAACCTGTTTTGGTATTTTGGAACCTGTTTTGGTTTGTGCTTATATTCCTAAGGCTATTATGGTTTTGCTATTTTGGAACCTGTTTTGGTTTGTGCTTGTTGGAACCTATTTTGGAACCTGTTTTGGTTTATGCTTATATTTTATTTGTGGGATTATTGATGTATGTTATGGATAATTGACCATTTGATAATTAACCATTCAATATGTCACCATTTGTAACCTCTAAACAAGTTACCATTCATATCACAAATCAAACTTAACTAGCATTGCATTCATGTCACCATTTGCAACCTCTAAATAAATTACAATGAATAAACTTAACTAGCATTACATTACATTACACCAAATTACATTACATTACACTAACATAACTACTCCCAAAGTGCCTTACATTAGATTAGCATTTGTTCTCAAATTAAATTTGCCCACTAAACTACTGCCAAAGTGCCTTACATTACATTAACATTTGTTCTCAAATTACAGTGCCCACTGAACTACTACCAAAGTGCCTAATTCATCTTCATGGCAAACACCACCAACCAGGAAAGCAACATAGCAGCCCACAATATTTTTGACTTTGCTCGAATCTTTGCATTTTCCTTCTCCACCCTATCAATCTTCCTCAGCAAACCAGGTATCAAAGACTTTGAACACTCACACATTTCTGCATCAAACCACTGAAAAAACCTACATCCTTTTTCTCCACTTCCCTGTATCAACCAAGAACAATGACTGAAAATTTGGGTGGTAAAATGACTGAAAATTTCATCAATCACTGACAATTTCATCAATAAGAACTCTATCAATTTGTGATGCCCAAAATAATGAGTGAAAATTTGATCTTAAACATGCTTACCTTTGACTTTGGGCAGACTATCCACCCTGGGTTTGAACTGGTCCAAGAAGTCTGCATCCATGCTAACTTTCCACAATGACACCATTGGCCATGCCTTCCTTCTCCTTGCTTCTCTCCTGTTTCCATCAACCCAAATCTTCTACTCCACAATCTCCCAATTTCAAACTCCACCTTAGAGTTTTATAAACCCCTAATTTCTTCTCCAGCTTCTCCCAAAATCGAAGGCAACCTCAGATTTTCACAACCCTCTTCTCCAATTTCCCCTTTCACCCAATTTCCCCCTTTGTTAGAACTGAGAAACCCTTATTTGAAGAGGTTAAAGGTTAAAACGAAGTGGGGCCCAACGTTCGTAACGGAACGTCAAAAAAACTGACGAAACGGGTAACGTGAGACAGTTTTTAAAAGGTTGGGGGGTACTTTGAGACGTTTGCAAACACATATGGTAATCTGAAACAAGTTTGAAAGCACAGGGGGCATGTACATAATTAAGCCTATTATATATGTACTAAGTTGAAGAATTTGATTTTAGAGGACAATAATTTCAATAGTTTGGCATTTGGTGGCCCCAAATCTAATTACAAGTGTTTATGAAGAGTTCAAATGAAAATTATGTAATATACAAACATCGATTGCATGTATTTAAGTATTTAATTACTAAAAGTAGCAATCAATGAGAGAAAGCTAGGGACTATAAATTCTTTTATTTATCCAAAAATTCTCGTTAGTAGATTATTTAGCAAGGAAATATGAAAGAGTGCAAATTATTTGTATCCTCATTCTTGTTTATTTTCAGATTGGATAGTGATTATATGACCAATGCTGCAGCCGTGTTTATTTATCCAAATTGTATTTAATTGCATAATTTTTTTCCATGTTATTTTATTATATTCAGGAGAATGAAAGATAAATGGGCTTCATTTTCATTTCTAGCCTAGGGCCACCCAAAAGTCAGGGTCGACCCTGAACACAAGACTCAGTGTGCTGCTTCAATCTACCAAATTATCGTGTTTGGTGACGATAACTATGTGAGTCATATCAATTGGATCAAGATAATACCATTTAATCCAGACTTTGAAATGAAAGTGGGTAGAACAGTCCCATACGAAATGGTGCCCACAAACACAGCTTGTGAATCACATGAAAACAATGATGGTTTTGAAAAACTTTGTAAGAACAAAGCTCTTGGTAGCATGATGATGGATGTTACAATAAAAAAGCTAAATTGAACGTATGAATAAGATTATTAACCACTCATCAATCAGTCGATGAACAAATCCATAATGAAGAATTTCGCATTGAAGCACGATTCGAATCAAACTAACAAAATTACATAGCAAATTGAAGGATCTCCACTAGTAGTTCACCATGGATGTTTTTTAATTTACTTCCAAGCCCTTGCACAAACAAATTTGATGAAAATTTGATACATATTTAGTGGTATTTCTCTTTCTAATGCTGGAAGAAATCCCGAGTTCATAACTCATTCCGTTCTGATTCAGAATCTTATCCAAGTCCTAGTCGTGCACGTAATTATGGATTATTTCCCAAAGCAGCCAAACACTAGCGTTCACCGACTTCACTATGAGGAACAATTTTTATCACCTACCTGCCACGTACACGCGTCAACCATGTGGCCCAAGTTGACGAACACTCCGTTCTACACGCGGGAACGAAACACGACAAAACTGACCAAATATGCCTCCCATTCCTCCTCCCAGTTACTTGCTTCAATTCCACGAGGACTTCGTTTCCAAAATTACCCTTGCATTTTATAACATTTGCAAAAATGACACTAAACCCAACCAGTCACAGTGGTCGTCCCCGCAATTACAGCCAAGTGTCAGTGGTAGTTTAGGGAATTCAGTGTGTTTTACAGTTCAGGTCTGAAACCGAAGCTTCCCCCTCTCTCTCTCTCTCTGAAGGTTGTTCTTCTTCTTTGGTGTTCGCTTTTTGACTTTGATCAGAACCACTACTGCCTCGTTTCTCTGAAATTGCAGAGCTTTGATCTTCGTTTTTTTATATTTGGGATTCTGATTTAAAAAGGGTTTGCCTCGGATTCAGATTCTCGTGCTGAATTTCTCCTCTAAATTTGGTATATTTGTCTCTGCTGTAAAGGACTGCAGGTATTCTTGCTCTATCTTTTTCTCTCAATTCTGTTGTTTCTAATGCAATCGCACATGGGATTTGATTTCTTTTTCTTGTTTTCTGCTTTTGGATGTAATTGGTGGTTTGTATTTGGCTTAATTTTCTGCAGAGGTCAATTTAGTTCAATTTTTTTTTACCATTCTTTGTTTTGGGTATATGTTTTTTATAATTGTTCAATTTATTCTTCATTTTGTCTTTGGTTTTTATTTTATTTGTTTTGCTGAATTGGTTAGTGAATGCAAGTAATAGAATTGCCTTTCCTTTGTCGGTTCTTGTTGGAGGTGATTGACCAATTTGTTTGGTAATTGAATTTCTCTTGAAGATGTTGGTTTTTCCCGATTGAATGTATAGTCTTCCTTGTTCTGAATTTATCTCCATATGCTAGGCTTCCAATATACCACATTGGAACAATAGAACATTTTGGTACAATATATGAACCGTGGAGCACCCCTCTCTTACAAGCCGGTTTTGTAAGGGCAAAGTTCTTTCCATGGATTTCTATCAAGTAGTACAAGAACTGGTTCCTATAAACCAGTATTAGAACTGGTTCCTATAAACCAGTATTAGAACTGGTTCCTATAAACCAGTATTAGAACTGGTTCCTATAAACCAGTATTAGAACTGGTTCCTATAAACCAGTATTAGAACTGGTTCCTATAAACCAGTATTAGAACTGGTTTCACCACGCAAATGGGCTGGAGCCTATGGAATGGGCAACCTATAGGCTGGATTTAAATAATCATTGGTATTATGTATCAGATAACGTTGGTCGTCGGTATTAGAAAGTTTTATTGTGTGTATCATTTGTAATGTTCAGGTACTAATTGCTTGACTTCTTATTTCCTTGTTGTATTTCAATTGCTAGTCTATTAACAATACAATTTCTTTAACAGCTCCTCAGTATTCTGAACCCACTATTTCCTTAAAATGTATCCAGTGTTAAACTTGTTTCACACAATTTGTAGTTAGTGGGTGGTCGAAGTTGGACAAGAAAAATAAAAAAGCATGAAAGAATTGGTTTAGTGTGAGTTTTGCAAGGTTTTGACGAATGCATCATAGACTAATTTGATGTATTGATAATTGCAAGGTTTTGTTTCTAGATCCAGAGAACTTTCTTCCAGACATCAGGGTACAATGCGTGCACCATCATTGCTTGCACAGTGTTTGCCTGGCTTGGTGCCTCATGAAAAAGGAAGTCATAACGTGTCTTCCATTTCTGAGAGAGAGCCACATCTCCCTTCACCAGCTGTTGAGATTGTCCCTTCAAAGGTATAATCCTTTCCACCTCTTCAACCATTTGTGATCTTAATTCTGCATGTGTAACCTAATAAAGATAAACTTAATCAATTCATATCAAGGGTTTGTTCAGTAAAAAGAGGGGTCTTTAGGTTGGAGCTTTTGTTGCAAGAGGGAGGGGAGGTTAACAAGTTGTATTAATTTTCTAACATTGTCTCTTTATATACTGCAGACAGCTCACCCATATAAGTATGCGGGCGAGAATATTGAATTGCAAGGACTCAATGTGTTCAAGGTACATCTTTATTCTACTATTTGTTTTGGCATGTTGTAAAAGCATTGTTTTGTACATGCCTTTATGGAAGATCAGTTGCAGTCTGAAATTGATTATTGATTATAAATAAAAATAAAAATAAAAACATTGCTAGTGGTCTATCTATGTATTGTAATCTAATACACAGCTGGTCCTTCATGGCTCAGTTGTTTATTAGCATTGTTCTTATGTATCAAGACTTTGATTTATGAGGTGTTGCCCTAATATAATGTTGAAATAAGATATTTCTGTTATGTGTAAAGTGATCTTTACACCTTTTCTATGTTTCATGGTCTCTTCTATAAGTCTCTTTTGTTTTGTTACGAAATATCTTTTATTTTCCCATGTGTCGTGCTATTTAAAAAAGAATTATATGTTTTCTTTTAAACTGGAGGTATATGGATTTGATTAAATGGCTTTTGGCATGTAGCTTGTATTACCTTTGTGGAAATAATATTGTCTTGATCTTGATGGATTTCATTGTCATGACAGTTTTTTCATATTGGTTGAAACAGCATAACTGACAACTCATGAGTGCGGTTTGCACTTTTATTGTTTAAAAATATGTTGATAAGCTTGACTGATGCCTTTCTCAATCTTTAACAGGGAAGAGTTAGTGTTTCTGATATCATCGGCTTCAATAGTTCAGAAATGATCTCAAAACCCGATGGTAGGCACACCGTACATGGCATTCCAATACTTAAAGTGAAGCTTTCAGTGTAATTTGGCAGTACTTAGTCACATGATAATTTTACTAGAGTAGTTTCCTTAGATCCTAAGGATAATCAGTTTGCTTGATGTGAGTTTAAAACTGGAAATTCATTTAATGTGCAGGGCATCTGAAATCTTGGGATAGCTCCATTGATCTTGTTAATGTCCTTAAACATGAGATTCGAGATGGGCAACTTAGCTTTCGAGGAAAAAGGGTGGTTGAGGTATAACATCTTGCTTTTTCATGCTTCAATTCAATATTGTTTATGACTTCTTGACTTTTCACTTTTTTGCTCCTAGTGGTATGATCATTCCTTGATATTTGTTGATATTTGATTTAATTCCACTCAGTGACTCTTTGTACTCTTGATTTATAAGATATCGTATTACAAATGACATACTTTTTGTAATAGAGTGATTATTTTCTGCCCTATCTTGTGTGGTGTATTACTTAGAGTAATCATCTGTTTCTCATGTTTTCTTGGAGGGGCTTGAAAAATTTGTAATTTTTTTCTCTACAAAGATACCACATCTAAAAAATAATGTTAAATCCAAGCATGCTCGCAGAAATGTCCTCTAGTTTTCCTTGGGTAGATTTCAGGATTGTGTAACTAAATGTTTTCTGAACTCTATTTTAGTCGCATTGGTTGAGAAACCTTCACATGCTCACTTCCTGCAAATTTGTGGTTGTAACAAGCTTTATCACTCGTGTTACTCCATTGGTAAGTTTCCTTTTGTTAATTAGTTACTGGCTGATTGGTGGTTTAATCTTTCTATTTGCTGATTCTTACAGCTAGGTTGCAACTATGGCCTTCCAGGGATTTTTGCATGCCTGAAGGTATGCATCAATAATAAAGGCCTTGCCGTTTGTTTTTTTTATGCAATTGTGCTGGTTTGTTCCGTTCTTTTTCATTTTCACTCTATCCTGATATCTTTCTTTTTCCTTAATAACCAGTGCATTTTTGTGAATTTGGCACCGACCTTTTTTAAAGTAATATTCACTTGCTATATAACCCTTAATATTTTGTTTGATTGACTTAATGTTCCTGTAGGAAGTATATTATGCATTTTGTTGACAGGAAATGCTTGTGATTTAAATTGCTCATATATGCAAGTGTTGGTGTATTATTTGGATCAATTTTTGAACTGGATTATATATGAGTGGGTACAGCATTGTGCCCAGTCCATATAAGGTCAAATAATTGCCTGCCAAATATGTGAAACAACCATACCCAAAAAATAAGAGAAAAGGAAAATATGGTTAACAGAAAAGTTCATCAACAATTATGTAAGAAATGCAGGGCTTACTTTTGGTGCTTGGAAGATATTCAAAGAAGTTGATTTAGAATGTTCATCTAATGTGACTCATTGCTTTATAGGGAGCTTCCACTGTGCACTTTCAAGACCTTAATGCAGAAACTATAAGATGTACAACTATACCAAATGTCCTTGCCAATCTTGAGCAGGCTCGAGACAAGCAGAGTCGACAGCCAGAGAGCCCCCTGACTCCATCAAGACAAACTCTGACCCAGTCAGTGCACTTTTATGCTGGTGACTGGGAAGAACTTCCCACTGTCTTGTCTGTTGTGAGGAATGATGGGTTTGAAGCGACAACAGGAATGCATCTAAGCTTCTCTGAGGAGGATTTTATGGATGGATGTAGCAGCCAAGATGGTAGCATCTTGGCACAAGAATCTTCTTCAAGGCGATCGAGGAAGCTTTCAGGAAGCCGGGCATGGGAGAGGGCTAGCGAGACAGAACAAGGAGGTGGATATGATATTATCCTGATGACAGAGATCCCATATTCGTTGACCTCGTTGAAGAAGTTCTACGGTCTCATAAAAAAGGTTAGTTCCTTGGCCCCTTTCATCATCTTATTTGAAGGCGTTACAACAATATGTTTATTCATGCTTCCTGCTTTTCTCATGAGCAAACTGAATCTCAGTTTTCAAATATTTATACTGTGAAATTATCAGTGTTTGAGGCCCCCATATGGAGTGCTGTACTTGGCCATGAAAAAGAATTACGTTGGCTTCAACAGCGGAGCTCGGCACTTGAAAAGCCTGGTAGATGAAGAAGGCATTTTTGGAGCCCATTTAGTGAAGGAGATGTCTGATAGAGATGTATGGAAATTTTTTCTCAAGTGAAACTAAAACTGAAAGTATAGAAGTTGTCAAAAACCGACCCTTAGAACTCAATATGGAATGTCATTCAACATTATTTCTATTTGTATTATAAACAAAAGCTTCTTGTTTTTGTGTTAGTAATAATTAAGTCAAAAATGTAAGGATTAGTCGACAAACGGCTAATCTTTTCTTCTTCTTCTTCTTCTTTTTTGGTGGCATTTATTCCTTAATATGTTGTAAATCAGAACATTTTGTAATTTCAATGCTAGATCATTTTTTTTTAAAATCTTATTAGCTTTCCCTTTTGGTGTAGAAAGATTATCTTTATGGCCACTTTGCTGTTCAATATTGTTAAAGAAGATTTTGTGTTTTGCTTGGGGGTTCATTGCAGGCTGTAAATTTACTGAAGTGAATTCTTGGAAGGGGTTTTCCCTTAGTTAAGGAAAATGGTAAAAGATAATTTGGGAGTTCGTTTGCGCTAAATCATAATGACCTTAATTTATACACTATCATATCTCGCATTAATTTTGTCACCAACCGGAGAAATATTTTTCATTACTAATGTGACAGTTTGGACCTCCTCTGCTTATGCAACATACAAATGACTGTTTCTGATAATCCTGTGCCTCAACTAGCCACCAATTCTTTGTCAAGCTTTTCATGTACACCTGAGGCAATGTTTCATCCTTTCTTTACATGCCTGAAAAGCCGTCGTATTCCTATGAACGGCCGCCCAAAGAGAAACTGCAGTGATCTTGAGTAGGAATCATATAGCGATAGATAGAACTCCTATAGAACGATCAAGCACCAGTGATTCATAAAGCGAAAGAATCAAAAGTTTAATGGTAGAACGTTTGGGCATTAGTCGGAAAGTGGTCAAAATACTAACAAAAAGGAAGTAGAAATTATATTATTGTTATATTAGTAAATTAATATAAATTATATATATTAACATACTGGTTCTACATTCTACATTACATATCATAATACACTTACATGCTGAAACTTGGTGTTTTGATATTTTTGTGGCCACATTTCACTGTAATTTTTACAAAATCTGTTAACCTATGCATGTACATATACATATGTTTCAATACCATGGTACAAAGTAATATGTTGCACGCAAATTTGTTAGTGAAAAACACAGATGACAAAATTACTTCTAAAGTTCTATTAGCATAAGCATACAGAGCAACTACTCGACAATAATTTCCAGGAACCAAAAACCATGGTCCTTGTCGTATCTATATATTAAAAGGTTCTTTCAAGGGCAATAATGTACGATACACGAAACTTCCTTTTTCTTCATAATGCTTCTATGGGGTCTGTGTGAAAGCTAAAACCCTTACAGAAACCTGAAAGGTACATAGAGTTTGCCTCCTAAAGTCCTTTGTCAGTTTGACACAAGGTATACCATCTATCCCTGAGAATCAGGACAGAACATCTTGTCCTTTGCTGGAAATGAATTGGCCTCATAACGAAAACAAACATTTCTTCAGGCTGCAGAAGCTCTTGATCTTTTGGACTAACAGACCACAGGGCAATGGAATAAAAAAAAAAAAAAAAAAAAAAAAAAAAAAAAAAAAAAAAGGCGGGAAACACTCAGTAATTAGAAACGAGTAACACAAGTCACTGGATTCTACATAGAACCCTGTCTGCCTCGGTTCTCTGTTAACCTTCTCCACACCATCTTCCCGCAATGCAATAAGGTCAATATTGCGATGAAGTACAGGAGAGGAATGCCGATGATACAACCCCCAGATGCAAAATTTACTAGCGTCTGAAAATTTGAAGGCAAAAAGTCAATGTGGCTATTCTAGCAATAATTTCTGAAAAACTAATATTAAAAACTGTGCAATATATAACCCAAAAGAAAAGTGGAAGTAAATAATTCTTAAAAAAAACTCGTTAAACTATTTCAAACTCTACTTTAAGCTAATTGCAGCAAAAGCAAAAGGAAAAAAAAATCAACATTCTAAGAGGCTTTGTTTTTCCATAATTAGCAGAGACAAGGCTTGGTTTTTTGTTCATTTATCTTTTCAAAGCAGGAAGGAACAACGAACACGCCTTTGTTGTTTACTGGGAAAAAAGAGGATAAGCCTTAGTTAAGATAAGTTGAGTTTCCCGCGTATACTAAATCTTGGTATTTAATATACCATCTCATGACCAGGACTATGCCTCATAGGCTTGCACACTTACCTCACACATCCAACGATTCTTGGATGCAGAGACACATTGGACAGACCTCAGAAATGCATCAGACACATGACTGTCACTGTACACATCACATTTAAACATATTTTTTTAGTTGACAAAGTTGGATACTTCAATTATTGTCTGCACATGTCCCTACACATACTCAATTTCTATATACTTTAGAAAAAATTTCTACATTTTTACTGTCAAGTGTGGAGTTTTCATCTTATAAAAAACCACGTGTTATGTATGCATCTTTTGCATACCTTGAATCTTACATAACGTAAATTAGTTGCTAACTGTGTATCACTTACATAATAAGTGTGTATGTGCTGCCGTCTCAGGTCCTAGATTGGAAATTTACCCTTGCTTTTCAGTGAACGTGTTTTTGTAATTTACCATGTCACATGTTTGTGCCCATAATTCATTCTCCAAGGGAGTAACAATCATTAGGACATTTTTATATATTTAAACACCAATATTTTTCACTTAAGATTTTTAAGGTTTGAAATTGAACGGACCCCCTGGAGTGTACAGCAACTCCAGAACTACTAAGTTAAATCACATTAAAACCCTATGCCACCATGTCTTTATATTCCCACCCCTTCCAAATTCAAGGTTCATCGATGGGATTGTCAAGGCTACAGTTATACAAAGTGCAAAAGCACTGCCACTGTGAAGAGAGTGTATCTGTGTGTGTCCGTTTTCGTTGAATATGTGAGATTAGAGAGACTTACCACCATCCCTGCAACAAGATGAACAATAGGAACAAAAAACTGGTCCACCTTGTTCCCTTCTGCGTATCCATTGAATGCGATGACCATAGAAAAAGTATGAATTGTGACAAATGCAAGGGCAATGAGTGCTGTAAAGTACAAGACAAAATTGTCAGACAAATAAAGTTAACAGAATAAGTGAAATTTTCTAATCTAAACACCAGCCAACTACCAAATTACTGTTGCAAAAGTGTCAGAAAATTCCCTTCCAGTCTTCCCTTGCTTGTTCTGATTTTACAGGTAGCAACTAAATGCATACAACCATGCTCGAGAAATTATAAAACCTCACTAGCATCTATTTACAAGCATGCTCAAGAAATTAATTCATACAAACAAAAAATAAATGTATGGAAGCAACTGTAAGGCTTCACTAACCAGAAAGAAGAAAAAATGGAATCTTCGAGCATCTGTCAACGAAAAAAGTTCCTGGACCAAATGCTGGTGTTAAGAGGCTGATACAGAAAAACACAGCATGTGCCACACCATGACCCAAACCTCCAGCTGCATGGTTGAAATGATATCAGGTCAACAATAAGTCGAGTTGGGACAAACAAAAGGTAATCAAAATTTTGTAAGTCGTCATTTACAGTAGTTGGCAAGGAAAGGTGAGAAGGGAAAACATGCTACTGTTCAGCAGAGGCATCATACAGATCACAGATAAACAAGAAGGTTCAAAACTTTGATTGCTATAACACTTGAAGTACCACTGACAGTTGGCATCCAGCATGAAAACAATCAGAAAAACAGCTTGGAACAACAAAAACCTTATAGGGTGATCATAAACCATAAACAACTCAAAATAGATCACTCAATCACAAAGATCTAAAGGGAGAACCACCTATCAGCTACCCTCCCTTCTTTTTAAAACACATGATACAGTACGTGAAGCATCGTCATCAATTGCAACATTAATAGGAACACGCAATTGCTAGAACAAAACAGCAGTTTCTTAAACCATTGAGAAAGGGTACCAATGATGGGGGCAGCAGCTATATCTTTCATAAAAAAAAGGTAAATCTTTCTTAGTAGCTTCTTCTGAGCCCCAAAATTTTGGTGTTGGGATGACAATAATGAAAAAGCTGAACTGCAGAAAAAACTTGCTATATGGAACTTAATAGTAGAACATTTAATATATGATGAATCCAAGTCTAAGAACCTCGCAAAGCTCACCCAGAGCAATTTGCATCTTATCAGTCAGATATAGGCGTGGTTTAGAGACCCTATCAGCAAAAGCATCCAATGTATCTTCCAATCTCCTAAAATAACATGCAAGAAAAAAGATGTTAATACCTTTATTAACCATTAACAATATCCAAATTCTCAAGATAACATGCATCATCACATCTACAACAAAGTAGAGGGACAAAAATGATTACATAAAGTTCCAAAGAGGAACAGCAAATTCTGAAATAGAGAACATAAACATCCAAATGAAAAAAAAAAAGTTGTTGTGAGATTCCACAAATGGCAGCGAACTTTTAAATTTAAGAGAGAAAATTGATGGATCTCTATCAAGTCATTTAAGGTTAAAGCAAATATAAAATAATGCTACCACTTATGTGCATGCAGAAAACTGTAAGATTTTTGGTATTCGAAAACTCAGAAGTGTGTAAAACATTCAAGAAAAGGACACCACCTAGTCTGGTGATTATTAAGAAGTCGAAATTGAGAGCAGGCTCAACAAATCTAGGGCACTAATGAGGAAGAAGAATATTGCAGAGCAACGTAGATATTGCAAGAGTACGACTGTATTTTTTTTAATTACAAGCAAAAACAACACAGCAGAGCATTTTAGTATATACCTAGAAGATACCGTGCTCGTGTCATTCAAACAAACAAAAATCAAGGAACCGAACTTTCCATAATTACGCCTTACATAAGAATTTCAGATGACAGCTACATATTACACCTTTACTAATACAACCTTCAGGGCAAAGATAGTTCTTTGAACACTGTCTAATTCTAAAACCACACTAATTTCACCAGTGAGAAAACTCTTCTCAAAAGTGTTCCACAGAGATTGCTACTCCACGTATTATCCTCTACTCAGGCGGAAATATGTGTAAAATGTTTCATACTAAATATACCCCAACCTTTTATCATACCTTAGTCTTCCCTTCCCCATAAGAGAGAGCTATAAATCATATTAACTAGAGCTAACCTTTAACATTGATCTACATCGAACAATTAGACAAGAAAACAAGAATGAAGTACCAAGAAATCAACTTACTTGTAGACCTTCCAGAAAAGAACCCGAAGCCCTTCTTGAAACGCAACCGATGTGAATATGAGAATGCTATAGGGCCACCATGTTGATGATTTGAGAGGCAGAAATGCCCTCCATATTCCCGACAGCACGATGAGACTTGTGAGCCATAACAATGTGCTACATACACAATTAGACAACAAGGCAATATTATGAGCTCATATTACATGGTCTTCATCATACACCAACAACAAAATGTGAACAAGGCCCTTTGTTTTAGTGGAACCCCTTTCCAAATAACTAAATTTGACCTTCCAATTTGGTAACTAATTCTTTTTTAATGTCACCCAGAATTTCAAAAGCACTTAACATATCACAAACGACATTTTCTATCATAAAACTGACCTTAATTATTATCACAACTACAACATAAGCTTAAATGACAAGTTTCAATGTCCAAAATTACAGAACTGTACGAACCCAAGAAGGAAAATGTGCCCTAAAAGGAAATACACCAAGAAGGAGGGCTGTTGGAGAGAGAGAGAGAGAGAGAGAGATGGGAGAAAATATGTGAATAGCTTACCTTGAAAGTACGGTGAGAACCAAGAAGGGTTTTTTGGAGATAACAGAGACGAAGAGGGAGAGAGACGGGCCTAGCGCTAGCAAGGCGTACCCGATCCCTGCTGCTATCGTCATTGACTTGTTCGGGGAGGCTTTACTCAGTAGACTCGACTCTCAATTCATCTATTTCAGAGCATTGCACATTTTTCATTTCGGGTTCTACGAGTTCTCCTCTTCCTGGCAAATTTATGTTTATTTAAAATTAAGTAGCGAATTTGAGACTGCTTAAAAGCACTTTTTATTTTAAGCATATTGAGATTTTTTTTAGATATTCAACTGCTGGCTTCGTAAAGTATTTGGAAATTGCTTTTATAAGAAGTATTTCTCCTTGTCGTAAGTGTTTTTTTCAAAAGCGCTTTTATTAGAAGCACAATTGAAATATTTAAGGTTATTGATCGAAATGGTCCCCTAACTATTGCTTCAGTATCATTTTGGTTCATCAACTAAATTTTTCATTTCAATGGTCCTTCAACTCTTCATTTGGTATCAAAACGGGCCTACCGTTAAAGTCTGTCAATTTTATTGTTAAATTAAGGGGTAAAAATGTCTCCATGAATTAAAATAGTAATATATAATTAAAAATTAAAGGAAACTATTACAAAACTTAGAATATTTTAAAAAAATTGAATCTCACCAGCCACATGGCTTTTTTTTTCCTGAGATTGACCTAACAATTAATTTTTAAAAAAATTCTCTATTGTTTAAATTAATTAAAAAATTCAATAAATATATAAATATATAAATAAAATAACAAATTTTTTAAAAGAGTAAACAATAATTAAAAATTAAAGGAAACTATTATAGGAACTTGTACCTAATTTTAAAATTGAAAAAATTGAATCTCAGCAGCAACATGGCTTTTTTTGGCTGACATGAACTTAAAAAGTAATAAATTTTTTTCTCTATTGTTTAAATTAATTAAAAAAATTTAAACCAGATAAATACAAAAATAAACAACAAAAAATTAAAAAAAATTAACCCCAAAACAAACAGACCCAGCATTACCCCTAAAACAAACGAACCCAACATTACCCATCCCCACCTCTCCAACCCCGCAACCTCCCCTCACCCCCATCTCTAACCTCGCAACATCCCCCCTCTCCGCCTCCACCCACCGTCACCTCATCACTCTCAGCCGCTCTCACCATGACCAACACCCTCTCTCTCTCTCTCTCTCTCTCTGTACACCAACTCAAATATGATATGGGGTTGTTTTTGTTGGGTATGGGTTCTATTTGAATCGAGTTAGTCTGATTTGCGGGGCTCCTTTGGGCTTGAAGTTGCTACTTTATGCAAGAGATCAAAGGGGTTGGGGAAGGGGAGCTAGGTTGAGGATGGAGGAGGCTGAGATGTGGGTTGGAGTCATGAGAGAGGCTGAGATATGGGTTGAAGTCGTGAAATGGGGAATGAGTTTGGTAATTGTATATGGATGGTTTTACCCCGCAATTTAACAATAAAATTAACAGAATTTGACCGTAGGACCATCTTGATACAAAATGAAGAGTTGAAGGACGCTTCAAATGAAAATTTTAGTTGGTAGACCAAAATGATACTTGAGCAATAGTTGGGGGACCATTTCAGTCATTAACCCAAATATTTATTAAGAATCCAAAATGCTTTTTGGAAAAGCACTCAGAAGTGCTTTCTGAGGAAGTGCTTCTTTAGTTTTCACTCTTATGCACTTTCAAGATTTTCTACCAATCGCTTTAAGAAGCGCTTTTGAATGTTAAAAAGTGTTTTTAGTCATTCTAGATGCAATATTAAACAAAAGTAAATAAATAAATAAAATTTACTATTATAGTTGATAAAGAGACTTCTTCTAAATAATAAATAAGATCTTGACCCTCATAAAAATAAATAAATAAATAAGATTCTTTACTCTTTTGATCGATAAAGAATTTTAAATATAGTATCAATAAATAATAGTAAATAGTAAATAATAATAATAATAACATGATATTGGCAATCACTCAATTTCACGTAGGCAATAGGTTAGTTGGCGAGGGGAAAACACTTTATTTGAGTTTGAATCCCATTTCCTTTAAAGTAGAATAGTTTAGAATATCGACTTATAAAATATAATCTTTGAGTTATATTTACACACATTACCCTTGAAGGAGTGCAAATGATAGGGAAATTGCATTTTATGCCCTTCAAGTTTGTACGCTTCTCATAAATAAATAAAAATATACCCTTTGTTAATTTGGCATCTCATTTTTAAAATGTCGCAATGTTAGACATGAAGTTGTGATTTGCTAAAAGTTTGCTCAAGTCCATTTAACTTTTGTCAACATCACCATTTTCACATAAATATGTGTTGATATCCAAAATATTTTAAGCAGCCCAAGTTCATTAAAAGCCTAATATAAAGGACGGTTGTACTAAGACATGGTCACATGAGGCCATCTCCAGGTGGGAAGGGCTATATTTAGCCCTCTAAAAAATAATTTTATAAGGAATATTGTCGGGTTACATTTTAACCGTCTCTAGCACCAAAGGGCTAAATTTAATATTTTAATAGTTTTTATTATGTAAATTTATTAGTTAATTTAATTAAACTATTATTTATATCCTATTTAAAATACATTTTACAAGAGAAAAATATTTTGGGATAGGATTTTTGACTTCCACATGTCGACACGTGATTAGCCCTATAGAAGTTTTATTAGATTTTTTTCTCGTGGCACATCTTATCATGATGTAATATCCCAACAATTTTTCAGATAGGATTTACGAGAGCCACGTGTCGGTACGTGATTAGGCCTCCGTATTTTCGATTGGATTTTTGTCCTTGTGGCACATCTTATCTTCATCTTCAAATGTCAACAAAAAGGATGTTTTGGGTTTCATATCTCACACCTTCATCTAATTCCGCTCTTCAATTTGTATAATTTTTTATTCCAATTCAATTCTGCAATGGATTCCAACTGGGGTTTCTCTTCCAATTCTGAATTAGAAGACCAATGGGAGGAGCGGAGACGCCAACTAACGGAGAAGAATGAAGAAGATGATACCCAGAGGAGCAAAAACGACCTTATGGTGGCAACCACCGCATCCTGGGTGTGTGAGGAAATTTCCCAACAACCCTTGTGGGGTGGCTCTGTTGTTAGTCGTGTTTCCAAACCCCGACAACGAGAGACTGTACACCAAACACTAATGAATAACTAATTCAATCTTAATGCAGTGTACATATAAGATGATTTCAAAAGCCAATTTCGGATGAGGCGTCACGTTTTCGAGCATTTGCTACATGATGTCCAAGCAGTTCACCCTTTCTTCCATCAGAGGGTGAATAATGCAAGTCAACCCAGTTTCTCGCCCCACCAAAGGGTAACTATCGCACTTCGAATGATGGCATGTGCATATTTGGCTGATGCGATGAGTGACACATTTGGTATGTCTGAGTCTTCATCCTTTGAAAACCTTGCTCAATTTTGTCGTACAATTGTTCATATCTACAAAGATACATACCTCCGAGCACCAAATGCAGAGGACATGGATCATCTCCTATAGAAAGTTGAAGATCGGGGATTTCCCTACATGATAGGCTCGCTAGACTGCATGCATTGGCAACGGAAGAATTGTCCAATTGGATGGCAGGGTAGCTTCAGGGGAAGATCTAGAAAGCAAACTATTGTTTGGAGGCCGTGGCCTTGTATGACACCTAGATCTGGCATGATTTCTTTGGGATCCCATGACCCCAAAATGACCTCATCGTACTAGGGTGCTCACCACTCTTCAATGCCCTAACGGAGGGTGAATCACCCCAACTACACTACTACATCAATGATCCGTAAAGTGGGCAACACTTGTCCAAGAAATTCCACAACATGTGAGAAGCAAAACGCGTACTGAAAGGATGTTGAAAGGGCAAAACCTGACAGTTTCACATTACAATCCTGCAAAAATAAACAAAACACAATTAATTAATATAATTAAGGGTAACCTAATATAATATAATATATATAATTAATTAATTGAGATTTAAAAATGGATTTAAATACCCGGCCGATGAGGATATTAGCATCCTTAAAACAAGGTATAAAACTCATTGGCACACCATGCAAAAAAACCAGTCCCCTCGCCACTTGAAGAGCTATGGAGATTTGGTTGTCCCAAGAAAAGGTGACATTGTTCCTTGCGAGGATATCTCTCAAGCTTCCTTGTTCAACTAATGGATACATGACATACACAATATTGAAAGGCCCATCACAGCCAAACCAGCGATTATACCTAAAGTACCCCAGAGGATGGTAGACATTTTCATGAACAAACCTCTTTAACCATTTTTGCTCTCTATGTCAAATTCCAATACCATCAAATCAGGACCATATAATAATAAGTAAAAGTCTCCGAGTTCATGAAATCTATATTTTCCTACTCATTAGGTGTTGTAATAACTATAATGCACAATCAAGTAGTAGGTCAATTGATCACATATAATAAAATGATTCATTAAATCTTCATCAACAATACTTGTGTTTGTGCCTCTGCATTCATGATTTACACATACACTTTTGAAAACAATTAAGTTGTCTTCAAACAAAAATGATTTATCAACATATTTTTTAATTTCCAGAAAATCAAATCTTTGTTCATGCAAGACTTTGCTTTTCATTTCACATCTTGGAATTAAAAAACAAGGCCATGCAAACTTTATGCTGCATTTTCTACCGCCCAAAAAGTAGAGGTAGAAAATGCTTATGAAGATCTTGTTGAGAAGGGATTAAGGACAAACTTGGCATCATGAGTCGAGGAAAAAGGACATTTCTACCTATTGCTTTGTGTACATTGAACAAGAAAAAGAAAATTTCAGTTTGTAAATCTTTGTTTGGTATTAAGGTGTCGGACGGCTATTGTTCAAACTTAAGAAATCTTGTATCCGTGCAAGAGTTGAAGTTGGTTGGTCTTAAGTCACATGATTGTCACACATTAATGCAACAATTATTACCGGTTGTTCTTCGTAATGTGTTGCCATATCATGTAAGATATGCGATAACTAGGTTTTACTTCTTCTTTAAAGATATATGCAACAAAGTGGTTGATGTGCCTAAGTTAGCGAGAATACAATTTGATATGGTTGTTACTTTGTGCTTGCTAGAGTAATTTTTCCCTCCATCGTTCTTTGACATAATGGTTCATCTCACAGTGTACCTTATTAGAGAAGTGCATTTGTGTGGACTAGTCCATTATAGATGGATATACCCGTTCGAAAGGTACATGAAAGTGTTGAAGAGTTATGTGAAAAATCGTACTAGTCCGGATGGTTGTATTGTCGAACGTTATATTGCTGAAGAATCTGTTGAATTCTACTCATAGTACATTGCATATTTAAATCCAATTGGAGTTCCATCAATTGATATATGGTTCAATTAAATACAAGTTATATTTTTTCAAGTGCTTCTATATAATCAGTACCTCGTGATAAATGAAAGCAACCGCATCGAACTGTGTTGGATAACATAGCTCTAGTCGATTCTTATACATTGTAAGTAGTAATGACTCATTAAGTTCTCGAAACTAATGCTTTTGACCTGCATGTTTAATAAATGTTTAGCTTATTTTTGAACTTTGATTTTGTAGTGAACACAATGAGTATTTGAAGGAGACTAATCTGAGAAAAGCAAATAATGATAACTTGTAGGTTCATTGATTGGTTTAGTGATCGGGTAGTGGTGTCACAAATTTTATTAATCAATCCATATACAAGATGCATATTAACTTGTAGCAATACAATTTGTAATTAACACTTGTTATATTAGGTCGCTAATAAAATGAAACAGAAAAATGGTGATAGTGGAGACACTTTGAGTTGGCTAGCACAAGAACCGTGTGTGGGAGTTCTAAAATATGTTGCTTATGTCGTTAATGGCTGCTAGTACCACGCCAAAGCACTTGACGATGAAAGAGTTGTCCAAGACAGTGGGGTTTGCTTAGTGGCTAGTACAATGCAAATAGCGAGTGTAAAAGATAAAAATCTAGTTGTTTCAAATATGACCTTCTATGGTGTTATCGAAGAAATTTGGGAGCTTAATTATCATCAGTTTTGGGTGCCTTTATTTAAGTGCGCATGGGTTGAGAGTTCGAAAGGTATCACTCATTATGAGGAGCTTGGATTTACTTTAGTCAATCTTAGTAGGAGAGGACATAGAAATGATGAGTTTGTTATTGAGCACTCAAGTGAAGCAAGTATTTTATATCAGCAACCCAAAAAAGCTAGGTTGGTCAGTTGTACATGCAATTCCGAATATAAGTATGATAGTGGTGAGGGAGTTTCAAAGTACATGCGAGCTGATAATGATGGTATTTGGGTTGCTAATAAGAAAAAAAGAAAAGCATAGTAAGACTCTTATTAACTGTTTATATGTTTGAATGCTTATATGATGGCGTATAGTTTTTTTTTTGCAAGAAATATATTTATATTTATGTACTTATATAAGAAAAGCATAGTAGTTACATACTTATATTTATGTAAGTCTATTATTTGCAAGAAATGTACTTAGGGAGATTCTTTTATCAAGCATTTTATATGATCTGTAAAATTATGTGTATATATTAATTAATTGCATTCTACATGAGCTGACATGTTATATTTATTATTTGGCTTTGAAAAATAGAGTCTAGCTTTAGATGGGTTCAAAAAACATCTAAGTCAGCCAAAATAAAGGGAAGGCATAAATGGAATAGAAGACTCCAATAGACAATAATGAGGGGACTTCAATAGACAATGATGAGTCATCATCGAAGAAAACTACTACCACTTCAAGTAAAGTAAGAAAGAAGTGTTGTCCGATAGAAATGCATCACATTCAGATACAGAAGACAAAAGGGGTCAAATTTGAAGTATTATATGATAAGAAAGGGCAACTGCGCGACCAAGTAGCAAAACTGATAGCATCATAAATTGGTGTTTTGGCTCGAAGTAATGTGCCTATTTGCATGGACTCATAGTCCAATGTGGCAGATGCTAACAAAGAAAAACTATGGACAGAGGTTACAGTAATATTCACTTCACATCTAAGTTGTGTCATTACGAAATTAAATTTTCAATTTGTTCAAGCCCTTACTTTTTGTGCACTTGTGTCATGCCTAAATCTAAGTTTCAACTGCTTTGTGTATAGTCAGTATTCAATGTAGCTCTGGAATTACAACCCTTTCATTCTGCACTAAGGTACTATTTTTATTTGTTACATTATAAATATTAGTATACTTGTAGAAATCTGCTGATGTGAATTTATGATGTGGTAATTAGTATAAATTGTTGCTATGCTGTCTGATTACTTAGGAGTTTGGTTCAATGTTGTGTTCTCATTTGGTTGTAAAATATGATGTTGCTTCTTTTCTTGAATTACTCTTGTGTTCTCATTTGGTTGTGAGGAATGAATAATAAGTGTTGGTTGTTTGGTGCTTTTGTTTTTTTTATGTATTTCTTTGCTCATTTGCTTGTGAGCTATTCTAATAAGTGTTTGTTGTCTCTTTTAAATTTTGATGGGCTGTTTTGGTGTGCAAAGTTTGATGCTAGCTTGTTTTAAATGTTAGTATGCAACAAATAAGAAACCATATTACACCCAGAAACAAATCGATGTGGTGCGAAATGAATGGGAAGAGTTTATGCTAAACCAAATGGAGTGATCAAGTGTTGTTGGTCCTCAAAATATACTCGTTTGTGCTGAGTTTATCAATGTTGGTGTGGCTTGATCCCTCACAAAGGGGTACGTAGGTAGTCTGGGGTTTAACTTAGGTGCAGCCGCAAAATAATCTGTTTGAACTGTGATTATATTGTTCTAAGTGTGAAAATGAATTTTGGAAGGAGAAAGCTATTTTCTGATTGCTGTTACGATATTTGATATGGGTGTATGGTTTCACAAAGGAGTTCAAAAACAAGAACGTTTTAGAAATTGTTTGGTTATGAGCCCGGAGGCCTGTTTGTTTGTTATGTGTGACGTACTTTGGGCACGTTGAAGTTTGGTGATTTTAAACTATGTTTTTGATAGGTTGAAAATTTTGGTAAAGTCCGTTTTTCAGGGGAGACTGCCGAAATTTCGGTAGAAGTCTCGACCATATTTTCCCTTGTTTTAGGAAAAGAGGATGTTTGTAATTAGTAAGTGGGTCCGGCATTGGTTGGATGTCAGAAAAACCACAGGATCTATGATGGATTCCAAGGAATTCGGGGCAGGTCCTATCAATTATCATGTTGTTTTTTCCCTTAAGACATCAAAAAATATATAATTAGCGAAGTAAATCTTGTTAAAAGGCATCGAAAATATGTATAAAACGATGCCCTTAACAATTAGACCTTACAATGGCCCAAAAGAACCGATGGGAAATATCTTAAAGACATCGGATAATATAGGACAAGTGTAGTGGTTCTTCTATAAAGGCATCGCAAAAATGAAGACACTACTGCTTATGATATGAATAAACTACAACATTAATAAAAATACCGATGTTAAACATGTTATAGACAACCGAAAATAAGAATTAGGTGAAGTGGTTCTTATGAAAAGGCATCAGTGGTATACAGACAGTCGTTGTTGTTGTAGTCTAAGACATTGGAAGTCAACAAAATTTTGGATGAAAGGCAACAATTGAAGCTCATTACAGCATCACTTTGGTTGAAGACACCGATGTTTTTTCCATAAAAGGCATCGAATTTTCCCCGATGCCTTTTACACCCCCCTTAGCATCACCTTACGAGGCATCGGTATGGGATAGTAAAAGGCGTCGGTTTTTCCCTAACGCCGATTAGCCTTTTTGTAGTAGTGCCCCATTTGGTTCACATAAAGGATTTGATGGGAAATCATTTCCCAAGTAATGGGAAATGGAAGATTCATTTCCTATGTTTGGTAATGTTGGGAAAGTAACCGGAAAATACCACTTTATTTCCTTTCCCATGTTTGATGTGTGCATGAATGTAAAACAAAGTTGGTTTAATATTCCAATTATACCCATATGAAATCAAATAATAAAAGAATGCATTTAATACTATATTGTAATTCTAAATTGTTAAATGAGACAAAATGGTCATGAAAAGTGTGCATTTAATGCTAGCCCGCTTTCCCAAACGTTCCCATGGGAAGGGAAAATGAAACCTAAATAAGGGAGGAGGCTTAGCATTTTCCCCTTATTTTCCCATGTGCTATGCACTAGCAGACTCATGAATTTTTTAACGGATGTGCAATTTTGAAAGGATAAAAACTTTATTTAAAAATAAAAAATTGACAACCACACTTGATGAAATTGGGTGATGCTAAATTGGTCCTTTATAAAAAGAACTCTCAATCCCACTAAAATAAGGAATTGTGCAAGCCCTATTAAAGCCCACTTAAATAAAGAGAACACGCAAAACCACTTAAATAAGGAATTATGTAGGCCTCATTAAAGCCCATGAAATGGCAGTCCAGGTTTCCTCTTCTTTTTGTTTTTTATTTTTTTTATTTTTAAACATGGTCCAAAACAACATCATTTTGGCCATGATTTTTTTTAAAGAAAAAGCAAGTGCGATGTGCGCAACCAAAGCAACACTTCGTTTAGGCTTTTCATCGAACACCTAGAGTGCATCTCCTAGGCTGAGCAGATATGCAATATGCAACACCTATAATGGCTTTTCCAACGAGGGGAGGTGCAGCTTCACCTCCTTGCACCTTAATAGGTCCACCACTGGTGTCAGGCAACCACTTTCCATGTTTACGCTTACCAAACATAGAAAAGCAATTAATTTCCCATACCCAAGCTTCCTTTCTCAAGCTTTTAAATGAATCAATATATAACAACAACAAAATACAGATACAAGAGTTTATATTAATCAAAAATATGAACACCTAGAGTGCATCTCCTAGGCTGAGCAGATATGCAATATGCAACACCTATAATGGCTTTTCCAACGAGGGGAGGTGCAGCTTCACCTCCTTGCACCTTAATAGGTCCACCACTGGTGTCAAGCAACCACTTTCCATGTTTACACTTACCAAACATAGAAAAGCAATTAATTTCCCATACCCAAGCTTCCTTTCTCAAGCTTTTAAATGAATCAATATATAACAACAACAAAATACAGATACAAGAGTTTATATTAATCAAAAATATGAACTTGCAAAGATGATAGAGGCTAGTAGATTTTCTATGTCCTTAGACAGTATTTCGCCCCCACTCATGTGCTTGTGGTTCTGAAGACTACTGTCCACCAGGATACAACTATCAAAACCAATATTCTAGCATTTGAATTTTGGTATCTGGCGAACTACAGTATGGGTACTCTCAATGGATTTCAGTGTTGTGTGAGAAGTATTGGGTTTCAAAATACTTAAATATATAAAAATATATATTTAATTTCAATAAGGCCAACAAGTCCAAAGCCCACTTCAAAAAAAACCCAATTGTGTTTATTATAGTGAAGGGTATACTAGTGATTTGCCCCTTAAACTTGTACCTAACTTTCAATTAGCCCCCTATCCTCTTTTTTAGAAAATTAAGGAACCGAACTATTTTTTTTCGCCAATGTGCCCCCCAATGTCAAAATCTGGCGCTTCCCATCCATTCTGCGGTGAAGTTGGAGGTTAATTTTGTCATTTCGCATCTCCACTGAACTGAACCCATGCTTCAGCTATTAGTTCCTTCGTTTTGGCCCCTTTTTTTGCCCAAAAGAATTTCCCTCCATTTTTGGCGCATGAAGTTGAATACAGCTGTTGAGGCTTCATTATCTAACAAGGTGGGTTCTGGCTTTTCTGTGATGTACAAACCGTGAACCCTTGATGCAGGTATCTCATGCAGAAACTCAAGCACATCCAAGTCTCCTCGAATTGCCATATAACCCAATGTTGTGGACCTATAGCGATAATCGACTTTTATGTGGTTATAGTGATTTAGCAACATCATATAAGTCTAGCATTGACAACTTACTTGTATTACAGTTGTCTGCCCATTGGACAGTACCTCTCACATACTTCCCCTTTTTAAAATACCCCCATGGTGAATTTCAATCGTAAATAACTCTGGATCACCTACAAACAACAAAATTTAATTTAATTAACTCAGCAACTTCAATTTACTACAACAAACCTACCAATTAGCACTAGCCTTTACTAACATCAACCATACACAAACAAAGCAACGCACATGCTTTACTTTGGGACCACACTTTTCTATTCAAAAAGGAATCTTACAGCAAGGCAAGAAGATAAAAGAATCCAATTCTACCGACAACCTCTGGACCACAACCACTTAAACAATGAAAAGAAATGGAAAGTTAAAGACTTACTATACTTAGGAGCCTGCCCACTACTCCGGACTTCGACTTGCATCTTTCTTGGTCAATACAGGTCTGTTGCTTCGAGATTCCTATGACAACCTCGCCGATTTGTCAACATCAGCCATTATGCAGCTTGATTTCGTGAAATCCCCAATTCCCCCAAACTTTCAAACCCAACAGCTACAGCTCTAATCTGACATTGCTTTCTTTTTTTCTTTTTTTTTGTCGAAACTGACCTGGCCTCCTTCGACTTACAGTGGGTTGACTTCCGTGGACACGTGAAATGACAAAAGTAACCTCCATCTTGACGGTAGAATGGATGGAAAGTGACAGATTCTGACGTCGAGCGGTACATTGGCCAAAAAAAAATAGATCGAGTCCTTAATTTTCTTTACAAAAAGGATAAAGGGTCAATTGAAACTAAGGTACAAGTTCAGGGGGCAAATCATTAGTATCCCCTTATAGTAAAATATCCCTACTCTTATAAAGAATGTAGGAAAGTTGTAACTTTCCAATCTATGACTCTTTTCCCATTCAAACTCTAACAAGAACAACTTGACTTGGCTAGAAAAATTGCGTCCAATTCGTTTCTAACACTGGAAAGTAGGTTTTGTGTTTTGATTAGTTGAAAGTGCTATCGTTTAATTTTTCAATGTTATTTTTGTTGAAAAAATATTCGAAGCTTTTACAGTTTGACAACATGACCTAAGAATTCTGGATCCGCCACTGGCAATACCCACACACCCATTTCCCTTATTTCTCTCCTTCCCTTCTTCCTGTGCTGCACTCATCTTTGCTTTTACCTTTCCTTCTTGTTCTTCTTTGTCTTCCTTCAATTTTTGTCTTGTCTAGTTCTAAAATCATTCTTTCTTATTTTTTTTCATTCTTCGTAATATTTTCTTACCTATTTCTTCTTAATATTCCCTCGGTGTATCCAAGAGAGCGAAAGAAAGAACAAAGTAAGGGTTTGTGATATACAAATAAAAACTTGATTTGTATTGTTAAGGTTTTTTTTTATTATTCTCTAAATTTTCAGTTTTGCAGTTTTGCAGGTGCATCCGACAGGTTCTCAAGCAATTTAATTTTATAGGTAATGGTCTTTTTATATTATTTTTTTATACAAAAAATAAATTACAAAACAAAGCCTCTTGGGCAGGAATACCCAAAGAGGTCGAAATAAAAGGCGGAGCAGACTAATAATGGCAAACCAAGCCCCCAAACAATTAGAGAGGAAAGCTTGTGTCCCAACTTGGCTACCTCATCGGCTGTGAAGTTAGCCTCCCTAAAAACATGCTGAAAGCAAACATGGCTGACAGAAGAAGAAAGGGACCGAATGTCCTGAATAATCTGGTAGATACTCCAAGGAGGGGTAACTTTTTTGAGAATGCTATCAATGACGAGTTTAGAGTCACCTTCTATAATAATTTGATCCCAACCACGATCAATAGCAGCAACAAGACCATCTCGAAGCGCAACACTTTCAGAAACATTTATGGAGTTCTCTCCAAGATTATTGGCACTAGCTAACAAGACATGACCATTGCAATCCAGGATGACAAATCCTGTGGAAGCTTGAGAGTTCATATGGGACCCATCAAAGTTAACTTCAATCCAGCCAGTATGAGGGGGATGCCATTTAATCATCATAGAGAAATCTTTATCTTTCCTGGGTAACAAATTCAGCTTCCAGTAGTCCAAACCAACGGATGCCGCAGCATGGATGCAGCCGGCAAATATGGGCTTCAAGTCTTGAAATAACATATTATTCCTAGCCTCCCATATTTGCCAACAAATAAGGAGAGCCTTGGAGAGAAGATCTAGCTCGGACTTGGAAAAGATAGGCTTAGAGATAAGAGCCATGTGTACATATTGCCTGACTGATCCGGAGGGGGATGGAGGTCATGAGAACAAGCCCACACATCCTTAGCAAAACAGCACTCCATAAAGAGATGGTGGATTGTCTTATCATGATTTTGACATAAGGGACAAGCAGGGCTGATCTGAGGCATAAATCTGTGCAGTCTAGCTCTCACTTAAAGTCTTTTACGGACGAGCAACCAAGCAAAATTTTTAACTTTCGGAGGAAAAATTAGCTTCCACATTTTCTTTAGCAAATTCGCTTGAGGATGATAAATCTGGTCCTGCATCTGAATATTATAAGCACTCTTTATAATGAAAGCACCGTTGGGGTTGGGTCCCCAAATCAATTTTTCCTGCACATTAGTTCTAGGCAAAGGAACATATATGATTTTTTCAATCAAATCATCATCTAACACCTGAGCCAGTTTAATTTTGTCCCAAGAATTATTTGTGATAAAGTCTGCAACTTTCTGGTCAAGATTCAAAGAGCCTCTTTGGTGCTCAGGAATGAGGTCCAGGAGCGGGAAAGGTAAAACCCATTGGGAGGTCCAGAAAGGAATAGAACCACCATTTCCCACAACCCACCTCAGACCCTTGCACAAAACCTGTCTAGCGTCTAGAATAGACTTCCAAGCAACAGAATGATTTGCTTTTTTCTTTAAATTAAAAAAATTTCATGTCTAAGATATTTTTGAGTTTCCACCTTAACCCACCAATTTGATGGGTCGGTGATGCATTTCCACCCTAGCTTTGCAAGAGCGGCGAGATTAAAGAACTTTGCCATTTTCACACCTAAGCCACCTTGGTCCTTAGGCATACACACATCCTTCCAAGCCACAGGAGGAGTACCCTCCTTGCCCCAAAAGAAAGATCTACAGCACCTGTTCATCTCTTTAATCACCTGTGGGGGACACTTAAAGCAAGATAAGACATGATTAGGCATACCAGAAATATTTGATTTAATTAGAGTCAAGTTACCAGCTCTACAAAGGGTGTTAGCTTTCCACCCTGCAAACTTGGATCGAATTTTATCAATAAGCTCTCTCGCATTTTGGGGGTCCTTCCAAAAATAATGTTGTGGATGCCTAAATACTTACCAATTGTAGACCTGTGTTGAATTTGTAAAATAGTGCTAATGTTGTTCTTAACGCTTGAAAGAATTCTAGGGGAAAAATAAATTGTGGATTTATGGAAGTTTATGCGTTGGCCGGAGGCCTTGGAGAAAGCCTCAATTACAGAGAGAATTTTCCTAGTCGTCACAGGTGTAGCTTTGGAGAAAATTAGGCAATCATCTGCAAAGACTAAATTAGAAATTCTATAACCAAACGGGGAAGACAATAAGCCCACCTGGGTTCTAGTGCTAATCTAGTTTTTGCTATTTTGTTAATTAACATATGCTAATCAAGAAAAGAACAAGAGATTGAGTTGTGTGATATTAGGATCTCCAGCAAGGCCATGGGTATCATGAACAGCTCCATCAACGATATATTTGAGTTTTGAGAAGCTCGCTCAGGAATCTTCGACATTGGCAAGGTACAACAAGAAACCGACTATTACTTCCAAGGGAAATCCAATTTTTTCATATTAAAACAATTAAAATTTAAAACAAAATCAGATAATAGGTCATATTTTTATGAAACATAACTACCTATATTATATTTTCTTAATTTTAAAAATAAAATAAAATAATAAAAAATAAAACCAACTGGCAAATACATGAGCATTTGTCAATGGGCTAGTTTAAATGGTTCAAAAGCAGTAAGCCACGTTTGTGTTTTATTTCCGGATTAATTTTTTAAAATTAATTAAAAAGTATTAGGGGCGAATATTTGTGCCTGTAGTAAAGACCTTCTATGAATCTGCCAACGTGGCAACACAACTAATAGAGGCCAATCTTTTGAGATTATCTACCCCTAAGAGCATCTCCACCCACAAGGGCTAAGTCTAGGACAAGGGCAAGTAAGGGCTGCCACTATTCACGTGAATAGTGTTAGCCTTGCCATTTGTGGTTCCACCCACGAGGACTAAGTCTAAGGCAATTACTATTCACTTAAATTTATTTTTATTTTTTATTCTTAAACCATTGATTTTGATAAGCTTTTCGGATAAGATTTTCAATTCCCAAGTGTTAATATTTATCGTAAAATCCTCACCTAAAAATCAAGATAACATTTTCGGATAAAATTTTGAAATTAAATTGGTGTGGAAAGTGAATAATATTGGTAGGTATGTATAGAAAAAATTTCCAGAATTTTTTGATATTTTTTTTAAAATTTTTTGATTTTTTTTTCAATTTTTTTTAGCCAAAAATTGGACAACCGTTGGATTGTGCAAGATTTTTTGATCGGAGGCTCCACATGGCTTGTAATCATTGGGCAATGTGGGCTGGTGGGTCCAACAGTAAAAAAAATTGAAAATCAGCTGCTGACGTCAACAACCCGAGTTTTGGTGCCCAGGCAAGATTAGCCCGTGGGCTTGCCCAGGCTGGTGGGACCCACCATTTGCCCAGGCTGGTGGGACCCACCATTTGCCCAGGCTCATTGCTGTGTGCTGGAGCTGGAAATGGGGGCCTTTTGCCCAGGTTTGGTGCAGCGGTGGACATGCTCTAAGGGCATATATTGCAATTCGCAATTTCCAAGCGCAAATCTGTCTAGTCAAAGTTCAATCATAGTTGCTAGGATCGGTTGAAGGTTGCCTAAAAAGGTTTGCTCATGACGCAGGACAGTGCAAGGGTGACTGCTAATTTTTGGGGTTAGTAGATGGGCTCATAAATCGCGAAAATTCTGTGGTGCATCGGCTGTACCGGTACAGCCCATAATTCAACGGCTGAGATTCCATGTTAAAAAGGGATGGCTGAGATTCAATGACTTAATGACCTGCTGAGCCTTTGTTATTCAACACGTGAGTGGCATGTGAGGAAAGAGAAAGGCAGGTTTGTAGGATGAAGAAGACGCGCAGAGGAAGGAAGGTTTGAGGATGAAGACGCATGCTCTCCTCTCTGGTTGCCCAAATCGAAAACCTCTCGAGCTGGATTTGTGCAGTCATTTCCTCGAACCATCGCACTATCCCCCCCCCCCCCCCCCCCCCCCCCCCCCCCCCTAGCTTTCTGAGTTTTGAAGTTTGCAATCTTCTCTCTGTTGACCAGGTAAAGAATTGTTTGGTTTTTCTGTTTCGGATTATGTTTGTACTTTCCTTTTGACCTTGAAATCCCATTGTGGGTCTGCTTATATGGGACGGAATCCAACCCATTGAACTCATTCCTACAATGGGTTCGGTCTGCTTTCATGTTTTTTCATTTACTCACAGGATTTAACATGAAATTGGCAGTGTTTACATTTTTGGGTAGTTTTGTTTTGGTACAATATCTTATGGATAGCTTTTGATTCCATCTGGGTTTGCATGTATTTTTCAGATAACCGTAGGGTCATCAATTCATACGATTTGGTATTACTTGAATTGTTAGCTGTTCATATTGGTTTCAAGAGTAAGGTGGCACAGAGAAGCTGTTGATTGAAGGTTGGGGCTTTAGTTCAATCCGGTAAGTCTTTTCCTTGAAATGTCATCCCTAGCATATTGATATTTGATGATGGTTTCGGATGAAGCAAAATTTCACGTATCACGTGCTTTGATATGAATTATCTTACTGATTTTGGCCCTCGTATGCTACTGTATACATCTTTTAGATAATATCATCTATTCTTGAGGATATTTATAGGTTACGTTTAAAGAATTCTGTTTTTGTGGGTTGTGTGTGTGCACGCGCTTGCTTATTCTGAAATCATTTGGGTCTTCCTTCCTTTATGCAATTTTGTTAACTGTTTTCCCTAAAGGTTTTAGGAATGTTGAATCTTTGGTATTTAGTATGCTAGAATTCATATTGAATGCATTGTTGGTATGAGCTTACCATCTGTATGTTTTGCCGTTATGTATTAGTTATGAAAATGTCTCTTGCAAATGACTGTTTAGTTATCACAGGTCTTTGGGTAGGAAGACCAATACTGGATGCTTCTGGGTTTTAGTTATCAAATGTCTCTTGCAAATGACTGTTGATAGTGTTTCATATGGTATTGATGCTTCTGGGTTCTGTTGGAGCAATGTGTGTGTGTTTGTGTGTTTTTCTGTTATTTTTTATGCATCCTTCTAGTGCAATCTACTCCCTGGTTGGTATTTTCTTGGATGGGATGTCATATTGACTTTGGGGTTCTATCTTCAGTTAGGATTTGTTGTTAGGTATTTGGATTTTATCTGGTTCATATTGTCGTGGATGGGATGTGATATTGACTTTTATCTCCTTATATACCTTAATTTTCTATTCTCACAACGTTTCTCTACTTACGACATTCAGTTTGTGATGCTTATATGTCAGAATATGAAGCTATAGTGTCTGGCGATAGATAGAGCTGTCTATTATGGCTAATAATTTTTCCCTTCTTGGTTCAAAACTCGATACTAAATATGAGATTTGTACATTTATATGTGAACAGAAAATTTGTAGTAAACCCACTTTATTTTTTGTCAAAACTCTTACTGTATTGTTTGTGCCCCTCAAATGATAGTACAAAACATACGTCTAATTATGCCAGTAAAAATTTTTATTATCCATTTTTCATTTTTAGAGGTTTGCGCACAGTCACTCTCGCATTGCATCAACGTCGTGCAATTGCATGTTTACAATGCAAATGCCGACCCGCTGTGTGCAAACTAAAGGTAGCTTCAAAACGCGAACGTAATTAATGTATAGCGCAAAGACAAATAAAAGCAAGTTCCAAATCTTATTAGGACCCTATGTGTATTATTTAATATTAGGGTTAATCACATTTTGGTTTACGAAATTTGGGATATTTTGGAATGTGATTCGCACTATATGACAATTTCTATAACTAGGTAATTTCGTATAATTGGTCGTTTTGTAATATAATATGTTCGGACTATTGCCCCTCATCGTTTTTGATGCTCTATATTTCGGTTACTTTCGCCCTTTGATTTCTAGGAAAAAATAGGTCTAATTTTACATGTACAATAAAATTTGATCCAATTTTCATTATTAGGGGTTTGCGCACAGTCACTCTTGCATTGCATCATCGTCATGCAATTGCATGTGTGCAATGCAAATGCCAACCCGTTGTGTGCAAACTAAACATAGCTTAAAAACGCAAACGTAATTAATGTATAGCGCAAAGACAAAGAAAACCAAGAAAATACTTTCTTATGACCCTATGTCTATTATTCAAATTAGGATTAATCACATTGTGTTTTACGAAAATCGGGATCTTTGGGAAAGTCATTTGTGCTACATGACAATGTCTATTACTACGTAATTTCAATAATTGGTCGTTTCGTAATATAATATGTTCGGCTTATTTCCCCTTACCGTTTCTCATGCTCTGTATTTCGGTTCATTTCGCCCTTCGATTTATAGTACACAAAATAGGTCTACTTATGCACAAAAAAAAAAAAAAAAAAAAAAAAAAAAAAGATCAATTTCCTTTTTAGGGATTTGCACACAGTCACTCTTGCATTGCATCATCGTCATGCAATTGCATGTGTGCAATGCAAATGCCGACCCGCTGTGTGCAAACTAAACATAGCTTAAAAATGCAAACGTAATTAATGTATAGCGCAAAGACAAAGAAAACCAAGAAAATACTTTATTATGACCATATGTCTATTATTCAAATTAGGGTTAATCACATTGTGTTTTACGAAAATCGGGATATTTTGGAAAGTCATTTGTGCTACATGGCAATGTCTATTATATAAACCCCAGTACTCGACAATATATATATATACATATATATATAAATATATATAGTAACATGTATAATATGTTTTTCATATGAAAACCTCAACAAATTTTTCAAATCGGATTGATGGTTACAATTGAATTGGGTCGGGCTTTAGGGGTAAAATGATATTGGGTTTGGGCTTTGTGGTTCTAAACCCCAGTGCTCGATAATATATATATATATATATACATATATATAAATATATATATATATAAAAATATATATAATAACATGTATAATATGTTTTTCATATGAAAACCTCAA